TGAAGGGCGTCGTCGTAGTACATGTCGTCGTAGCGGCGCTTGCCCAGCTCCATATGCAGGCTCAGGCGCTCGCTCGTCGAACGGGCCAGGTTGAGCCTGCGGGAGGCGAGGAAGCGGGCCTCGGTCAGCTCCATGGCGCGGCGTCGGCGCTGGGCACGCTGACGCCACAGGCGCTCCTCCTCGAGGATGTCAAAGTCATCATCGGCGCGCGGGTTGTTGTCCAGCTGCTCCATGAGCTCCTTGATCTTCTTCTCCTTGCTCACAGAGAAGCCACTATGCTTCGGCTGGCCATTAGCGGCGCGCTTGGCCGGGACGCGCGCGGCGGGGCCCTCCTTGTCTTTGTGTGAAGAGGCACGCCTAGAGCTTCCCTTGGCCGATGGCGCGTCGGCGTTCTTAAGGTCGGACACGCGAGGCTGCTTTGGCTTCCTCGTAGGCTTCTTCCGCTCGGCCTTGGCAACGGGGGCATCATCCATCTTCTCCTCCTTGATGGCGGCGGGTGCGAGGACTTGAGCGGCGGGCGAGGGGGCTCTGGGCCTGGGCTCGGGGTCGGAGCTCGAAAGGATGTTCGAGAAGGACATGACGTTGCGGTTTGGCGTCGTCTGCGAGTCGGAAAGGTCAGCTTTGTCCAGAATAGGAGGTGGGAACCAGGCGGTACCAACACTGGCAGGAGGGGCAGGCGCCTTCAGCACCGACGGGGCGGGCGGCGAGTGCTGGGCAGCCGGCGGTGCAGGTCCGACCGTGGACCCAGCAGAGGCCATGGGCTGCCGCAGGCTGGGCGAGACGATGACAGGAGCCTTCGTGGGAGGGCTCATGGAACCAGCAGGATGTGAGCGGGAGACGGGGCTTAGAGATGGAACTGCAGCCCGAACAGGCGAAGTGTAGCTGCCTTTGTAGTAGGCCGATTGCTCAACTGGCCGATTGGAGGGATAGTCGTAGTCCCTACTGGCAGGCTCACGAGGCTGTTTTTGGAAAAAAGAGAGAAAGAGCAGGTCCGTCAGCAGATGAATTTGCAGGCAAAATTAGATGAGACGATGGAGATGTGATTTTGGGAGTTGGACGCGAAGTGGTAAGGTGGTAACAAATGGGGGACCGTCAGGCTGTTGATGGTAGGGTGTAGATCATGGCAAGGGATTAATTGAATGACTGATTGGGGACTTGGGATATGGGGGATGATGGATGATCCCACTAGGGGATAGGATTGTGATTGTGATTAGGATCTGACAGCAGCAAGCAAGGAAAGGATGTTGGAAGAAGTCGTATTTGGGTCTGGCGGACGGGGACGACGGTGATGATGACGACGATGATGATGAGGATGATGAGGATGATGAGGATCAGGGTTTGACACGGGGCAAAGGTTGCTCTTTGCTTGGTGGATGTGAAATGGTGGTGATTTGGGATTTTGGGGCGACCCGACCGGGCCAAGAAAGAATGTCTTGGTCAGAGGTCTGAGGTTACGCCCTAGCGGTGCTGGATGGCGTCTGGCGCGCCGGATGGGCGGCGATGGTGATGATCATCGCCTGAGCAGCTGCTGAGCGAGCCCTATTGGCACCAGGGGTTGCCTGTGTCTCTTGTGTTTCTGTTTTCTGAACGCATGTAAAATGTGTAGGTGTAGGTGCAGACGTGTAGATGTGTAGATGTGTAGATGTGTGGAGGTGGAGAGGTGGAGAGGTGTGTAAATGGTGTGTGTGTGTGTGTGCTTTCTTTGCTTCTTCAACGCCCCTTGCTCCCCTGTTTGCTTGCTTGCTTGCTTGCTTTTTTCTGCTCCTTTCTTTTGCTGGTCTCGTCTGCTTCCCTTGTCTGCTTATTTCTTAACTTACCTTAGTATTGTTGGCAGCGGAGGACGAGGCCTGGGCCGTGCTGCTGTTCCAAGACGAGCCCTTATCGATGACCCTGCGATCACCCGTCGTGGTGGTGGTGTCGGTAGTAGGGTCGTAGAAGCTGCCGGCGGTCTTCTCGCGCGGGGGGTCGCGGTGCTCGCGCATGTCCTGGGGATAGAAGACGGGGGGCGCGTGTAGCGGCGACCTGGGAGGTGCAAGGACGGGCGGCGGGATAGACTGCGTCGGCTTGGTGAGGAAGGGATTGTGTAGTAGAGACGACGAAGCGGCGCCGGTGCTGGTGCCGTTGCTGCTGGTGCTGCCAGGCTTGGCGCTGGCGCTGGCGGCCCTAGGCGAGGTCGAGCTGGCGGCGGAGGGAAAATGAGGCGGATGATGATGAAAGTCGGACTGGGTGGGAGATCGCAGGCTGAACGCGTGTCGAGGTGGTGGTGGCGGTTGGTGTTGAGCGGCACCAGCACTAGCACCCGTAGCACCAGTCGCCGTAGAAGAAGGAGCTGCAGACCCGTTCTCGCTCAGCTGCACCGGGTTGAGGATGTCGCGACGCCGCCTGTCCTCCCTGTCACGGTCATGGTCGCCGCGGTCGCGGTCATCATCGTAGTCGTGGAGGGATGGAGGCCTCTGTAGGACGGTGGAGTGGAAATTTGGCTCCATGATTTTTGTTGTCTTTTTTTCGTCTTCCTTTTTTCTTCCTTTGTTTTTTTTTTCTTCCCTTTCCTGGAGGGAGAGAGCCCGTCGTGTATGCTCCTCCCCTGGCTGATGAGACCTTGACTTTTTCTCAGAGACTTCGAGTGTTGGCCTCTGCGGCTTCGGCGCTGGGGAGAGTAAAATCCACTGCAGTCCCCTCGAGTCGCCGCTAGAGGGCAATCCCAAGATATCTCCGCTGAAGTTTCTGGTGGCGCTGGCGAGACAGACCCATCCGCACCGTGCTGCGACGACTTAGGTCGAAGAGAGAGAAAGGAGAGGTTCGTCCGCCGTTGATGGCGATGATGATGACGATGATGATGATAAATGCACGATGAGCAGCAGACCGCGTCCTGCTGTGGAAGGGCGGCGGATGGCTGCTCTATGTGGTCGATCGCGATCCGGATACGTCAGTTCGGGCTGTCGCAAATTTTGGGAAACCAACGAGCCAGATCGCGGCTCTGCGGGCGATGGACAAGGCTCGAAATCGGATGGGCAATCGGCGATAGGCGATGGGTGGTGGGTTGGAAGGTGGTGGTCATGGACCTTGTCGAGAGGAAGTGGTGGTGGTGGTGGACAATGCAGGTTTTCTTTGTCGCGTTGAGCCCGGGCCGGGTACAGGTGGGATCGGTCTTTCGGCTTGATGCTGGGGCTGCAGGAGAGACCGCCCACACGAGTATCGCGATACCACAAGGCGTGGTGTTGTGTGGGGTGGCGAGTGGGTGTGGGTGTGGGCGTGTCGAGTTGAAGTCGAGTTGAGGTTTGGAGTTGCAATTGAGGGTTAAAATCGCCGAGGAGGACCACAGCAGAAGGGGGTTTGTTGGTGGTGGTGACCTGACGTGATGTGCAGCCGCAGCGCAGTGCAGTGCAGCCTTAAACGTAAACGGGATAAAGCCACGCTTGTCGCAGGCGAGGCGGCCGCGATGAGCTGAACTGAGCTAACCCCCAGCCCGTGGTTGCGATGCCGGTGAAGGTATAAGTGTGCAGATGCAAAGCCAAGATGCTAAATCCGCAGCGATAGCACGAGTTGCAGGTGAAGATGGTGGCAACTCTTCTCTTCTTCTATTCTTTCTTCTTTCCTCCCTTTCTTTGACGTCTTCTCAAGCTTCCAACACCAGGTCGAGTCCTCCTGGTTCTGTTGCCTCCCGTTTCCGTTGAGGAGTGATTCGTAGTGAGTGGATCCTCTGCACACGCAAACACCCGTCACCTTTTCACTATGTACTCACTTACACATACTATAGCACGCTATACATAGTACAAGATGAAGCAGCTATTGATGCGGCTCCAGCTGCAAATTCGAACTCGCAAGTCGGTGGGGCACTTCAGTGTACCCTCTCACAGACCAGTATCTGTAGCTATACCTGTGATAAACCTCGCTCATCGCCCAGGTTGTCACGGTCGGTCTGTGAATCGACCCCTTACAAATCAGTTCTTGGGTGAGGCAGTGTGTAAGGAGGGGTTTCCAGATACAAGTTTCTAGCAATACAAAGCAGCCAATGACAAGTTCCCACTCGAAAACCATTGATTGTGCGTATCGTCATAGCTGCCTCCCACCTGCTCCCTCTCTGTCTCTCGTTTTCACTCTTGCCCACTTTCTCTTGTCACACTGCCATTGCCGATCCCAAAATCCCACACTATACACCCTAGTCTCGCCTCGCGCCTAATCCAGGGTTCAGGCAAGCAGGCAGGCTAACAGGCTAGCAGGTCACGTCAGCTCTCTCCTTCCCACCAAGGCCGAGCACTTATCATCAGTCCACGCCAAGACAAGGCAAAGAACCCAAAGAGAACAACAAAATCAAGGCAAAAACAAGGCAAAAAGAAGAATAAAAGAAGAAAAAGATTGGGTGGAGGAAAAAAAAAAAACAGAAGGCAAGTGACACTGACCGCTACTGCCAACCGTTACTTCAAATCAGTGCCAGCGTTCTTGTTACTCCACTTCTACATTTAATATGCCTGCATAGAATGATGATGGATTTTGCTAATGGCGGTCTGTTGGTCCATGAATTGCATCCAAGATTGGTGCTGAGGTTGGAACGATGTGCTGCTGCTGCTGATGAGGAGGAGGAGGACAACGGCAATGATGAATAACGAGCAACGCAGCATGATGACTGAGTAGATATTGTCTGATGTACTGTCTGCTTGTCAACACTGTCTCATTCTTCGTCTCCTTCGTCTGCCTCCTCCTCCTCCTCCTCCTCCTCCTCCTACTCTTCCCTGTCTCTGCCTGGCTTCTACTACTAAACTGGTCTTTGCGCAAGGAAAAGACAGTAAGGAAAAGTCGAATAAAGCGGGTTGTGACGGGAGAGAGCCTGGGCCTCTTTGCTAAGATTGGAGGTATATTCTAGTACTTGACACTTAACAATCAACAATTGCCACTGTAGTAGTAAGTCGCTCACCAACCTTTCGAGACAATCACCGAATGTGAGAAGCATGTTCACGTGCATGTGTCACACGGCAGCTCTCAACTCATCGCCACAACATCATAGTATCAAGTCTAGTGCTTTTGCATCTCATTCAAAACTTCTATACCGAGAAATACATTTCAGCCAACGCCCGTGGCCCAACAACAGTCGCTTCCCGCTAGACATGGTGATGGCTGCTTCTTTCTGAATTCTGCCTTGGGATGTCTCTCCCTCTTTTATCATTTTCTCTCTGGCAGTGTCCCGTGTTGGTCTTGACATGCTCAACCTCCCGTCCCATAGACCCGCTCGCCTCACCCATGTCCCGCGGTGCCCTGTTGCTCCTGGCAATCTATCTAGGTGGCCATGATTCCAATATGCACCTGTCTGGTGGCGATCTCTTTTCTTTTTTCCCCTTCTTTCCGTGTCTCCGCGGTTTAGGCTCTGCAGGGGGGGGGGAGGGAGGGGCGCGCCTCATCCCCCTCCTAGAGCCCTCACGTCTCGCCACGGCTCATAGTGTTCCTCTCTATCCCGCCTCAGACCGCACCGGCTGCAAGCATCTTCTTGCGCAGGTAGTTCTTGTAGTCTCCGATCGAGCCATCCCAAGGCTTGATCGTCTTGTTCTCACACACCAGGATCTGCTTGGCGATCTTGTCCAGCAATCTGTAGTTGAAAATCATATCAGTCATGACGCTGTCTCCACTATTGCTTGTGGTGGGAATGTTGGGGGAAGGGGTAAGAAGAAAGGAGGAGGATCGTCACAAGAGAGGAAGGCGACGTCTGAAACATACCTGAAGTCGTGACTGACGACAATAACACCTCCTGTGAATGCGTTGATGGCATCCGCCAGACTGTCGATGGTCGGGATGTCCAGGCCGTTGGTAGGCTCGTCGAGCAGCAGCATGTTGGGGCTCTCGATGGCCAGCAGCGCGAACACGATACGGCTCTTCTGGCCCTCGGACAGCGTGCCGATGAGGGCTGTCTGCGATTCACCCGACAGACCGTACTTGCCCAGTTGCTGCCGCCAGTACTGGTAGTCCTGCGAGCGGTCCTTGTACTTATCGCGCACAAAGTCCAGTGCCGACTTGGTGAGATCCAGCTGCTCGGCAGAGTGCTGCGAGTACATGCCCAGCTTCAGGTGAGTGTGCCGGCTGACGTTGCCCGCCGTCGGCGACAGCTTGCCCGTCATGAGGCGCAGCAATGTTGACTTGCCCACGCCGTTGGGTCCCACCAGGGCCGTCCGCGAGTCCATATCGAAGCCGAGGTCGATGTGGCGGTACAGGTCGTCCTCCGGCTTGCCCGAGTACGAGAAGGTGACGTCGTCGAAGGATAGCACGGGCGGCGGCAGCTTCTCGACGTCCGCAAAACGGAAGCTGAATACCCGGTCAGGGATGACGGGCTGGATGAAGCCGTCGGCCTCCATCTTGTCCAGGATCTTCTGGCGGGACTTGGCCTGCCGGACCAGGTTGGCATAGGTACCGGCGCTGGCGATGAACTTCTTGATGTGGGTGATTTCGTCTTGCTGCTTCTGGTAAGCCTTCATCTGGTTGGTCTCCTGCTCCTCGCGCGTCTTGTTATATGAGTCGTAGTTGCCACCGTAGTAGAGGAGCTTCTTCTCGCGCATGTCAATCATATTGGTGCAGACACCGTTGAGGAAATCCATGGAGTGGGAGACGAGGATCAGGGTGCGCTCCCACTTCTTGAGGTACTCCTCGAGCCACACGCAGGCTTCGAGGTCCAGATGGGCAGTGGGGTCGTCGAGCAATAGCAGGGTGGGCTTAACGAAGAGGGCCTTAGCCAGGGCAACACGCATCCTCCAACCACCAGACATGTCCTTGGTCTTCTTGTGGATGGTGACCTTATTGAAGCCAAGACCGGTCAGGATGAGCGAGGCACGGGTAGCGAAGGTCGACGGGTCCATCTTGTCCATATGCTAGCAGTCGACAAACCAACAGGCCATGTTAGTGGACAGCATCCCTTATTGATTTATTCGTGGCAAGACGCGGGGGGGGAGGGGGAGGGTGGTTTGGGTTGATCAGACGTACATCGTAGAGATCCATCAGGACGGGGCTCTCCGGGCCTTCGTCCTCGAGCAGCTTTTCAGCCAGCTTGTCGAGGCGCTCCATCTCGTTCTCCGCCTCCTTGACGACCCATTCCAGGGCGCCCAGTTCGGATGGCGGGGCACCCTCATTGAGAAGATAGATATCGACGTGGGGAGGAATAGGATACTCGCGGGCGGCGATGGCCTTGAGGAAGGTACTCTTTCCACAGCCGTTCTCGCCCAGCAGACCGTAACGACGGCCAAAGTTGAGCTCGAGGGTGCCATCGGTGATAAGGACGCGGCCGTGGAAGACGAGACTGCACGAGGAGATCTTGACGTCGCGGGAGGAGACGACGGAGGAGAGGACGCCGGTAGTGACACGGTCAGACAGGCCGTGCTTGTCCATCTGCTCTGTCAGGCGCTTGACCTCGCCCAGCTTGTCGGCTGAAGTGGCGGGTTCGTCAGACTCTATGGGGTTGCCAAAGGCATCAAGCTGAGGCGGTGTCTCGTCGCCGTTGACGGAGCCGGCCTTGCTAGCATTCTTAGAGCCAGCCTTTGATCGGGAGGCGACCGTCTTCTTGTCTTTGCCATCAGCGGCCTTCTTGGCCAGTCTCTTCTCCTTGGATGCGGACACCATCTTGAATGGGTTGTCTTGGCTCTGGGGGAAGGCAGATAAGCGAAGAAAGGCGTAGGAAAGGTTGAGTAAAGGGCAAATTTAAGAAACCCTCTTTGATGGAGAAAACCCCGTAAAACAAAGAGAGGTGTGATGGGTGGTTGGTTAGTCGCCTGGACTTGGTTGGAATAAGGAGGGTTGATGGAGGAGGGCGGGGTGGGAGGGAGTGAAGGTATTGATGGTCGTGATGATGAAATTCGAGAAGAGGAAAAGAAGAAAAAAAAGAACTTTAGGTTGAGAAGAGGCAAAGTTGGGTAGGTGGGGTGAAGGAGGGGAAACAATCAGAACTTCCCAGTTAGCCTGGCACGCTGGTCATCTTTTGGTGGGTGGCACTGCACTGCTGCCCAGCCTGCCAGCCTGTGCCTCAATGCAGCGAGCGAATGTGCAGGGGATGCATTTAGCGTTTGCCAGGCCAGGAATCAGAACTGTTCTTAGTGGGCGCCTGCGACGTCTTTAGGTGGGGGCTGCGGGGTCCACCGCCTCTGAAATCTCTGCCGAATTTTACAGCGTACTGTACTAAGTTACTTAGTAAGTACTGTGACCACTACTGCAAGTGGGCTGCTGACTCAGTCGCAGGATTCGAATTGGTCCATGTATCCTCATTTTCTTTGCATCAACAACAACTATGCTAAGTCCAGCCGTCTGTGAGGTCCAGAGTCATCCAAGGTTTCCTTCTTGAGCTTGCATCCCCAGAATGAGAACAAACGTTGATCCGCGACGACGACGACGACGACGACGACGACAGTTTTGATTTGTAACGATCTCGTCATTGAAATCCCTGAGCGATCAACGAATCCAGTTCGGTAATGCTATGTACAGGACCAGGAATGCTCGTCTTCAGCCACAATTATGTCTTCATAAAGTAATCATACAGCAAGGAGACCAGACTCTGTGATTCTGTGCTTCTCTTATCTCTCAACATTGGGCCCGCCTTTCTATGTGTTGTACGAGTAGAAAGAATTGGACGCTGGCCTCACCGCTCTCTCTCCCTGGAAACCTTCTCAAGGTTGCATATGTGCAGACTGCGCTCGGCAGACTGACACCTTCAAGCTTGTAACGATGGCATAAGAGGGGCCGTGTTGAAGCCAATGACGCCCTCAGCTACACAAAGCTGCGAAGAATCTAATGATGTTATGGCCACGCGGCGTCCGATCACACCACAATCGTCGGCAGAGAGAAGAAGATGCTGAGGCAGCTGGAACTCTGTAAATCCTGAATTATCGGCGTCGACACCAGAGAATCTCGTTGGCAGAGTGAGGCTGTTGAACAGCTTGCATTTAGTCCACGGTACGCTCAGGTCTCCGGTGCAGCTGGGCCAGGGGCAGCGGGTCAGCTCAAGTGGACACGGCATCCAGACAGGGAGGAAAGACTTGGGAAAGGACTGACAATATGCTCAATGTCAAGTCATGGTCTGGACAACATGGCCCAGCCGGCGTGAATCTGACATGAGTGGCCAAAGGACTTCCATGATCCGTCTTGTTGAGAAATACAACCATCCCTGAGAGATTTGCAGAATCCGCACCAAGTGCTGCAGCATTGGAGGCAGTAGGGGTTAAGACAGCAATGGCCCCAAAGCGTCGAGGGTCTTCAGCAATGTCATCACTGCCACCGCACATCGTGTAGAAGTGTGTAAGGAAATTCGAGGCTCTATTCGCGACGAGCAGGTCCTGAAAGAACAGTGAAATCGTAGTAGGTGGTGTATGGTGAATTGATTCTACGATACCAATAATTCAGGAATTCAACGTGTTTCCTGCGAGCAGGTGGGCATATATTAATCAGGAGGTTGTGAGGGTGGATACGCTCCTCCTCAGTACTTGGTCTCTCCTCGGGTGATTGAGTACTTAAGTACTCATAACTATACCTCACCAAGGTAGGCTTCACGTTGGCTTAGTGCTTGGTATGGAGTAGAATTCGGCTAACCGAGCACGGCGAAAACATGCTCATCTGCTAGAAGGCTATGCTGTGGGCGGACAATTGTTCTCGAGCAATTTTGCTGCTAAAATGCACCCGCGACGAGGTTTGAGCAGGTTTTGGGCTGAAATACTGGATCCATCTGAGCAAGTTTCTTGCCATCAAGTCCATTTACAGTCTTGATGAGGGGTGCAAATTGCAACATGTGAGCAATTTTACAACAGCTACAAGGCACGACTTATATATTATCACATGCAGGAGTGAAACGCTAAGTCCTCGAATCTTGTAACGAGAAGGCGAGACTGCAGTATTTTCGAGGACAGCGCAATAGATACTTTATCGTAATCACCAACGAGAATGGCCTCACGAGATCCCTGATGCAGTCGAAATTTGCCATTGACTGGAGGAGTCTGATTATTTACGGATCGTCTTGGATCATCTGGCAGTCATCATCGAGATCGACTCGTGGTATTGATCCCTGGCTCTTGTCATGGAAAGCCTTCGCGCAGCTTGAGAGCCAGGAAAGGGACTGGACGTATGTTCATGGGTAAGTCTGGATGGGGCCAATTGCAAGCGTCTCTGCAATATTATTGCCACGAGGTCTCAGACAGCTCAGAGGAAAAGTCATCAAGATGTTGTCTCACGACTGACTCCGGTGGTGGTCGAGACCCATCCTCAAACTGGATCTAAATGATAGCTGTATTGGCGACCTCGGGCTCAGGACGACCAAAGACTGCATAGAATTGTTATCGCATTCTCGAAGTGTTTGTTACGAAGCATGTTCCTCAACAGTGAGTTCTCATTGGTTTGTCAGTTGGCCTCGGCCATCGTGCATGCGGACTCTCTCACACAACACATGTCCTTTTTTTTATTCTTTTTCTTAGCCCTCTCCCTATTATCACTTTTTCGCTTCTTGTTCTCCAATTTTGCTATACATTCAATCTTCTCACCGAGATGGAAATGTTCAATTTTTGTTTGTCAATTGCTCTTACGAATCTTGTTATATCGCTTGCATTATGGAAATGTCCTGAGCCATAAATCATACGAACTCAGCAGGTTTTGTTTCCTTGAGTGTAGCTGAGAGGAGGAACATATCTGGCAAAAGACGACGCCGTGAATTCTACTCAGACAGTGGCTTGGACCGAGCACAGCCTGAATCATGTGTGTTTGAAACGTGAGACATTGCTCAAGTCTAGAAGCTAGCTTGCTATATCACGATGTGCATATTAGATCTTCCTTTTTTCCAAAGTAAACTACGGTACATTTCACGCCTCGACTGAGGCAGCCATGCGCCGCATTCCTGTGAGAGACCCTCCGTGCAATGTTCTCGGTTAGTCCCGACTATTCAAATGGCCCGCGTCCTATTTGAAAGCTGATTTTAGAGTGCTTACTTTTTCCGAAGGGCCACAGGCGTGATCGGCTGGCCGCATACATGTAGATCAGGAAAGTTTACCCCCTCTTCCTATTTTTTCTTCTTCTCTTGTCCTAACGAGTAATTACAATATGCATACAAGGCACGGCAGATGTAACATCCTAAGCAAAACAACAAGAGGCTAGAGTGCTAGTCATGCATAAGAGCTCCGACCTTGCACATTTAATCTATTTAAGCTAGAGACACGGCACGTAAGAAACATGGCAGAGCTGTGATTGGAGGGAACACCGTCCATTCTCGCGTCTTGATTATTACTACAACGCGCTTGCTGGCCTTGACCTTGTTATTCGACACAAATTTTAGATGAGGTCAGCAGCACAAGACTGAGGAGAGGCAACGGGAACCTGCATAGTATATATCAATCGATACAAGTCGTCCCGCACAGCTTTTTAACGGTGCTACAACGTTTCTGGCACCCAGAACAGAATGGAAAACTAGCCTGCCTGCCTGGGAACACATGAAGCCGGCCTGATGGGTCAAAAAGTCTCGGGAAGAGAAAGAAGAAAACAAGGTTGTGTACGCCAAGTACAAAGGCCCTGCAAGGGAGCCAACACACCTCTTTTAGTCCCGCTCTCTTGATGTGTAGCGAGAGGCAAAGAAAAGACCCCACAGCAGGTATTTTCCTTCTTTCTTGGGATTGCTTTTGCCAGCAGGCCGCTGTTTACAGCCAGCCGTGGCTTTGTCTAGTGTGATGCGGTCCCGAGCAGCATATAGCACTTCGTACGCCGCCCCCGTTTGTTCGTATGGTTTTGCTGCAAGAGATCCCACTACAGATGCAATCTAAAGCAAGCCCAGGCTAGACACAAGGTGCATGAAACAAAAATCCTCCCGTTCCGTGAGGCAAGCCTTGGTGTGGCTTCATTTCCAATCGGGGATGAGCCAAGGAAGTAAACAATATATGTACTGCACAGTGACTGGAAGGAAATTTTGTGGCCCGCAGTTTAAAGCATAGACTTGACTCGGCTGGTCACATATTGGTATACTCAAATAAAGCATGCTTTTCCTCCCCCCGCCATCATGATTTCATGTGGTTTGCCAGCCGAGGCGTTTTTTCCCCCCCTTCCTTTTCTTCCCACCTTAAAGCAATGACAGTGATTAGTTGACAAGATCTTTACTTCTGCGTGTCGTCTTACTATGGGGCTAAGCCGTTGGCTCCGTCTCAAGCAGCGACATAATTGAAGCAGCAGACAAGGGGGGAGGAGGAGCTGAGCGGGAGCCCTGTCAGACCCTGCCCACCTTGGCTGCGTCGTGTAATTTTTATGGCGAGGCTCTCGGGAAGATACATGAGCCTATCTCAATGACGGGTGGAAGAATTCTGCATAGACATGGCCGCTAGAATGCTATCATCCGTCCCTTGTTCCGCCGCCCCCTGCTGACCGAGCGCCGCCTCAGTCATGGATTCTCGGCTTGCTTTTGTGGATACGATGGGAGGTTGGTTAATGTGAAGGGTGGAGGGGGTTTGGCCAAGCAGATGGAAGAGGCTCAACGTTTGCTCCCATGGAAGATGGCTATAAAGGCCCTCCCAGGTCATCTACCATGAGGGATGATGATACTCTTCTACTCAACCTCACAGACACAGTGTTTTATAAGCAGTGTCAATCAAGCCCAGTCCGAGGCTATCCACTCTTTTTTCTTCTTGACATTCGTTTTGTCGTCCAATTCTTCTGGTTAGACTGCACTTTATTCGCATCATGCCTGTGGTAGTACTCCGTCTAGTGTTGCTGGCTATAGGGTGAGAATCTTCTATGTAACGACCTTTTCAAGAAAGGGCAAAAGGATCGTCACCACCTAGGCAAGACTTGACTAACACAATACAATATCCCAGAGCCAGCAGCGTCCTCAGCTATGAGATGCCCAACGAGAAACCCCACGTGCTGAAGGACAGACAGGAGTACGGTTGGCCTACTCCTACAGTCACAGAGACAGTGACGGTCCTCGAGTCTTGTGCACCGTCGACTGTTACAGTCTCGGTCCAGATCCCCTGCACTTTGACGTCTAGGGTATCTGGACTGCTTACCACCACTGGCACAGGAAGCCTCCCGTCTTCCTACAGCACTGGACCTTATAATAATGGCACTTCCATCACCTCCTCCGCCCAGGGCACAGGAACAGTGCCTCTGTCGACTGGCATATCCTCGGTCGGCCCTGTCTTAGTCTCTGGATCCGCGACATCGTCTTCTTCCTTGAGACCTCTCAATGTGACCGGCACCGGACTTCCTCCTCCCCCGCCATCGCTCACGACTTACCCTTGGGGTAATGCCTCGTCCTGGGGAGGGTATCACACGGGCACTGGGACCGGATACAGTACTGGTGTTTCAAAGCCGAGCGGTCTTAGCAATACTTCATCAACTGGACCCTTTTCCTATACCACTGAGTCTTCTGCTGCTGGAACCGGTGTAAGCCCTTCGGTGTTGACGACCACTGTCTACCTGAACACCACAACAACACCGTTGACTTGGCTCACAACTGAATGGTCGAGCCAGGGCACGGGATATTCTTCTTCGGCCGCGCCCGCAAGCGTCTCTTTCTCTTCTTCTGGGAACTTCACATCCACCATCACCCTCAGCACGACGCAGACCATCATCAGCTCGGCTGAAGCCACTTCCACTGCACAGAGCAACAGCAGTCTCCCGGGTCTGACAAGCTCTGCTCGCCCACAGGGCAACGAGACCGTCAGCCCCAGCTATCTGTCCTCGAGAACTGCCAGCTGGTCATCGCAGACCATCACGTCTGCGGCTGCCAGTGTTACCCTACCAGCTTCGGGCAGTAACTATTCCTCCAGCAGCACCAGCGAATCCACCTCTACCCTCACGGTAGACACAACCCTGACGACTACGCAGACTTATACCCTCACTTCTACGTTAGAATCGGCGACTGGCTACTACAACTCCACTACCATCTCTGTGGGAGCAGCCAGTGGGTACACCAGCCTTTCGTCATCGTCGTACTCCTTCTCGTCGGTTGTGTCTCCGCTCCCAAGTGCAACCAACACTACCACATCTTCTCCTACATCCCTAGAACCATCGTCCTTCTCCACCGCCCTCAAGACAACAACAAGCTCAGCCCCAAGCCCGCCGTCTTTCACACCTCTGCCCTATGGCGGCGGCGGAGGCGGGGATGACTATCCAGGTCATGGGCACGGCGATGGCGATAGACCTGGCGAGGGCGGACATGCTGGCGGGGATGGCTATCCAGGCGACGAAGGACATCGCGGAGGAGGCGATCCCTGGACTAAGAGTAAGGGCCGTTCAGGAGAAAAGGGTCGGACTCCAGGGAATGGATGGGGTAATCCTTTCCGTGGAGGGCACTGGTGAGAAAGAAAAGGAAGGATGCCATAGTGGACAGTAGGCCATGGACACAACAACATCAAGAAACACAACCCTCACAAAAGTGTTGTCCTCCTGATGGTGCGAAGTGTTCAGCAACACAGGCCTCGCACATACCTCCCTCCTACTGCTCTCTTTAGCTCATGATGTGGCAGTGGGCTCTTCTCTTCTTGACGCTCCTTGGCTGCCTAATATTGCAACGTTAATTACATACATATTTTGAATACCTCTGCTGAGCAACAATACATACATGCATACATAATTCTCTCTCATGACAGCCACTTTGTTTTCGTATCACTCGCTTGTGTCCAACGGGAGGTACGTTGATTCTGCCTGGTGAGAAAGCCTCGAATAATGGTAAAAAGAAATGAAAAAGGAGACCAAGGCATCAGCAATGAATGACAATGCTCGCTATGATGACTCCTTTCCGAATGGATAATTAAACTTAAGAAGGCCGTTGAGGCCCCCAACCCAACCATCATCGTCGTCCTCGCCAGCTGCCGGCTCCGCGCCATCGGTGTGATGGTCCCTGATGACGCAGGGGACACCGCCCGACCAGCCCCCATCGTCCGACCTCGTGATGGTCTCCCCCTGTACGCGGATCTCCATGCCCGGGCTCGCACCGGTGCGCCTCTTGCCGTCGATGCTGACCTCGAGCTCGCGACCTCGGTTCCTCTCGCTTAGGCGGAGGACGACCTTGGTGTCCAGGGGAAGCACGAGGGGTCGGAAGCTCAGGCTCCTGGGGCAGATGGGGGTGATGAGCAAAGAGCCGACCAGTGGATGGACGATGGCACCACCGGCGCTGAGGGAATAGGCGGTAGAGCCGGTTGGGGTGCTGACGAGGATGCCGTCGCAGATAGCCTCGGTTAGGAAGTGGTTGTTGACAAAGACGTCGATAATGGCGAGGTGAGGCTGGCCGCCGCGGTGGAGAAGCAGCTCATTGACGGCGTGGAAGGTCGGGGGCACCTTGACGGGGGGCTCCCAGCCCGGGATGCCCAGGGCGGCCTCCTGCTCGGCGCTCAGGGGCATGAGGCGCAGCCTCTGGTGGGCTTCGGCGGTAGAGGTGGGCATGAGCTGGCTATTGATGTTCTTGCCCTCCTCGTCGTAGACGCCGACCTTGAGGCGGTGGCGCAGGAGGATCTTGGGTCTAGCAGAGGCAGGAACGTCACCGCTGGCGTAGACACGGGTCCAGGCGTCCTTGAATTCCTCGAACTTCCACTCGCCTAGAAAGCCCAGGGTGCCCATGCTGAAGGAAAGGATGGGCGGCACACTGGATTGGAGGGAGAAAAGGCTGGCAGCGCGTAGGATGGTACCATCGCCGCCAAGGGTGGTAACCAGGTCGATCTTGTTGGGGAACTGGGTGGAAGGGTCACTGCGAGCCGTCGAGTAGATGGGGAACGGCAAGGCATGGTGGACGCGGTCGGCGATGCGGCTCTCGAAGACGACGTTGATGCCCGGGTAGTTATCGTGCAGGTGGCAGGCAAAGCGCACAGCATCCTGGACGACCTTGGGCGCGTGGAGCTTGGGAATGAGCAGGATATTCCTGGGCGTCTGGCCCCAGTGGAGGGTGAGTAGCCCCACCGAGGTCTCGTGGTACACCGGGCTGATCCTATCGGGGAGGCTGGCGATATCGCGGATCTCTTGCAGGCAGGACGAGGCCGAGAAGGAGCGGATAGGTGATCTGGACCTGCTCCAGAGGCTAGGAGGGCGGGAGTTCAGCCAGACAGAGGGTGGCCTCCTAAACAAAACAGCGGTGGTCATCCTCACGAAGGACCGACGACGATCCGAGGCAGTGACTGAGAGCGACGAGTGGACTGAGGGAGGGTCAGACGGCGAAGGTGTTGACCAGGATGGATGAGAACAGAGGGGCAACAATGAAGACCCGACATTCTCATGCTGGCGTGAAATGGATGTGGTAGAATGGAGGCTCGGAGGACGAGGAGCAAAAGGAGGCGAGGGAGGACAGCGGGTTCCTCAGAGCACTGCTGGGTATTTGGCGTGGCGAGTGCTGGTGCCTTCGTAGCAGAGACCGAGCTGAGTTGCACTATGTCCCCTCTCGAGACGGGCCGAGTTCCTCCTGAGGAGTGGTCAAGACCCTCTCTTCAGTCAGATGCCTGCATGTTTGATTCAGATGTCCTGTTCAAGTCTTGTCGGTGGTAGGAGAAAGTAGTCAAGGAGTGATGGTAAATACTTGAGATGAAATATCTGACCCGTGACACTTATGATACTACTAATAATAATGAGGAAGATGACAGAGATGGCGACAGAGAGAAATGAGGATGGAAAAAAGGGAGGGCGAATGAAAGACGAGAGGACAAAATGTGACGATATTGTCGAGCGGCCAATGGAGGAGGAGCGAAGACTCAAGATGTTACCCCCAAGTTCGTCATGTTTGTATGTAATTATGTAAACCCCACTTGAGGCTCTTGCTCTCATTGAGAGAGTTGTACCTACCCTGTATCTCAAGACCCCTCCAAACATACTGACCATGGCCCGGACATAAGGCGGAAGAGTTGTTCCGGAGGACCTTCTGATTGGTTGTATGAGAGGTGGGCAGGGGTCCCCCTCCCCCCACCAAACCAAGGCAGGTTGCCGCTATTGTTACTGTACAGTACGAGCTCTACAAACTGAGGCAGGTGTCTTCCTTCCCTCTTGGCTTAGTGACGTACCACTTACATCCCATGCATATGGTGTTATCGTCACCAACCCAGGTACAGGATACCGGATGTGTCGGGACTTGTTGATGCGCACGTGCGAGCCTGAACTACTCGAAAAGAAGAAAGCAGCCCAATGGTCACGACTGCCTATCCCATGATCAACATCAACAACCACCAGCAATAGCCAGCAGTCAGCCAGCCAGCCAGCCAGCCAGTGCCAGTATCAGTTCCAGGGCTACTGCTGTTGCTACTGCTGCTGCTGCTGCTGCTGACGGCATCTGATTTCATCCCAACTTCGACTTCGGCTCCAAGCTCTCCAATCAAGACGTCTTTCCACCACTACAACCTCGACTGTTCTCAAGATGAACCTCTGATGGTCTCGCACCTCCTGCACTTGTTTTCTCTTTGTCTCCCTACAGCTGCTGCTGCTGCGAACAAATAGTGCTTGTCGACGGTCTGTAAACACACTCGAAACGAACTAGAATTTCGAAGGCGAGGAATAAGATATCACAAGCGTCACCGCGGCAGCCGAGTCGTGTGTGTCTGTCTCCTCTCTTGACGACTACAGAGTTTCCACGCGATCTTATCTTCCCGGTCTCGCAAACCCACGACAGCCGACAGCCACCAGCCACCCTCTGCCCGTCTTCTAGCCTCACCTCGAACCTCGAACGAATCACGACGAGCGACGAGACCCCGCCTTCGTACTACTACTTCCTCCCGTAACAATAGTGTCGACAGCTCCTCCTCCTTTGTTTGCTTCATTTTCCTCGTCTTCTTCTCCTCGTCGTCAGCGTTGTCCACGATCTCTCCGGCGAAACGTGCCCTCTACACATCGTTGACCCGTCCGCGCTAATAGCACCTTTACATCATGGCGGCCGACCTGCGCAGGCGGCCAAGGCCTTCTTCCGAGATACCGCCCGTTCCGAAGCTCTCCTCCTCAGCACCCACGGCGACCCAAGATGATCTTTCCAAGATAGACCACCCCTCGGGCAGGGAGAAGAAAAGCGCCCTCACACAGTTCATCCGCGGCTTTAGTTTTGTCGCATACTTCCTGCTCTGCTGTGTTGCGTGCGTCGTCTTCATGATCTTCCCCTCCTCCTGTTCCTCCTCTTCTGATCGCTGACCTTGCTGACCTTGTCTCTTGCTGCATAGTATCAACATCACGCAATTTATCGGTGCCCCTTTGTACTGGATAAATCGCGACCTCTATTATGCCTATATGGCCCTGACCAAGGAGTCTTTCGGACTCTTGATAGTCACCATGACCAAGGTCTGGGGTCCCACCACGATACGGATCAGCGGCGACCCCTCCGTCGCCGGCCAGATCACCCGCGCCTCGGATGGTCGCGTCGAGTTCGACTTTCCTGATCGCATGGTCATGATAGCAAACCATCAGATCTACACCGACTGGCTGTACCTCTGGTGGGTGGGCTACGCGAACAGCCCCCGCATGCATGGCTACCTGTACATCATCCTCAAGGAGTCCCTCAAGTACATCCCCGTCATCGGCCCGGGTATGATGTTCTATGGATTTATATTCATGTCTCGCAAGATGGCCGTCGATCAGCCACGCATGGCTTATCGCCTCGGCAAGCTCAAGATGCACCACACCGCCCCTGACGGCAGGGACTATCTGAACCCCATGTGGCTGCTGCTCTTCCCTGAGGGAACCAACCTGTCCGATAACGGTCGCGTCAAGTCTGCAAAATGGGCGGAGAAGACCGGTATCAGGGATTGTGAACACCTCCTACTTCCTCGGAGCTCAGGCATGTATTTTGTCCTCAAGGAGCTAAAGGGCACCGTCGACTACGTCTACGACTGCACCGTCGCCTACGAGGGCATCCCGTAAGTACCTGTCCTGTCCTGTCCTGTCCTTCCATGCCATGCCCACTGCCCATCCCCGAGACTGTAGGCCCTGGTCAGCATCTCAGCCCCTGATGCACCTATACTGACTCTTCCTTTCTCCCTTCCCTCACAGCCGTGGCGGATATGGCGAGGCATACTTCACATTGTCTGGTACCTACTTTGAGAGCCGACCTCCCAAGTCTGTCAATTTCTACTGGCGCCGATTCCGCATCGACGACATACCCCTGGACGACCATGACAGCTTCGACGCCTGGTTGCTGGAGCGGTGGTATGAGAAGGACGCCCTGATGGAAACGTATGTGAGCTCCGGCCGCTTCCCGGCTATGGCTGCTGCCCCAGGTCAGGCCAAGGCCGATCACAATGACTATATCGAGACCGAAGTCCGCACTAAATACTGGTGGGAATTTCTGCGTATTTTTGTTGTCGTCGCCGTGTTTGCTCTGCTGGGCAACATCGTTTCCAAGATCTGGCACATGGTTGCACATATCTCGGGATGACCAGTCAGTTACCTATGGCGTTCTGCGTCTGTTGTATGGGTTTTATAATAGTCTCCGTTCTGGCAGCCACCTCTGGAGATCCGCAGTAAACAGAATGTTCAGGGCGAGTTGACATACAATGGAAATAGAAGAGAATCATCATACCTTGATCAGACAGTGGTCGATTCTTTTGTTCTCATGTTGGTGTGGCGTCCTTCTGGTCAGGTACTCCGATTTTTGTAGTTTTGCTGGTGAGGACAAGACATACACACACATACATGTTGCGAATTGTTTCATCTGGCGTCTGAGAACCTACATCAATTGACAAGTGCTCCGCTTTACAGAAACTCACACGCTGAGGCTGTTGGCCCTACTTGGTCACGAATGATCTCTTCACTGAAGCAACATTGGTAAGCGCAGGATTCTAGAAAGAATCCATCACACCTTGGAAAATAGTGACATTAACTATCCTGTGTCGGCCCGAGAATCTCGTTGGACCGCATCCGGTGTATCAATATCTTCCACGTGCAAACCGCAACGTCAAAAAGGGGGGTTGAATTCCGTAAATTGCCCGCCAGATCTTAAATCAAGAGATAGATGACATGAACATGATGGTTATTATCTGGACACCTAGATAAAACTCCAACTAATCACAGCCGTCACAGCATGGGTGCTAGGGCGACGACGATCCAGTGGACTCTATAAATCTCAAGAGATTAGTATATGGAGTGTCCGATGTCGAAAGAGACGTTTGGTGGCAACGCCCTGGTTGTTGCACGGGAGTCGAGAGACTTACGCTGCCTTGTCGTCCTTCAAAGGTGTCCAGTGCGCCATGAAGGCCTCGTCGCCTCGGAACACGGCAGACCTTTTTGTCTGCAGGCGGAGAGCGGTGCTCACGGGCGTGCCGCCTCGGATGGAATTGCGAACCCTCGTCTTGTACTCGGACTGTTTTGAAATCATGTTCTGTGCGAAGAACCTGAAGACGTCGCTTCCTGCGACCATAGTACCAGCCATGTTGGCCGGACTGAGAGCCTCCATGACGCCCTCCGAGTAGAACTCGATGACAAAATTGCTCGCGCGGACCACAAGATACTGGAACCATGGTAAGATGAATTATCAACAACAGTTAGCCAGTGCAAGTATGCGCAGACAGTCCACACCGCCTTTGGCTTGAGGCACGCTCACCTTTGAGTACGCAGAGTAGAACTCCTTCATCTGGGAGCTCAGTCCCTGGCCCTGCATGCGCTCAAGCACACCATTTTCCATGCCGGCATCGCCAGCAATGACGGGTGCCTGCTCAGCCTGCCGGACCCCCAAGGCCTTGAGCAGAGCCCGTCGCGCCGACGGTCTCATAGGCTGCCTGGTTGTGGGCGGCGAGGTCTGGAGCACGGCGATATCCTCCGCCGCCTCGTTCGTGTCGGATGCGGACAAAACCTTCATGACGTCGATGTTGTTATGGATCGTTGTCGAGCAGTTCACCTGTCCGCCGAGGAAGAATTCTGTCTCGCCCCTGGCGTTGAAGAGCGGTGCTACAGCGAGGTGGTCACCATGAAAGTTAGACAAGTTGTCATCGCGGCTCTGCAGCTGGGGAGTTTTTTCTTTTTCGCCAATCACCTACCGACATAGAGAAGATTCCAGAAGGGGCCTCCGTTCTTCTTGTAGTTCAGAAGAAGCTCGACACTCTCCTTGCGCTCCTGAATGGCCTTCTTGAGGAGCTGCACCGGCCGGCGGTCTGTCTGGGCGCCCTGGAGGAATCTGCAGTTCCTGGGGATGATTTCTGGCCGTGTGTACCCAGTTACCTTGATGAAGCCATCCGAGGCAAAAACGATCGGGTTATCTGCCATACTATGAAAATGATGATGGGCCCACAGACCCCCGCCAAAGGTCAGCACATTGTGGCTCGTCCAGGTCGCTGCAACCTCGTTGTTGCTGTGACTGTGGCTGCTGCTGCTGCTGCTGCTGTCTAGGTTCGACTTACTTTGGATTGGTCAGGCAGAAACAATCACCGAGGCCTTGATACTTGAATCGATCGCTCCCAAGCGCCCTGGTCGCGCTCAGTGCCAGCTGGTGCCGGACAAAACGGGGGTAGATGTCCTGGAAGACGAGCGTCTCAACCTGATTCTGCAGGTCTGTGAAAACCGTCTCCATGGACGGAAGGGCCTGGTTGACGAGCGACTTGATCTCCTTGTGCGCCTCCTTGAGCAGACCTCCGCTCGCGCTGATCTGGCTGTGCGAGCCTGGGGACAGGAAGGTCTTGTGGATGGATGCCATCTGGCTGGCCAGGTCGTCCAGCGTTGTCTTGTACGCGTCCACCTTGGCGAGGAACTCGACGTTCTCGGCGCACAGTCGGGTCTCGCTGAACTTGAGCAGCCGGTGTGCTGTGGCGGGATCGTGCAGGACGATCTGAAAGATGTTGTTGCTGAAAAAGTCGGGCATGTTATGGTTGTTCGACCGTGACGCTATTGCACTGCTGCCGACAGTCCTAGACGAGATAGATTGTCGGTCACGGATGTCATCTTCGCTGTGTCGCCTACCTGGCGAGGAATGGTTGCTGCTGTACGTGGCGTTGCTGACATTTTGGTACGCCTTTTGATGATATGTCATCTGCTGCTGCTGGTGGTGATGTTGATCTCGATTTCCTGTATACCGTGCACTCGTCACAATGGGCTGGATGTGGTCCTGCGTCGGTGTCGTCGGGTCTCGGCGATTTGTCCACATCATTCCATCCTGGGCGGGCCTGGTTCGCTGCTGCGCAAAGCCATGGTTACTCTGTGGCCTGTCGCTGACCAAGCTGTCTGCCCTCCCGTCCCTGTTCTTGGAAGATGCTGTATTTCTCCGGGATTTCGTGTGGTTTGGGTGGATTTGGACTGCTGGGTTTAGTCGCCTTTCGTGGCTGTCATACTCAAGGTCTGATATGTCGTCAAGATTGAAGTGTTCTTGTTCATCTCCTCCGAAGTCGTCATGAAAGTAAAGGCGAGTCGGCCTGGCGTCTGGGATTGGCGGTGGAGTAGAAGATGTTTCCGGCAAGCGGTTGGTAGTTTCCATGGACACCTTTGCTGATCTTTGATCATAAACACTCCCTTCTCTGTCCTCCTCCTCCCCTTCTTCATCACCAAAGCCATCGTCATCGCCCTCCTCTTCTTCCTCTTCTTCCACAATGACACGGACTCTACCTTGATATGGCTCTGTCACATCTGGGTCCGTAGTAACATTGTAATTAGCCAAGCCGTTGTCGCCACTCAGGTTATTATCTGATCTCGACGACTGTCTGGTTGGAATATCGACCAGAGGATGGTCCTTGCTGCTCGCTCTCGATGTCCGCTGTCGGGAACCTGTGCGGGAGACCGTGTTGGTAGCCGGCGACGTGCGAGAGCCTGGTCTCCCACGATCTCCTCTCTCTGACGGCTTCTTATTCCTCATATTACCGGAAGATGATCTGGAAACGCGCCCTGCGGTCAATGTCTCGGATGAGCCAACCTCGTCGCCCTCCACCATCCTTCGTTCTCTTGATACGCTGGGACCACCAGAAGGTTTGTTTGAGATGACAGGCCTGCTGCGTGGGGGGGAAAGGCCGCCGCTGCGACCTGTGTAGCTGACATCGCTGGCGATGCTAGTCATTGTGTGGGTTGAGCGCGGCGTGACTGCTCCAGGCTCATCCGGGTCCAAGCAGTCTGAGTCGTCCCAGTCAAGCTCGGCGATGGATCGCTGGGCCTCGTTGATGGCGCTTTTGTTGCTGATGTGCCCAGGCAGAATGCGACCGAGGAGTACATCATGATCGGTAGCCATGGCTGGAAGGTACAGTGATTGATTAAGTATGGGAGAGGGTTGTCAGCCAGCCTAGACGAGTGAGTGGCGAATGTCTATGTATACATAAGTACGTATGTATGTATATAACATTACTCCTGGCCTTGATGATCGAGTGAAAACACGAGAGTATGATTAAAAGTTGCCTGTATAGGATGGACCGTGCGAAATCAGTGCGTGACGGATTCTAGTCATGCGCTCGCCTGATTAATTGTCAGTGCAAACAATGTTGAAGAGATCACACGAAGCCAATTCTTGATCATATCCCTCCTTTGACGAGCCAAGCTTTATTACGGCCTTGAAAAAATGGCTATCTGCCACACTCCATCGGTCAACCCCGGTCTTCCAGACGAGCGTCCGAGAGCCCGTCTGCTGGGAGGAGGGGGGAAAGGCGCCGTAGAGAAGTCAGACTTTATCATGGGTGCCTTGCCCGGTCTCATCCCTCCCCCTTTCCCCTAGCAACAGGGCCGAGATTGCAAGCCCCTCTAGAACTTTGTGTATTACAGGATCTGGGACGGAATTGAGGGTGCAAAGGCGTTGCGAATTCCGGAACTGGATGATCCTTGGCACGGTCAAGTACATTGGAGAAGTACACTCTTATTTCGTCTGTATACTATACTATACTATAGTATACCTTTTTTTTTTCTTTTTTTTCGGATGGACTGGATGACCTGCCTACTTTATTAGTGAGGCAAATACTTATACCATGGTAGTACCTATGTATATCATGGTATTATCAATGTTGTGTCTTGCGGGAATCCGATTTCGAGAATCGATACCGAGAGACTCATTCCATAGTCTTTCAAAGAGGGAAAAGTAGAAAAGAACTTGGAACAAGAGAAGATGAAAGCAACCACCAAATTTCTCACCACCTGTACTGGAGGGGCGTGTTCAGTGGGCAGAGGATTCTTGTCACCTTCGTGGGATACAAGGATATCCTGTCCTTATATGTACAAGCTAGAACATGCATGTGTATTTTCAGTAGATAAACTTGGGAATCTGGAAGGTGAGGAAACAAATAATGCAGACTGGATCGACCTCGCGCGCGCGAATAACCAGATGACGCAGACATGGTAGGAATCTAATGGCTTTTCGTGAAATATCATGCCTCAAAACAGTATCAAGAAGCATACTCTGGTTGAGGCCAAGCCCGGGGCTGAGGCTCCTTTCGGAGTCTGTGCCTAATTTATACGATATTTGCGACTATGACACTCTCTCTCCCCGAGTTGGGTTGCAATGGGAGAGAGGTCTAATAGGAACGGCTGACGTATGATGGCCCGATGTGCTGGAAATCGATCTTGACTGTTACTTTCTGTGCTGCCCTGAGACTCTTTTCGAGATCCAACAGGTCTGCCCCTGCGTTCTCTGTGCCGGGCTAGACCTGGAACAGAGATTCAGGGACCGGGGTCTGGATCGATCGGATCTGGACCGCGGTCTACACGTTGGATTCAGTGCAACGCTCCGGGATCAAGATCGAAGATTGCGATCGCTTCTCAAAAGGACGATCTGTTTTTGACCCAGTTAGTCATCAGCTCGTGGATATGTTGGTGGCAGACATGAGATGGGTGGGTGATGAGCCTGGTGAGCAGAGATCACAGTTCGTAATCTCCGGCTTGCAGGACGCAAACAAAGTCACTTACCAAAATGGCAAATGTTGCATTTGGTTTATCGGAATACGATGCCCAAAGTTCATGTGCATGTCATTTCTGACGCAGTAAAGGCCTGAGGTTTGGGCATCAAATAATGGTAGCATTTGCTTGGTGACAAAGTTGTGGTAGGAATTATCGACAAGGAATGAATATAACAATAAGAAATCTTCCCGACACCCAGCCAGCCGCACGTCCGCCTTCTGAAACCTGCAGCGGAGGGTTCTAGAAGCCTGTAATCTCGGCGGCCAGTGGAGTTCCTTTCTATTTTTCATGTGCTTACTTCCATCATGCCGTCAGACGCTCAACATTTCATGGTATAGAATGTTGGTGTCCTTCTTTTTCATTTCCTTGTTCCAGCTCTGTAATCTGCTCTGGAGGGTGCACCTGTTGATAATCAAGTAATCAGTACATAAGAGATGGGCTTTGTAATCTGTCTAATTATGATTAACGCGTTTCTCCAGGAATGCTTACGCAATTATTATATAAGTCTGCTCGTTGAGTCCATATGAGTTGTACTGGCAGGTCTCACTCCCCTGGACGAAGAATATATTGTTTTTGTTTATGCCCAGTTCGACATTACGTTGCTGCTTGTCTAACAGAATTATAACTCAAGAGATCTGTCGTGAATGCAGTACGATGCTTGAATACTTGGAATGCCGTCGATGATCTATAAGTATACCTCAACAGTCTAGCATGAATGACCATAACACTTTAAGAAAGAAGCAACAAATTTGCTGCCCGTCCTATAGATTTGCGTACGAACAACCGCTGCGAAGTAAGTACAGAATACCAATTTCATTGTAATGCTAGCAAGTTCATACATTGTATGCCAACTGACTACTGCTGCTCATCCGCTTCTGCATATCATCGCATATCAAAACAGTGCAAAGACATATATTATTCACAGGTTTGTTTGAAAGTGAAGATCTTCGCCTGGCGCGGCATCACAGCACAAATTGACTTCTTTGCTAAACATTGAGCATCAAAAGTCAGGTCGAAGAACAGTCAAGTGAAATGTACCAGATGACGTAATAATGGCGTAGGGTTTGGAGTAATAGAGCGGCAGTGATGCATCAAATCCTCCATATCTCTCCTTCTTCTCGTTCAAGAGTTCAGACATGAGCCACCAGCAGCCACCAGGAAATACACACTCACGCCTTCTAAAATGACACCTCTCGCAGCGCTCGCGTCGCTCCGTGTGAGCAAACACTACATACCGGCGCACAATGGTCTTCCAAACACCAGCATTCTCAATAAACCACTGCTCATCTACCACGGCGCCTTGCAAGGAAATGATGGCCAATGCGCCACCGCGTCTGCTGTGGAAGCCCATCTGGTGTCCGTGGGAGTCGTCACGCCGCAGTGGCGATACTCCATGTATCCCACCACACACTTCCATAGCACAAGCCACGAGGTCCTCTGCGTCACCTCTGGGCGGGCAGAATTGTGGTTTGGCGGGGAAGACAACCCCGACCGGGTCGAAGCCGTGGTCCAGGTTGGAGATGTCATGATCTTGCCTGCGGGCCTGGCACATCGCCTTTCGCGAGACGTGAGCCAGGATGGCCACAGCTTTGAGATGGTGGGGAGCTACCCAACAGGCTGCCATTGGGACATGTGTTATGGAAAAGCTGGCGAGGAGGAAAAGGTCAGAAAAATCGCGGGACTGTCATGGTTTACAAAGGATCCCATCTTTGGACATCACGGCCCGGTTTTGGATGTGTGAACCGTGGTTGGGAGGAGCAGTAATGTGAGCTACTAGGTTAGTCGCACTGAATTGTTCTGGTCTTTTTCCTATGTACAAGTTGGGCAAGATGTTCTGGCAGCACCTCCTTGAGAGACTGACTGCCTTAGTCTACTGCAGGCCAGTACCTTCGTAGCTCATCTGGACAAGGATACAAGCCTACTAGAGAAGAAGACGCAAATTCATAACGCGCGAATGCCTTGATGTACCAATCGCCAATTGACTCCTCTCACCATGGCCCGTCAGCCACTCGATGTCATCTACCTTTCCGAGCTCATATGCCTTTACGGTTTGTTGTGTCCAACTGCCAAAAGATGAATTAGCATGTTTTCAGCGGATCGATTTGACAGATTCCTCAGAGCCCAGACGTACCGTGAGCCGAGTGTACTAATATTCAACGCGCTCTCCACCGATCCCACATCCAGGCTCAGGCTGGTCATCTCGACCCCTATTGCAGGCTCAGAGGTCCTTTTATACCCTCTGATACGGCAGCATCATCGAAGGTACAAGTCATGCGTAGGCTTGAGTGTCTCCTCTGACAGCCAGGAGTCCCACAAGGGCACTGTGAAGCCCTGCCTGCCGCCTCACTGCCACTGCAGGAGTCACTCGGGCCCGTGGAGCGCCCGTGTCCCTGCGACGCGCCTTTGTAGCCCACAGATGCATCCGACGGATTGATGACGTTGTAGACAGTGTACCAGCCCGCGTTCTTTACCTCTACAGACCGGTGCTTCCGAGAGTAAGGGAGATCCTGAGCTCTCTTCATGTTGCGAAGCATCGCGTCGTATAGATCGCTCCAGTGGGTGTCCGCCGAAATCTGGACGACTCTGTTCCAAACCTTCTGGTCAAGCCTGGCGGGACCTTCAACGAGAAATGAGGCCACGGGCATGGATGGCTGAGCGTCTCCGGATGCGAGAACACCACTCTCGCGACACATGGCAGTATGGGATGTGTTTGAGTTTGGACAACGTAGGAAATCGTCAGAGCTGCTGGCCTCGTCGCCCTCGCTGTCGTTACCCGCACTGTAGTCGACATTCTGCTTGCTCGTCTGCTGCTCGGTCTCGTGTTGGGTCTTCTGGTCCTCAATTGCCGTGTCGGAAAGACCAGTGTTGATGTTGGTAGTGGTAGTCGTCGCCCAGCCACTCTCATCCTTGGACAAGAACTGTTGGTCGTCGCCATCGTCATTTCCCGAGTCCGAGTCCGATTCAGAATCAGATGTTGATTCGAAATCATCGGAATCCTGTCCATTGTAGTCCTCGTAGTCGTCCCAGATCATCGAATCCTCTTCTGAGGTCCAATCGTCGTCCTCGTGACTCTCGACATCTTCCTCAGATGAAGAGCTTGAGCTCTCTTGGATGCTCTCTAGACCGCACGACTGGATAGACCAGGATTGGAGGGACTCTCCCTCACCAGCCGGCCAGTCCCCGCCCGCAGCTGCGGCCCAGTCCTGGATCGTGCCTTCACTGGCTGTCCAGCCCTGGGCTGCTGTCCAGTCATGGACCTCGCCTTCATCATTTGTTGTTGCGCTGTCACCATATGCTGTGACAAACTGACCAACAGCGTCTTGGGCTTTCCTCGGCTGGTCGGCCATCTTGCGCTGGTATTCCTGCTGCAGCCTTGCTATCTCCCTGTCTTTGGCGCTCTTGTTATGCTCGTAGTTCGCCTGCAGACAAGCTTGCCTGACAATTTCTCGAGCCTCGTCCTCGTCGAAGCACGGCAGGAGGATCTCGTTGATCTTGTATTGTCGAAGGACAGATCGGCTCTTGCTTGCCGCGTTCAGCATGGCCTCACGAGCCTTGAGAGAATGCTTTGAGGCCATCACTGTCGCAGGGGTGCCAGACGGTGGAACGCAAGAGGTAATTTGTGTCGTATTGTGTGGGCGACAGGCCTCGCCCGTATTCTCTTCGCTCGTGCTTGACTTTTCGGTAGCTGGTACCACAATCGCGGCGGTGGTGATGGATAGAGAAGAAGAAGGAGGCGGCGAAGAAGACGAAGCCATCTACCAAGGAAGAAGGAAGGGAAAAAAGGGCAGCTTTGAGAGAGCTGCAGCAGTTATCTTTGCTTGGAAAAGGGGTCAAGATGCCAATCCAGCTGAGGCAATGACCAGATGTCAGCTAGCAACGGATTGAGGAGGCCAACGTCCCACAGGTGGTGTTGTGAGTTGAGAAGTAGGGGCTTCTGAGAGGAGCTTGAGCCAAGTGAGGCCTGGCAAGCGTTGCTGACTATTGGTGATGCCTGTTGATATTTGAAAAGAACACCAGAGAAGGGTGAGAGAAGATCAAGAGGCGATGGGACGGAAAAGGCAAAGAAGCGGCCAGAAATCAAAAGGTGTTGTTGGTTGGGAAGAGATTCAGAAAATCAGAGGGAAAGAGGGCAATCGTGTGTAGAAGAGAAGAAAATGAAAAGAGCCAAAAGAGTTGATGGAAATTCACATGGGTGGGAAAAAAAAGAAGTTAGGCAGAACAATGGGTGCAATTGTCAAGGGGTCTCTTATTGACAACAACAAAAAAAAACCAAAAAAACCATGGGACTGAGCTGTCCAAGAAAGGTTGAGAGATGTCTTGTACCTTCCATCCCCTTCCACCTCGTCGATGTGTCAGATTCAGGTTTAGTTCGCCCTTTAGAATGTTGTGGCATGTCCTGCCTCTTTTATTATTTGCTCACTGAGAAGGAACACTCACCACCATACGAGACAACAGGATTCTCTGCACCACAAGCAAACACCACCCTAAGGCTAGGTTTGTGTAGAGGGCAACAGGCAACTTACATTAGGAAAACAATTACGATCCGAATTGCAGTCAATCATAATAATGAGGTCAGAGAGAATAGAGGACGTGATTGTGGGTGCAACTCACAGTGCCAATTGATGATACGGTCCTCCTGCTTCGACCAAGAAGTGAACATATGCCCTTCATCTAACAGGAGCTCGCCTGTGACAGGTGAGCGTATCATATTTGGTGGGAAAAGAGCACACTCTTTTTATCTATGGACACACGGAGGAAGAACCAGAAAATGATATACTGACTGTCATTGTTTGAAACAGGAAGCGCTTTCAAGCAGGCAACATTGGAACAGGATTGAACACGAAGCCAAGCTCAGAGAGCATGTTCTAGACATCAAGTATATTGATTTAGATGGGGGGTATCTTTCCGTATATATTTCCTCCTCCTCCTCCTCCGAATTCAGTTGGATTCACGCCTCCTGATAAATAGCTCAACCAGCGTGGACTGTTTCCCTTCCAAGATCTTCCGGTCCTTGTCACGGCCTGTCTCGGGAGCCCTGCAGACGGCATTGCCAAAGATTTGCGCAACTCTCCTCTCTCTTGCCTTCCTTCTCTCCAGTGCTGCGATGGCTTCGGTGACTGAAGACGCCATAGTTGTACCGGATCCTATCGTCAGGCTCTGCCTGAAGCTCAGGGATCTGCGGCCCAGCGCCCCAATCGCCCCAATCGCCCCTCTTTGGGAGGCTGCTGATGCTGCTCCTGCCCCAGGGGTTTCAATCTTGTCCTTCTGGACAGGCGCGAGCTCTGCGACAACACTGGCCAGGGTGGTGGTGAGAAACACAAAACAGATATTGTGGTTCGGTGCGGTCGTGAGGATATCGAGGATCGCCACCTTGTCGTCTTCTGCGGCTTCTAACCCGGACATGCCCGACCCTGAGGACGACGGCGGGGCCTGACCGAGGGCCTTGATCGGAGCCTGCTCAATTTTCGACCACAGTGGCACACTCACCACGCCATCCGTTAGGCCGCGTAGGAAGTGTACGAGGACCTCGGCAACGGTCTCGAGACGCTGGCACGGATTGGTCTCCGGGAGGAAGGCGTCAGCGATAGGCCGGTCCGTGTCGAGAGTGTCGATCACCGAGGGAATGAGGTGCTCGTGTGGATCGGCGACAAAGTCCTCAAATGGCCATCCATGCTTGTCTCGGGGTATCGTGTAGGACCCCAGCATCTGCTCATCCGCCAGTGTCCGGTCGGTAAGGGTCTCGAGGGCGTCGATCAGCTTGAAGAGCTCCTTGGGCGCAGAGCGGTGGACCGTGAGGCTGTACGGGATGGCGCCCGTGTGTTGCTTGCCCTCCTTGGTGTCGGCCAGCGACGTCACGAGGCGCCGGATGCCGCCGTCAGGGACCCGTATGAGCTCGTCAACAGACCTGCCCATGCATGTGGGAAGCCAGACCGCTCGCACCGGGATGAAGTAATCTCTGCCGTCGGTAACGCGCAACACCAGCACTTCGTCCAGACTCGCCCCTCCTTCGTTGAGCAATCTAGCTTGCGACAATTGCCCGACGAAGACCTGTATGGAAGCGGTCACCGTCTCACCGGGCTCCAGCGTGACCTCCTTCCCCAGATCGAAAGCCTCCTCGCCGCCGCCGACCCCACTGAGCTCCGTCCTCGATAACGAGGTCTCTAGCCACTGGCGATCCGGGCCGCCGTCTCCTGGCTGCTCGGTGGCCGGCTTCTCGACGAAGCTGAGGGTGGCTGGCACACGGCCGGTGTTGGCAAGAGTGAGGTAAGCCGTTCGCCGCTCGAGATATCTGATGTCACCCACATCGACCGAGCCGGAGCCAGATTGTGACCCTTCCACGACGATTGTGATGGACGGCCGGCCCTCATTTTCAGCACGGTCAAGTTCCCGAGCGACTTCGGCAAGCACCTCGGCCTTGAGTTCCGGTACTACAGCGGCGAAGTCGAGTGTGAAAATGGCAGCGACGGGTTTGTGGTCAGATGATGTGACTCGTTGGTAGGAGGTGTAGGTTTCCAGGTTGATGCAGTCGGCGGTGTTGCTGTCTTCGTTGCCCGCAGAGAGCCCTGCAAGACCACCAGCGTCTTCATACTCGTCGTAGTCCAGCCCTGGTTGTCCAGCAGGTTCCGTGTCGCCGTCATGTTCCGGGTCGTAGTCGAAAAGCACCTCATCGTCATCCCCAGCATGATCAATGCCGCGGGCTTTCATCTCCTCATCCCGCCTGTGGGCAGCCGCCTCTTCCCTGAGCTTCAGTTCGAATCGCTCTCGGTCCAGCCTCGTACGAAATAAGATGCGGTCGCACCAGCTGGGCGCTCGTTTCTTCTCGCTCGAGTCGAAGACGCCGACGGTCCCCACGTCGTACTTGTATGAAGGGAGGAAGGAGATGGGCCCTTCCCGCCAGCCATCGTGAAATATCTTGCGCCGTTTCACGGCTTGTTGCAGCTGGTCATGTGGCAGGAGCGAGTCCAGGGTGGCCTGGAGGGATGTTGGATCCTCTTGAGGGTCAGGCTCAAAGTCGTCTGGGTCAGGCAAATCAACACTGTCATCATCCTCGCCGCCAGGATTAGAAGACGACTGGCTTCGTCTTGCTGAGGAATCTTCTGCTGCTGCTGCTGCTGCTGCTGCGCGCTCATCTGTGCTCTCGGGAGTTTCTTTCACGATGATCGCATCCTCATTATTGCTGGGCTCCGGCCGCCGGGTCGAGCCATATTCACCTGTCGTGTGGAGCGTTAACAGGCGGCGTATGTCATCGCCTGGGATGCCACCGAGGCGGAAGTTGAGGTCGCCAAACCAGAAGGCAAAGTCCTCATCACCAATCCTGTCCTCACCCTCGGTGTTATCATATCCAGGGACGGAGACAGGGTCAAACCGGGTGCGATCCACAATGGTCCTGACATCCCAACAGCGGCGCTCGACAGTGGAGGGGTCGCTGCCGCTGGAGAGATGGGAGTTGACAAACACCAGCCTGGTAGCCTCCCCGAGGAGGATGCGGGCGATGGTTGCACCTTTGTTCCCGAACCAACCTCCAACGCCAGTGCCTACAACCTTTGTGCTGATGTTTCCGATGCTGGGAGCCACTTCTGTAGAGGCGTAGAGCAGAAGCAATAGGCCCGACATGTGCTCTGAGGTAACAAAGGTATAGCCCTTGGGCATGGCCGCCTCCAGAGCAAGACGCCACTTGTCTGTGGGGTTTGGGTCCGAGTAGACATACTGGCTGACGGGGTTGAGAGTGACAACCTCCTGCAGACCAAGGACGTAGAGACCGATTTTGTCGCCTGCGAGGATGCGCGGGCCTTCTGTGTCCTGGCTAGGTGTGGCGGAATCTGATGGCTGCGTGGCTGCGGGAACGGAAGCACCATCACCGTCGACAAACCAGGCGGCCAGGTCTTTATCCGTACCTGGGCAGGCGGCAACATTCCAGGTCCCAACCTTTATGCGAATGCGATGAGGTCTGGTATACTCGGCACGACGGGCGTAAACGGCGTGGTGGAGGGAATTGGCGTTCGAGGAAAAGAGGTCGACAGGCTCGGTGGTCTCCGAGGCAGACTGGGCCGGGTTCGGCGGCGGGGCGTCCATGTCGAGAGCACGGCTGGTGCAGGCAGAATGTGGTGTCAACTGAAGCCAGACGCGACGGCACTGGAGAGCATTTAGAAGTCAGAAGCTACATGGGGCCAAGCACTGGTCAGCGCAAAAAAAAGGACCGAATCCAGAGAGGTGAGGTGGGAAATGGGAGGAGCCTCAGTGCGGGTCGAGCTACAAGGGCTCACTCTGCTGCACCAGAGACGCCTCGTCGCGGTCAGTAGAGGACTTACACAGTCGTCCGACCAGAAACAAAGAGGTTGTTCGACCAAAACACCTATATTGCGTGTCTCGACAGAAGGGAGAGAGAGAGGGCAGCCCCAATCCAGCACTCGTGGCGACAACGGTAGGTGATTATATATCAAACTCGCGTTATCGGAAGCGCGAGAGGGAAAACATGATCGCATATATGTAGTAGGGCGAGGGATGTGCGTGAACCTCGAGCAGATGTCTGGAATAAGAGCGGTAGAAAATGGGCACGATGATCCAGATAAGTAATGTAAGAACAGAGTGCGTCTTGAAGTAGCTAATCAAGCAGCGAGGAATCCGTGTGCGCTGCGCTCTTGACTCGTTCTCAAATGACAAAGTCTACTGCCCAGGATAGTCAGGCACGAGCAGGGCAAAACATTACTGTACATAGCAGTCGTAAATAATTACATGGGGGGGGGGGGGGGCATGATCTCCCTCCCACCTCTCTGCTGCTGACGTCGTGTCGGTCTGCAGCTAAGCCCCCTTTGGCGGCTTGGTGCCCTTGCCAGTTCCAAACCGCCACTCAAAGACAAGGCTCAACGTCCCTGCAGCCAGAGAAGTCCGATAAGATAAGAGCTCTGAGCTGGTACCCACTTCTTTCAACGTCACCCCTCCTTAAGTACGACTTCAGGTTTGCGCATACGCCATGATTATTACCACTTCGCACCTTGCCTCGACGGTATGGTAGCCTTGTGGCTACTGACCTTCCCGAATCTTTGATTTGAACTCCTTGTATTTCTCTTCCTCTCTCGTGTTTCGTCTCTCATGATAGCGCATCGCTCATACGCCACAGCACGAGCATCTAACATGCCACGCCAGAAACTCGCGCCATACCGGAACTTTCTCCTGCTGTCCTGATCTCGAGTCCAGACCGTCGTCGCGTCTATCTTTTCTTGTTCAAGTAGCCATCGAGGCCTCCTCCCTCAGCCCTCACGCCTCATACTCTGTCCCAGGAGCCAGAAAGTCCAGCTGAAATGTAGGTTCAGCTCTCTGATACCCTCCCGCGTCCTGTTTTGTTTTCTCGAGGCATCTGCTGAGTTTTCTCCTCTCGTAGCAACGCCAATTGAGCTTCCTACCTCTCATCCTTACACCCGCCCGATCTGACCTCTGAAGCTGCCTGGCTCCAAGGTTACCGAAACAGCATGAAGCCCTCAACGCCCCGAAGGTCTCGACGCCAAAACCAGCCCGCCACGCGAGCAGGAAATACTGTGCCTGTCTCTGACTACGAATCTGATGGCCCTTCTCACCGAGGTCCCAATGCCCAATTCAGCCAGTCCACCGTCACGGTCACTGCCACCGCTACTGTCACTGCAGGCTATCATGGTGCGCAGCCGGCACAAGGGGGCACTCGTACTATCGGGGACATGAATCTTAGCGTCATCAAGCGCTATGTGCCCACCGTCCAATCCTATATATCCATGGCCCACCACGTGCTCGTCTTTCAGTGGGACCACGAGAAGGAGGACTGGGGCGAAGAGCTCTTCAAGGGGCCACTCTTCATTTGCAACCAGCTCCCTGATATGACTACCGGCGCCCCCCTCCCACGCGCCTGCATTTTCCTCATCAACAGAAACTCGCCCGAGAATTTCACCCTCGACCTAGCTACCGTCTTGGACTGCCAGCAGAACGACAGCCAGAAGGACTTCCTCGAGATCTATGCAGCTACTCCATCGACAGATGCCGTCCACTGGGGTTTACTCATAAGGGAATCGGAGAGCTTGGATGACACCTGGGCTGCCCTGCAAGACCGGTGGCGAGCTGTACAGACAATTCCTGTCTGAATGGCTAGAGAACGCTTCCATCGTATTAATACAATCTTGAGCCTAACAGGCATTATTTCCATACTCGTATACGTAGCTCGTAGGCTTTAATTTGGCAATCTCCATAGCCTTTTCTCGAAGCCGGGAGCGTCAAGCTTCTTCGGCCTTGGGGTTTTGAGACGCCCCCACTTCCTGGAATAAGTGCCGAAGACGGAGTGCTTGGTCGGATCTTGCATGTAGTCTTGGACCTTTCAAGGTAGTGGAGATGGAAGTATCCTAATGCAACAAGACTCTTTATAACGACGGTGGCAGCAGTTTGCAGCACGGATACAGAGCTCCCGCACGGGACACGCGTGCAATTGAAATCATGGGTCAATCTACACCGGTGGTACGAAGGGATCACTGAATACGTCAGCACACTGGCTTCACAGACGCCGCCGAAACTTAAAGGACGGAAAATGAGTTGTCTGACGCGAGCTTGCTCCACTTTCCAGAGTGAGGCTGGCGAGGGCGAAACTCCGAAACTTAAAACTTAAAGATAGACAGGGCGGCAGCAAAGGGAATGGACGAAGCAAGGATTTCCACAGTCAAGACGCAATGAGAAATAAATTTAATATGGCAGAAATTCACGATTGAAAAGAAAAGACTAGACTCGACGCTATGACCACTTGAGTACTTATTAAAAGTCATCAACTAGGTGCACTGCGTTTGCATACGAGCCATGGCTATTCCTGCAGTGTCCCCAACCCTAATTTTTCTCCCAGACCTTCTGATCTTCCTCTCCTCGGTCTCTTGGTCCAACACGCTCTATTTGGACCTCGAAGGGAACAGTCTTAGCCGAAACGGCACTCTATTGCCGTACTTATTCATCCCACACAAGCGACAAGTCTAATCGATATCCAAACCCTCGGCAACTCCGCCTTCACCACGCCCAGCGCCCACGGGACGACCCTCAAGGCCATCCTTGAGGACCCAATGACTCCGAAATGCCTCTGTGTGAGAAATATTCAGTCACCCCGTCTAAGCAAGCAGCGCCGATGGCTAGATAGATGTTTGCGTACATCAGTGGGATGCTCTCGGCTCCTTTGGCGGGATCGGTCACGTCGCCCTGTATGATGCACACGCACTTGAGCCAGGTACATTTACAGTTCTTGAGCAAAGAAAATTTAATTTATTCTACAGCTGAGTGCAAAACCCTTTCATAAGCACTGTTGGTATTGGAAATTCTAAAATAGAAGTTATAAAATTATTGTGCCAATAAAAAAGAATGATGAATATAAGCTGTAATCAACGATTAGAAAACACATGCTGGATATTGGCAGAGGCCGGTAATGCTCAGTGAAACATCAGCAAGATAATATCGGGTAATTATTTTAAATAATAATAGTTAATTGTCAAGCGATGTGCATGCATAACACATGACATGAGCTCATGGTTTTCAATAGTACACCAAATTCCCTCCCAAGCCCCTCTCCCAAGCCTCTGCCCCCACTTTTTATGCTTGAAACCCCGAACGCAGCTTCCCGAGGATAACGAACGACAAATCCCTTATTATCATTGGGCCGCTCTCATCGGCACATGTGGCAGGGGACTTCTTGGCAGGAAACTCCACTACGCCTCCCTCTCTGGCTTTGAGACTCCCCTCCCCCCCAAAAAGGACGCAGAACAACAAGCAGCCTTGGTCCTTGGTCCTCTCTTCTGTTTTTTCTTTTTTCTTTCATGATCCTGTTACGTATACTCTATTTTACAATCAGATTCAAGACGCCAATTTGCCCAATTGGGATTCGGACGTTTAGTGGCCATACAAAACCAAGGACGGCCAGCTTTGTGCACACATGGTCACTTATTAGTCGATACATCGACCTGTGCATCCTCTCTTGCTTACGAAGACCAACAAGAAGAACGGTATGCACGCAATGGCTGTGAAGGGGGGTTACCTTCCGGGAGCAGTAGGAGCAGTTCGCGCAAGGGGTGTCTGGTCATTGGCTGGTTTCGATCGGCGCCCGTGGATCAAGACACCTTCGGCCCCAGCCGTCCGGCCTACGCCTACGAGAAAAGACCTAGGGCTCACTTCCCATTTTCAACATCGGATGAACAGCACAGTCGTCGACAGAGGGGCCATTTACGATGCAGCTCCGCCACCAGAGCCTCCATTGCCCCAATCTGTACCTGCGCCCCCGCATTTTCACCGTCACACTTTGAAGGATCAGTGGCAAGATCCGAGCGAGGCAGAAACTGAATCCGTGGAAACCAACCGGCAGATCTTTCTGGACGCTGTGAAAACGGCGAGGGTGAGGACTGACTGGACGAGGAAGGAGGTTGCTGCGATTTACTACCAGCCCTTGCTTGAGCTGGCTCACCAGGCTGTGAGTATGAAGCCTCTACCCCCGCCTCGAGCCTGTCCCGATCTAGGCTAATGTTTTCTCGAAGGGAATTGTTCATCGCCGATTCCATGCGCCTGGGGAAGTCCAATTATGCACCCTCATGAACATCAAAGAAGGCGGTTGCACTGAAGACTGTTCATACTGCGCCCAGTCGAAACGATACCAAAAGGGAACCGGCCTGGTCGCCAAGAGGGTGGAATCCGTCGAGTCTGTGCTTGAGGCCGCACGCAAGGCCAAGGAAAACGGGAGCACACGGTTCTGCATGGGCGCCGCATGGCGGGACATGAAAGGCCGCAAGAACAGCCTCAAGAACGTCACCGAGATGGTCAAGGGCGTCCGCGCCCTGGGCATGGAGGCCTGTGTCACCCTTGGCATGATCGACGCCGAGCAGGCTAAGCAGCTGAAGGAGGCCGGGCTGACGGCGTATAATCACAACCTCGACACCAGCCGCGAGTTCTACCCTAGCATCATCTCGACGAGGAGCTTCGACGAGAGGCTGCAGACGCTCGCACACGTCCGTGACGCCGGAATTAATGTCTGCTCCGGCGGCATCCTCGGCCTCGGCGAGTCCGCCATGGACCGCATCGGGCTGCTGCAAACAGCGGCGACGCTTCCAGCACACCCAGAGAGTTTCCCAGTGAATGCGCTGGTGCCCATCAAGGGCACGCCTTTGGGCGATCGCGAGCAGATTGCCTTTACGAGCATGCTGAGGACCATTGCAACGGCGAGGATCGTCATGCCTGCTACGATTATCCGCATCGCCGCGGGCCGCAAGACCATGTCTGAAGAGAGGCAAGTATTGTGCTTTATGGCGGGGGCCAACGCCATCTTCACCGGCGAGAAGATGCTTACGACAGATTGTAACGGATGGGATGAAGACGAGATAATGTTTGGAAAATGGGGATTGAGGCCCATGAAGAGCTTTGCCAAGGAGGACTCGGTTGCTCACGAACATGCGTGAGGGGCCGCCTGTGGGGGAGTTCCCCGCCGTTTCTGGTGTCAAAATTAAAGCTTGTTCTTGATAGCATGCCCAGTCAGAAGCACTGTCTCTGGGATTGTCATGGTCTCCGCCGTCGGGTTTTGCTGGCTGGAGACCCATTCCTCGATGGCTTCGCACAGTTTGGCGCATTCCTTAATCGTGTTTCCAGCATGCAGACAGATTCTCACCCTGTCGGTCCCCTGGGGCACTGTCGGCGCCACGATCGCACGTACCATGTATCCTCTGCCCTGGCAGTGCTCCGCCAGACTCCTCGCCTGCCTCACGAAAACAGGGATAATGGGCGATTGGATGGAGCCTGGGTGAATCCTGATCACCTCAGCCGATGCGTTTCGTTTTAGGCACAGCTGTGATAATCGCGCCCGTGTATACTCTATCAGGCCCTGCAAATGACGTCGTAAAGCCTCTGCCTGGTCGCTGGTGATGAACTCGTACGCGACTTGTATGCTGGCCAGCCCAGGGAAGCCCATCGCTGTTGTGTAGATCAAGGTGCGGGCGTAGTTGATCAAATACTGCCGGGTGACTGGCGAACAGAGGACGATTGCTACAACCAAAGAAACAAAGGAAATAAGAAACCACGACCTGTGTCAGTCCTCGGCATAGGTAAGAAGGAAATAGGATTTTGCCAGCTGGTCGTACCTCCAGAGCAGCCCAAGGCCTTACCGAACGTGTGAACTCTGGCCCACACACGACTTTCAAGATCGAGCTCACAGACAAGCCCGCGACCGCGCGTGCCGAACAAACCATTTGAGTGTGCTTCATCAACAATCACATGGCCGTTTCCTAGGGGTAGATACTGCTCAACACAACGAACGATGTCGCAAAGGGGGGCGAGGTCACCGTCCATGCTGTAGACAGCTTCGACAGCGATAAACACATGTTTTCGCCCCTCTCTGACGGCTCTACCATCTTCACCTCCCGTAGTGGCTCGGAGGACACCAGAAAGACTTTCCAAATTTGTTCCCTGGTCTCTAGCACTGCCCTGCGAGTTAGAGCAAGAAGACAGACGCTCATCCCCAGCCCATATGCGGTTGTGGCTAAATCGCACCACTCGCGCCGCCCTGCACAGCTTTACACCCGCGTGCACACTCGCATGCACGAGCTCGTCGAGAACAACGACATCCCCAGCGCGTGGCACACATGCCAAAAGGCCTGTGTTGGCTTCATAACCCGAGTTAAAAAGCAAGGCAGCGCCCGCGCCGTGAAATTCGGCAAGGGTCTGCTCGAGCGTCTCGGCAAGCGTCGTGTTCCCGTCGAGGAGACGCGAGCCGCCAGATCCGAGGCCAAATTCTTCTCCCGATGTTTGTAGGCGCGAGATATAGCTGCGTTTGAGGTCAGGATTGCAAGAGAGCGAAAGGTAGTCGTTGGACGAGAAATCAACGAGGGGTGTTTGTTGGGTTGGCGTTGTCAGGCGGCGGAGAAGGCCGCGGGATTGACGTCGGGCAAGGACGAATGAGAAGACATCATCTAGGGCCGAAGACATGATGCAGGCGCGACGATGATCATCGATGTACAGTAGCTCTTGCCCTGGAAAGGCGCTGAGAGAGAGAGAGAGAGAGAGATAAAGAGCTATGCGACATTTTAGGTTCGACGAGGGAGGGAAACACGTGATGAGGACCCCACCTCTTGCTGGAGAGAGCTTGCCCCTCCGTCCCTTGCACTTGCTTGTGAGACTCAAGCGAAGACTGCGCTCTCAAAGGACACAGTAGAACTTTCCTGTCCGCCCGACAACGGTGGCCACGATGAGATTCCCGCCCATCGCCTCCCTCTTCTGGCGTTCACAACGGATATATCAAGTTTTTGGCGCCAATACTGATGTGGGCAAAACTATTTTCACGACCTTACTGTGCAAGGGTGCCAAGTCGCTCTGGCCTGCCAAGTCTTGCGCTTTCCTCAAGCCCGTCTCAACAGGCCTGGCTTCTGAAGCTGATGACTAGTGTGAGCATATCCTCAAATGTTTTTTCTTTCTATCCGTCTCTTCTTACTTCTGTTCACTGGCAAGAATTAATGATAAAGTAGACGTGGTTTATGTTTGCCTCCTTCTGTTCTTGTCTCGGTGGATCAATGGACGTGTTATAAGCGGTGTCTTCGTGGCAAGTTTCTGACGCATCAACCTTCAGCCATGTCAAAACATTTGCACCTGATGTCGAGACCACAACATTGTTCCAATATGATCTACCTGTGAGCCCACACATCGCAGCACAGGCTTCCACAAAAGTAAGACGTCCACGTGCAGGTGTAGATTCTTCCTTTCCCGTTCTGATTCTGAGCACTCTCTGCTTCATAGACAAACCCCCCAGATCACGAGCTCTTAGCAAAATGTCGAGACTTGGCGGCAGACCGCGCAGCTCAGGGAGATGGATGGCTCTTCCTCGAGACAGCTGGCGGAGTCCACTCCCCAACACCCTCAGGAACAACCCAGGCCGATCTGTATATGCCATTGCGACTCCCTTCCATCCTAATCGGAGACGCCAGACTGGGAGGCATCAGTCAGACTATATCGGCCTTTGAGAGTCTGAGGATTCGCGGATACGACGTTGAATCTGTGTTGCTGTTTGAGGACCATCAATACGGCAATCTAGAGTATCTTTCAAATTATTTCAGGGATCATCACAGAAATGTGAAGGTGGCTGGTCTAGTTGGCCCTCCTGACAGGAAGCAGAGCCAGCCAGAAGATGCCAATTCCATGCGCCGGTACTATAACGACACAGCCGAGAGCACAGTGCTGCAGAATGTCCTCAGGCACCTGGACAGAAGACACGAGGAACGCATCACCACAATCGAGACCATGGCCTCACGAGCACACCGCAGCATCTGGTGGCCGTTCACGCAGCAGTCTCGCTTGAAGCCAGAGGGCATCACAGTGATCGACTCCGCCCACGGAGATTATTTTCAAACGCTGAGGCCCCAAAACGAGATTACGCAGTCGACAACTGTCTCGTGCTCTGAAGAACACAAGTCGCTCCTGCAGCCGTCCTTTGACGGCTCGGCATCCTGGTGGACACAGGGCCTAGGCCACTCCAACCCTCGCCTCACACTCGCTGCTGCATACGCCGCCGGGAGGTATGGTCACGTCATGTTTGCCGAAGCAGTTCATCAGCCAGCTCTTGACCTCGCTGAGACCCTCCTTCGGGGACTGGGAAACCCTCGGCTCAGCCGCGTCTTCTTCTCGGATGATGGCAGCACAGGCACCGAGGTTGCGGTGAAAATGGCTCTTCGAGCAGCTAGGATGAGATACTCCACGGGGACAGGAGAGGATGACCCCCTGTCCACCAAGGCACTCGGGGTGATCGGGCTCAAGGGCGGATACCATGGTGTGTTTTATAATGACCCGTCAGACGATACATGCGCCCAAAGTATACTAATCATCATAGGTGACACCATGGGCGCAATGGACTGTGCTGAACCGTGCATTTACAACGAAAAGACTGAGTGGTACACTGGCAAAGGCTTTTGGTTCGACTATCCAACTGTTCTCTGCATGGACGGCCGATGGCAGGTCCGCGTACCTGATGAGTTGAAAGCACAATTCGGACAGGAGCGCCAGTTCAGCTCACTCAATGAAATATTCAACCTGGATGCCAGGGAATCCCGAGGCGAGCATCTCGTTTATGAGACCTTCATATGGACAACGCTCCAAGCCCTGCACCAACAGGGGCGGAGATTTGGTGCTCTGATCATCGAGCCTATAGTTTTGGGGGCAGGAGGGATGGCACTTGTGTAAGTGAAGCTAGCCACGTTGCATATTTGACCAGCCCCCTCCAGCAACTGACTTTTAATCCAGCGATCCGCTCTACCAACGCGCCCTTGTGAGCATAGTCCGTCGGTACAACGAGTTGTTTGACGGCTCAGCGTCGTCCAAGTCCCATGTGAAGGACCCCACCGCCTGGTCAGGACTTCCCGTCATATGCGATGAGGTTTTCACAGGCCTGTATCGCCTCGGACGTTTCAGCTCTTCCTCATTTCTCCGCATAGACCCAGACATTTCAGTGCACGCCAAGCTGCTCACGGGAGGTCTTGTTCCTCTCTGCACGACTCTGGCCTCGGAGAGTATCTTCCAAGTATTTGGTAGCAACGAGAAGACCGATGCGCTGTTGCACGGTCATAGCTACACGGCGCATCCGGTCGGATGTCAAGTGGCCTTGGAGTCTCTTACCGAGATGTCAGCAATGGAACAAAGCGGCGCCTGGGACTGGGCGAAGGAAAGTGGCTGGATGGACTCTGAGGACATTCAAGACCCACAGGCCGGAGCCTTTGGAGCTGGCGCTGAAGTCTGGTCAATGTGGCCGCAGGACCTCATTACCAATATATCCCGACAGAATCCTCGCGTGCTTGGCGCATGGGCCCTCGGCAGCGTGCTTGCTGTCCACTTGAGAGACGAAATGGCCACAGGCTACAGCAGCAACGCCGCTGTATGCCTGCGGGATAACCTTCTTCGTGGCGACAGCAACGGCCCTTGGAATGTCCATTGCAGAGTTCTTGGCAATGTGCTTTATCTCATGTCGGGACAGAATACGCAAAGAAGCGAGATTGAGCGAGTGGCAAGCTTGCTTGAAACTTGTTTACGTACCATGTAGTCTACTAGCAGTGCGATTTTCGTATTGCAGACTTCCAGTTGACATTCCTGTGGACGCTGGTAGGAAACGCGCCAGTGCATATTTACACTCATGAAGAGGTAGTGTGAAAACATGGGCTGGTCGCCTCAGAAGGCTATATCAACTTCTCCCGAAGCCTAAAAATAGTCACATTTTCAAAGATCTTCCCTTTGTTCAGATAATTTCATTGCCAATACTGTTCTGCAGTCTCTACATTCCTCTGCTTGCGCCTTGTCTTGCGTATTATGACCCCCATCTAATGTGCACGCTAGGCAAATAGATCAGGTGAGGGACAAGTCACGGAACGACGCTCTCGGGCGTTCAAATTCAGCATCTCAGCCACGGAGCAAACTTTCCTGCCAAAGGGATCATGGAAGACTTCGTACGTTATTCTCATTTCGATGTAATTATTCTGTTCGAACACATGTCCCAGAGCGCTTCATTCAACCGCACATAACAATAGACACAAACCTGGGCCTGGACTCTCCAACCTGATCTGATCCCAGCTACACGATATCGGACCTGCCCATCATGGTTTCATTATTATACCCCCAAGATCTCCAATTCCAGTACCCGCACTTTGACCAAGACGCATCGTATACCTTTCTCGCCTTTGGCAATTGCCGATATTCTAGGTTCTGCCTGAGAGCACACGAGAGGTGACGATAACAACCGCCGCGCCCAAAAGCAATCTGGTGAAAGATGTGGCCACGGCTTTGGGTGCCATCCCGGTACTCTCTTTGCCTAAATTCTCACTGAAGCCAACAACCTTCAAGCATGTGAGCTGTGCCTCAGGAGAAGACACTATGCTCCCACTTCCCGGGTAGAACACCGATAAGATAGGTGTCATCCGATACGTGTCGTTCTCCAAATATTCGAGGTCATTTATCTGCATTCCACCCAGTCAGCTCTAGCCCGTGTTTGCTTGTAAGAAAAGAAGAGGACGTACGGTGGTTAGAAACTTGTCAACGAGTGCAAGGTTGTCTGATCTCGGTTGAATGGGCCAACTGTTTGAACTTAAATTCTGTTCCTCGGAAATGGGCTGTGGGCTTGTCAAGGCTGGCAAAAGAGCTCCGTGTCAGCATACAAATCAATGTCTGGGGCTCAAAAGACCTTACATGTTGCGGTTACGTTCTGCCACTTGTTTCCGAAAGCATATTCTGCGCATTCGTTGTCTAGGTTTGACTCAAAGCTTTGCTGCAACGCCCCACAGGCGTCCGTCTCGTTGGATACATGGAGACTCGCAGCTCGCTTGGTGAGTGCATCAATGCAGGATTGCTGAATTGCATCAGGGCACGTTCCAGTGGATATGGCAGTCTCAGGAAAGGGACCTGGAAAAACTGCGTTGAAGTGACGGAAGAATACCGCACATGCCTTCGTATCGTTATCCCCAAGGCTCTGGCCCTGTGGTGTGGCTAGATAGTAGTTCTCGCCATATACCACCTTGGGAGACGTGAGGGCATAACTGCCTTGGATCCATGACAGAGAAGGGAAAGATGTGTTTTCTGAGAGGATGGGCGCCACCCCAATCCCCTGGTCCAAGGTGTTATTGACGATGGTGCAGGTTTGGTTAAGTGGGCATCCGACAGTCTCGCAGCCGGTCACGTTATTGTTCGCACCGTGAACCAACCCGAACCCGGCTAAAGCTGCAAGAGTAATATAGAGGGGGATCTTATGAATAAATGTGTCCATTATGTCTCTTTGAGTTGAGTCTGGAGAGGTTTGTTGAGGAGGTATGACTGATGATGACCAGAGTGGGTTTAAGCCTCGAAGAAAATCTGCGACAACACAAGAGGAGCGACCTGTCAGGTTTTTATAGAAATTTAGGACGGAGGAAACAAGTTGCTCTACACGAGTTCTGCCTGGAATAATGGCTTCGCAACAGGCTGATAAGAGAGTTTGAGCTCTCACCTGCTTGGTGACCAGTCTCGAAGCATGACCAGATTGTGCAGCATAGCCTCTTCCAATGCTATTCTGAGCACCAACGCCCGCCACTTCCAGTTTATGCCAAGTAGCCCTGAGTTACGTCGAGGGTTCTTGGTTGCGTGCTCTCCACTGGCGGTCTCCTCGTATTTACAAGGTCTCACTGATGAGACCGGAGGCGAAACCGTATGCAGTGCATCATGCCCGCGACGATTCGGCCCTCAGGCTATTGCTGGTCACCAGTATCCTGGGTCAGAGGAAGAGGCACCAGAGTCTTGAGACCCTTGCTATTCTGAAGTTGGATTTGATGGTATTTTGTGACCCGACATACTACAAAGTAAGCAATTTTGCCACTTAGCTGACCACTGTGCTTGTTGTTAGGACGCCTCCAATTGGTCGATGCATAGTGCCTTTTTTCCTCAGCCCCGATCCTTTCAAGAATCATATAAGTAAAGTTCAGTCTTAAGAGCGTCATATTAAAGTTGGATGACTAGTCAATTACTGTTTCTGTTATGATCCTTCCCGTCGGCGCAAGAGGTAAATGGCAAGGATCCGAATAAGTGGTGGTCAGGTCTGCAAGCTGATTGGTGTGTTGTGCTCAAATCTTGTATTCTTGGACGGCAAGATGGCTTTGACCACTTGTAGAATTTGACCAGGCTAGGAAAGCAGGCGACGGAGGAAGTCCACAGGAGGGTTCCTCCCCTCAGAATAGTATACTTGCCAAAGATCCTCCCGGAGCTCGAGGAGGCTTTCTTGCATTAGCTGCATGGTGACTACAACCACGCACAGGTTAATTTCGTATTGACTCCAGAGTAAAGTCCGAAAGCTGATACAGCATTCTGGAAATCTTTTCCTTCTGTCAATATTCTCTGATGGCAACAGTGTCAAATGGTTGTTTTAAGCCTCAATGGATTTGATGTTCAGCATCGGCGGTCCGTCAACCCGTCCTCAACCAGACACTTGGGTTTGACATGGCCAAGACTTCAAACTACCTGTGTGACATCTGAGTGAAGTCTCAGCTGTTCTTAATTTATCTGACCGCTGAGGTTATCCAACGATGTTTACGCGGGTGAAAGACGGCCAGTTATCCTTCATTGCCTGAAGGCCGCGTCCAGACATGCCTTATTTACGAAGCTGATACTCGCTACTGTTGGAAATTTGGTTTCATTCCAGACGAGAATCAGGCCTCAAATGGGCCATAATGTTGTTGACAGTCGTATGGTGCTCCTACCTGTAATAAACATGAACAGGTAGCAATAAAATGGCATGCACGGGTTACGCTGTGCGGAAGGGCTCACCCGTCAAGCATGTAAAATACATGTGAAGGTTCGCAATATTGTACTTCTATAATTATGCGAAACAAATTACGGGCAAATTGACCGGCCTGACGAGGGCCAGAGGGTTTCCAGGAGTTTCGATTCTTCCTACAAGAAAGGCCTACTAAAGGATGCCATGACAATCTTAGAGTATACCGTTTTGGAGTTCAATCAATGATTCATGCCGTTGGTCAGAAATAGGCGTGTCTCAACCTTCAACTTCACCAAGGCTTCAAACAAGACGACCACCAAGGGCAGAGCCAAGTTGATGGAAGCGGCTACTGTCGCCGTAGGCTTGCGTCTTAAACGTAGCCTTCATTCTCACGAGAGCGTTCGTTTGCGCCAGAACCAAAGACGTGATCTATACTTTGTATGCCCTCCTCTTGCATATATAAGTTGTGACGACTCGCACCCAGCAGGATAACAAAACAATTTCTGTATCCCAAGCCTGTCTTTACTACTACACAATAGTCACACTCCTTTCCATATCCCTCAACGCGCAAGCTGGTCTTGCAGTCACTCTCATTTTACCAATTTCATTTGTCATAAATCTTTCTCGGTCATTTGATCCTCTGCCAAGGAGAACCAAGTTCAAGGATCCATCTCAAGGAGAACGCTCATCTTAACGTCCTTATTCGACACAGACAGGTCCTGTAATACTTGGCTTGCAACGACTTCAACGAACAACAAAACGCCAACGTCAACGACATTCTTTCAACTCGCCAAGCCAGCATTGTTATAATCACTCATTAATCCGCGAAAATGGCTGAAACTATCGGTCTCATTGCTGATATGTTTGGAATCGTCAGCGGCTTTACCGATCTGCTCCAAGCCTCAGACAGCAGCAGCAGCAGTTCCTCATCCACAAACCCCAACACTGCTACCTTCCGAATTGGTGTTGGAGCCAATCTCGACGGGCATACAGGCCTTGGTGGTGATCTGCCAGACGCCCGAAACTTTGGAGTCGAGGGCAGCTTTTTAGGAATCGTTGCTGACCCTGATTCTGTACGTGTGCACGTGCGAGTCATTATGCTCCCAGCTTGCCTTCGTCATCGTATCGACAATGAGCTGACAAAGTGCCTACAAATTTCACAGACAGTGCAAGCAGGAACTGCCGAGTCTTTTACTCTAACCCAATCAAACCGGTCAAGAGGCTTTTTACACGCTCTTCTCTGCCAATGATGATGCTATATGCCTTGCTTATGCGTTCATGACCATGGCAGGTCAAGAGGCAGGCCAATCATATGGCTTGGACGGCACCTTCGGATCCTATTGCGGGGCCAGTTGGTATTGTGTGTCTCTACAAGCCTTGGAATTCCACCAGAAGCCTAGCTAATCATCACTACTTGGTACAGTAAGTGAGGTGGTGGTTCCAGGAACTAATTACATGCCCAAATGCATGTGGATCGATGAGAATTGCAGCCAACCCGCTACCGGGTTTCAGTAAGCATTGTGGATCTTCGGATTTGTCTTTGCCCTCCCGTCCGACCCAGAGCTTCAGCTCAACGGACTTAACCCAGCGTATTGGGAATGACATCGTTCCAAGTCAAATGGTCAACAGTGTGCTAATGACTGAACAGAGTCAACTGGGTGGACATGTCGTCTCAAAACATGAAAGCGAACGGCACTGCGGCACAGAATATGTGCAACACACCTTCATTCAAGGTCTACACAGACAAAGACCCAAAGTCGATAACTTATTGGTCAAATGGCGATGACCCTTCGGTTGATAAGGGAGCCCGCTCTGTCTCTGAGCTGGAATCTACATATCATTCTGCGGAGGCACCACCGCTTGAGAAACGACGGTGGAAGTCCAGGACTAGCACTAAGAGAAGCCTCGCAGATAAGTTCAGCGAGATTCTCGTCATCTCGGATCACGCTGAGCACAGGGCCGAGGAGCTCTGCAATAGTACGACGTCTGCTGGGCCCGGATTTGTCAACCCGGAGCAGAAGTGGTTTTGCGATATGACCAACAAAATCCTTCATCCTGTGTGTGGCAACAGTACTGTCGTACCGCCTCCTTCGACCAATGCAACCATCTCGATCTTGACAAATGCAGCTCCGACGGGAGACAACTCGACCTTGCTCACACACTCTGGCTCCCCAACGTGTTTCGATGTCGACAGCAAGCAACTCCGTAAGTGACCCCTGTAGCTTCATGTTTTTTTTTCTCTCGCGAACACCTAGGCGCTCTTTGCTAACTTTGCTATACTGCTCGTGTACAGGTGGCGCAGGTGTGAAAAAGCGTTCAACTCCTTCCAACGTCCAGGACTGGAGAAAGAGCTTGTAAAAGTCTGTCCATCAGGCCAGGGTATCATACTGCGCACTACGCTCGAAGCGTAGACTACAAGGATGGCAGGAAAAGCAGAAGGGACAGATTGAATAGTCGCGATCCAAAGTAGACGGTAAGAGCCGGGTAATGTCAGGTGCTGTTCACACTGATCAGTGGAGCTGGGGAGGAGTGCTGGCCATACATTCCATCGTTACTCAGTTAGAGGTAGAAATAATTAGGTAGAAATAATTGAAGGACGATCTCCCATCCCAAGTTCTCTTTTTGTAGGATCACGGACTGATGTTACGGTGAGACCAACTTGCATACTTAGGCACTTTTATCAGGATTTCAACAAAGAACGTTAATACTCACAGCCATTCACACCCATACAAGATGGTCGTAGTCGAGTCTGTGCCGCCGGTTGGATGCTGCTCCCCATTCAGCTTGCAAAGAGTCTTACAGTAAGCACAGACCGAGTAACCAGTCTTAACTGTACTTGTGTAGCATTCAGTTGAATGAAGCTTAATTTACGAATACGGATGGAGACCCTTGTCTTTCGCATTTCTTCTTTCGCCCTTACGCTTCAAATCATGGTTCTTTCTATTTCTAATACAACTTTATATAACAAGTATAGGTCGTTCTCGCTGCCAGTATTAATGTTTCTTCGACGGACATACATAATATCGCTATGGCAGTAGACAGATCGGAACAGTCCCAAATTGAACTGAGGCGTCTGATCTGGTCAGCAGATGCACCACTGGTTTAGAGATTGAGAACAGAGGTGCTCTGGCAGACATCCGTAAATAATTAGGGCTGAGCTTGTGCTATGACATTTATCACATGGTCCTCAGCATCTCGGAGCTAACTCATAGGGCTGGGCAGGCTGCAAAAGTCCCGGCCCCCCGGAGATTGATGGCGATATGCTCATGGCGAATCAGTACTTATTGGCTGACGAGGCAACCCATTCAATACCTCTAGTATCCCGTTCAGCTCTAGAACTTGCCAAACTTCTGAGGAATTTGCGTTTTATCAAATGCATACAGAGAATGAGTATATATATAAGTGTGTGTATATATTTATGTATTTCAAACAAAAGTCCCAATTTCTGTAATCAAAGCTACTAAACAGTTACTATACACGCACTGATATTATTCCTCGGCCTTGTCACTCGTAATCTGACTTGCGACTTGCATGCTGAATGGATGGGTCATTCTACAATGAGTTCCATTCATTCAACCTCGCTTGGTAAATATTATACCAGCCAGGTTGGTCAAAGACCCGCTCGTCAACAACTGCAATACCTGCAGGTTCACACCCAGCTCTTTGGTAATCCAGTTCCTCAGCTCGATGGCATTCAGGCTGTCCAGACCATACTTGGTGATAGGCGTTTCAGCGTCGAGTTCTTCGGTCGGCACCATCAGGATGGAACTAAGCTTCCCCGTGAGCCCAGTGGTGATGATCTCGATAGCCTCCTCTGGCGACTTGGCTCGAGACAGAGATGTGGCGATCGAGACCTGTGCCCCTGATGACGCAGCACCACCGGCGGCGCCGTGCAAAGAGAGGACGGCCTCGCGCAAATGATTGAACTTGGCGTCTTGGGCATAGTAGGGGAGTCTCTGCGGATCGTCACCGAGCCTCAGACCGGTCAGGCAGTGGCCTGGGAAAATGCCCTTCTCCTCGTTGCTGTCCGACCCAGGATTTCCAACGACAGCGGCAGCGATCAGAGCCAGAACTTCGGCCTCGTTCATGCTCTCGCCTCCAAGGTTCTTCAGCACTTCGTCTTGACGATCTGCGCCCGTGTCGGCCAGGTATCCGACGTCTTGCACGGCGGTGAGATCAATCGAGGCAGCGCGAAGGCCGAGATGCTGTTGTCGATAGCGGCAGAAGGCGTCGAGGAAGGTGTTTGCGGCAGCATAGGCAGCCTGGCCGCGATTTCCCACGATTCCGGCAGCCGAAGAGAGGGCAATGAAGAAGTCGAGCGGCGGGTTGGAGGTGAGGAGGGCGTTGTGGATGTTCCACGTACCCGCCACCTTGGAGCCGATGACGGCTTGGTAATCCTCAAAAGCCATCTTTTCGAACAATACGTCCTAGAAAACAGAGAAGCCAAATGTTAATAATCCTTAAAGGTGATGAATAAAAGGAACAGAAGGACCTGGTCAGCACTTACCCTTAGCACCATACCGGCGTGTATAACACCCGCGATCTGTGGAAGCTCCGAGGAGCAAGTCTCGATGAGGCTGGTGACCTGGTCCTTCTCGGTCACATCGCAAGCCTTGACAACAATGTTAGCTCCTGCAGACTGCCTCAAGTTCTCAGCAAGCTGCTCCACTGCGCCCTCGAGTCGAGCCCGTCGAGAGACCAAGACGATATTTCTCGCGCCTCTGGCCACCATCCACTTAGAAAGAGACCTTCCCAGGCCTCCAGTACCACCGATGAGAAGGTAAGTGGCGTCGGCCCGGAAGAGAGCAGATTTGGTGCTGCTCGTGGGATGTGTTGCCTTGACTTGCTCCCCAGCCTGTGGCACGACGACGAGTTTTCCCGTTGTTTTTCCACTCTGCAGGAGACGGAAGGCAGTTTCAACCTGAGAGATGCCAAAGACGTTGATGGGCGCAATTGGGCTGACGAGATTCTTCTCAAACAGCTTCAGGACATCACTGAACGTGGCAGCCATCTTCTTCGGCTTCTCGTTGGCAAGGACTGTCAAGTCCACAGAGCTAAAAGTGGCGTTATTGTTGAATTTGGCCATCTCCAGGCGGGTGTTCGAAGTGATATCCCTCTTTCCGATCTCGATAAAGCGACCAAAATGGGCAATGCAGTCCCATGATTCTCGCAACAAATCACCGGCCAGGGAATTGATGATCAAGTCGACGCCCTTCCCAGCTGTTACCTCACGAATGGCCGGCCCAAAGGATGCATCGCGGCTGGAGAAAATATGGTTCTCTGGGATGCCATATTCTTTCATGATGAACTGCTTCTTGTCGGGACTGCCGACGGTGCAATAGATCGCTGCTGCTCCCAGCATCTTGGCCAGCTGGATGGCGGCCTGCCCAACGCCGCCTGCTGCTGCATGGATCAGAATCGTCTCACCCTCGTCTAGCCTTCCGAGCTCGACAAGACCGTAGTATGCTGTGCAGTAGACAACGGGGATGGATGCCGCCGTCTCGAAGGACATGGTCGTGGGAATCCGCGCGGCGCTGGTCTCAGGACACCTGGCCACTGTGCTGTAGGCGCCGTGGGTCATGGCACATACCCTGTCGCCAACAGCCAGGCTGGCAACCTTGGGGCCGATGCGAGACACGATGCCTGCGGCCTCGATGCCGATGTATGGCTGAGATAACTGGCCCATGGCGACCACAACGTCTTTGAAGTTCATGCCGGTGGCTCGAATCTCGATCTCTATCTCTTGGTCACCGAGCATGACATTGTTGTCAACGCCCTCCTGGTTGTTGTTGTCGTCGTCGTCATGGAAATAGAGACTGTCAAGTGCGCCCGCCGTGCCGACAGACATCTTGAGACGACGAGGCTGCGACGATGCATCTTGGACAAAGTCCTGGAGATAGGGCTCGCATTGATCAGGGTGGACCTCACGGTGGACCAAAAGGTTCATGGCATCGTCGTTGATGATTCTTGGAACCAAGAGTGCGCCGTCCTTTTCGGCGTATTCCATGTCGTTGACCTCCTGGTTTACAGAATCAAACACTCTGGTGAAGGTCTCTAGGATGAGATTCGTCGTTTTCTTGGTGTTTGAGAGGCTGGACGCGGGATCCAGATCAAGAGTAGCCACTGCCGCCTCTCTCTCGGATCGAACAGTCCTGCATAGTCCCACGGCCATATTCCCGTCGGGGCTCGCTGCGTGCAGGTAGGCTCCCCTGGTGATCCACAGCACGCCAGCTGCGCCTGTCAAGACCTTCTGGAGTTGAGAGAACCCCTGGCTGGTCAGCCTTGAGAGGATGGGCTGGTCTAGCTCGCAGATCATGACGTGGGATCTCGACAGGTCCAGGCTCTCAAGTTGGCTGTCAGGCGAAAGAAGTGAGTGGATGGCTGCAGCCTTGCCTGATCTCCTTTGGACAGCTTCTGCAAGCTGGCTCAAGAGTGGCTCGTCAGCACCTGAATTCCCAGACAACAAGACTACCGTCTTCTCAGCCCAAGCTTGTTTTTGATGTTGGTCGGACTTGTTGTTAGAAGTAGCCTCGTCGTCATCTGACGAGCCAGCATACCCAGAATCACTGTTGTTGTTCTCGACAGTAGTAGGCGTGCTGGTTCCGTCACTTGAGAGGACAGGCTCCCACTGCATCCTGAAACACAGTTCTCGGGGGTTATCGAGGGTGCCGCTCTCGTTTCTCACGGGTGTCATGCAGAGGCCAACTATTTTGATCAATGAAGAGACGGCGAGAGCGTCAGGGTGACTTTCCTTCTCTCCCTCAACACTTGGACGAGACAGAATGGCGTCCATGTCAAAATCGGTGGCCTTGGGGTTCTTGTGGTCGGGACACCCATGACCTACAACGCGCAATTTGTCACCTGGGAGCAAGGTCGTCGATGTGGTCACATCGCGCTGTACGTGCAGCTCCTGGATGGCCGAGGGCATGTAGAGCGTTCTCATGCCCACGGACGGCCTGCCGGCACCGAGGATCGGGAATGAGAGCTGCAGGATCTGGTCCAGGAGCGCAGGGTGAACATGGTATGGCGTCTGATACTCCATGGGCATCGTGGCTGTTGTATCTGTAACCACCGCAGCATCCACGTCGGCCACCGAGTAGGAATCACTGGACCTGATGGAGCTGAGTCTTCGGAATGTCGGACCATAAGTGGCTCCTTTACCATCCAGGTCCTGATAGAACGTGGAGACGGGTATTTCCTCGTCGCTGCATGTTTGTTCTGCAGCCTCAATCTTTTGACGGGCTACAGCGTCGCGTTGATGGTGGGAAGCATTCTTCCTGGCCGAGATCAGGCCACGACAGTGTTCAGTCCATCCCTTGCCACCATCTTCCCAAGATAGGATGCGGAACTCATCCCATTCGTCCGAATAGGAGCGCAATCCCTCAGCATAAGGTGAACAGCAAGTCATGACCTCATAATCCTCGCCGTCCTCCATCAGCAGCGGCCTCTTGACCTGGATCTCTCGTAGGCTAAAGCTCTGGAACGCAACACCACGATGGGCCGCGCGCTGGGCTGCAGCCTCGATCGCCATGGAGACGAACCCAGCAAAAGGGAAAGTGGTCAGTGACTGCATCTTGTGGTCACGCAGCCATGGGAGGTCCTCTGTCCTGAGGACGTTTCTCCAGCTGGGTGCTATTTCGTTGGAAAAATCGGCCATATTTCCCAAGAGATCATGCCTGGGAAAGGGCTTGATACGATGTTGTCGAGACAGACGTGGCTCAGACCAATACTTCTGGCGGCACCATGGGTACGGCTTCATATCTTCGACGAGAACAGGCGGTGAGACATTTGGATCTTCCAAATTGATGTTGGCCATGTTCAAAGGCTGGCCTTTCATGTGAAGGCTCGCAGCCAATCGCAACGAGGTATTGACGGCACATTTACTCCGATACAGAACCGACAAGTAATCAATTGCCTTGTTGCTGCTGCTCGTCTGTTGTTGAGGTCCGACACCACAGCCTTTGAGAATCTGCTTGACTGGCCCCTCGAGTGCTGCATGTGGCCCAATTTCCACAATCACATCTGGAGGGCTCTCGGTGCACAGCTGCTTGACCGATGTAGAGAATCGTACTGGCTTCGTGAGGTTTTCGACCCAGTACGTCGCGTCGACGAGAGAAGAGGTATCCTGGATCTTGGTTCCACGCAGAGACGAGAAGAACTCCACCTGGCGACATTCACTGGGCGAGGCAGGAGAGGAGGATGATGATGATGCGTTGGTTGCAGTAGACAGTGTCTCGTGTATGCTCTCATAGTAGTCATCCGAGACAAGTCCCATGTGTGGCGAATGATATGCAACGTCGACCCGAAGCTTTCTGTGGAAGAGTTGTTCCGACTCGATTATTGTATCCAGCGCATCAATAGCAGCCTCATCGCCTGAGATGGTCACCGAGCTGGGCGAGTTCTCACAGGCCACCACCGCAACGCCATCGGTAAGCTGCTGTAAAAGAGGCTTCATTGCTTCTGGGCCAGCACCTACTGCCATCATGGAGCCTCGCAGGTCTGGGTATCGCGCCCTCATCTTGACCACAGCCTGACCGCGCTGGTAGGCAACGCACATGGCCGCTTCCAGGGTCAGCGCTCCAGCACCATAAGCTGCGCCGATCTCCCCACTGGAGTGGCCAGTTACGGCAGAAGGCGAGACGCCCCAGGAACTGAGAAGGTCCGTGAGGGCTAGCTGAATGGCCACGCATGCAGGCTGGCTGATGTGGGCCTCACCCACCCGAGAACTGGTCTTGTCCCGGGACAACTCCTCTACCAGAGAGAAGTCGGCACCCAGGCTCTGGAGACAGCGATCTGCAGTATGCATTGTGCTGGCAAACACAGGATACGCACCCATCAGCTCACGACCCATGGCGTGCCACTGAGCCCCCTGTCCAGTGTACACGAAGGCAATCTTTGGGGCTTGCTGGGCAGCTCGGACCGGTCTGGCATCGGAAGAGCTGACGGCCTCGGCCAGTTCAGAAGCGGATGACGCAACGAGGCCGATACGCCACGAGAGCTGAGACCGTCTGTGGCAGAGTGTGTAGGCCAGGTTCCGGAGGAGCTGCTTCTGGAAGACCTCGGGATGCTGTTCCAGATAAATGGAGAGGTTCTTCATGGTGCTCTTTGCAGCAACCTCGTCGTTGGCCGACAGTACGAACAGGCGCTGTTTGGCCGTGGACACGGGCCTTGCCTGGCCTGGCCCGGAGTGATAAAGTGGTGGTCTTGCGAGCACGCAGTGCGCATTGGATCCGCCAAAGCCAAAGTTGTTGATGCTGATGTACTTTTTATTGGAGGGCCACGGCTGCTGAAACGTGGGAACCTTCATATTCCACTCTCGGAGTGGAATATTCTCGTTTGGCGTCTCAAAATTCGTGTTGGGGAGGATGAAGCCCTTTTCCAACATCATGGCGGCTTTTATGACGGCCACAACTCCGCTGGCGTTTTCAAGATGGCCGACATTGCTCTTGACAGATCCCAGGTAGAGGGGATTCTTGGCTGTTCTGCCCTCAGAGAAGACATTGTGGATGGCTGTGGCCTCGATGGGATCACCAACTTTGGTGCCTGTCCCGTGTGCTTCGACGAAACCAACATCCTGCGAGCTGATGCCGGCTCGGGCGTACACTTCACGCATCAGCTGCTCCTGGGCCTTTCCACTCGGCGAAGTGATCCCTAAATAGTAATATTGTCGTCAGAAACCGTTACAAGAAAGATGTTTAGACAGCATGGGACGATTTCAACGTACCGACAGTTCTGCCGTCTTGACCCACACCCGAGTTCACAATGACAGACCGGATTCTGTCATTGTCTTTAACAGCGCGATGCACAGGCTTGAGGACCAAAACACCCACTCCATCGCCACGGGCAAATCCAGACTTGGCACGGTTGTCAAAGGCAAACGTCATGCCCTGGTCAGAGAATAGTCTATACAAGACTTGTTAGAAACGATCTGGAATAATCATGGAGGCCAAGCAAGGACTGACCTGGACAAACTCATCGAGATCCAGTCTCCAGGCTGAAGATTAAGATGACATGCTGCCACAATGGCCTGGTCACACTCCCCATTCCGAATGCTCAGCACTGCTTGATGCAGGGCGTAGAGACTTGAGCTACAGGCGGTGTCGACGCTGCAGCTAGGGCCTCTGAGATCGAAATGGTGCGAGATGCGTCCAGCCTGGATCGACTGATGATTTCCAGTGGCATCAAACATAGGAGTCTGCTCGAGATCCCGCAGTGTACCCAGGCGATAGTCGGACGCGGCACCACCAACGAAGACTCCGATCTTCTGACCTGGAAGTGACTCCTTGGGGATACCTGCGTTCTCTAAAGCTTCATAGGTACACTCTAGCAGGAATCTTTGTTGTGGGTCTGTTCATAGAGCCACATGGCGTCAGCAGTCTGCGAGATAATGATACAAGAAAGGGGGATAACATGCCCATAGCTTCTGCTTCAGCCCGTGTGATGTTGAAGAAGGGTGCATCAAACATGGCCGGGTCTTGTTTGATGAAGTAGCCGCCACGAGAGTTGAAGGCACCCTTCCTGGCAGGGTTTGGGTGCCAGTGGGCGCCTTTGCTGAATCGATCCTCAGGGATCTCAGACCATCCATTTCGCCCTCTGCAAATCATCTGCCAGAAATCTTCTGGAGAAGAGACATCCCCCGACACCCGACAGGACATGCCTATGATGGCAATGGGAGCAAGGGTATTGGGGGCGACGCCGTCGCCAGTGCTATGAGGATGAAGAACATGATTGTTGTCGGCTTGTACATCATGACCATCAACACAAGGCAGCTGGGCCTTTGCCTGAGCGTCTGTGTCCTCCATATTGAGCTTCGCCAAAGTATGTACTGCCAGACAAAGCAGTACTACCCTCCTAGACGCTCAGGATGGATGGAGTTGAAAAAACCAAAGTTTGAGGATGAAGGGTGTAAAGTTGAGAAATACGTGTTGATTCACTCCACTGGGGTATCGTAAGAAAAAAGTGGAAAGCGTAGCACGTTATGCTTTTATTGCAACAACAGAAGATAAGGCTTCCTTCATATAGCCCTCACAAGAAATCATGGCTCGGGACGGAGGTCGACATGCGATCACTTTCATAACCCTGTCCCAATATAATTATTCCATGGCCGAATCTGGAAGAGAGAGAGCGCGAGAGGGAAAAAAAAAAAGGTTCACAAGAAAAGCCACCAAAAAATCAACCTCGCTCTACCTCGGAGTCCACCGGCATCTTGCCACTTTCTCATGCTCGCCCTGAGAGGAAACAATCTACAAGACGCCAAGGGTTACCACGTTGTTGATGGGATGTCGCGCTTGTGGGTGAGTTGCATGCAGCGCAGCAACTTTTTTCCCCTTCAGTATCGGTGATTGCAAGGATGATACGCCGTCAAACCCAACCTCGCCCCTCTATACAAGGCAAACAAGCTTTCTGCACAATGAGTACTCTAAAACTAAATTGGGCGTGCGCAACGTGCAGCGTGGGGCTTCCGGTGGATCCTCCTGAGACAACAGCCCATACTTACTGCTCACAGGCCGCCCGCCGTTGTATTTATCCCGGCTGCTGATAGCAGCGAGCCTCGATGAGCCTAGCAGATTGTGATTTACCCTATGGGGCCATTCCTTTGAAAGTCTTTCAAAAGTGACAGCCCAGCCCTTCCCTGTCCCGCCCCGAGACACCAAAAAAAAAAAACCAAGAAAAAAAAAAGAAAAAAAAACCCCCCGAATGTTTCTCGTAGAAATTGCAAGCGTAATAAATTGCTGACAACCGCTGGTTCCAAAAACAGTGATTATAACGATCGGAAGCGCCAACGGATGCAGCGCGGCCGTCTCCTTTGAGTCCCACAGTCGCCAAAGATAACCACCCATTCCCAATAGAGAAGGTTTATCGAAGACACACTATAGGCCAGGGGAACAAGGTCGCATTAGCCCCGGTCCGGCCATGGGTTGTACTGAGGTCAATTTTCATCAAAAAGGTACCCGCTTGCATGTGATTGCGGAGTGAAGCATCATCAGAACTGGATCGCAGCGACGTTGTTTCCATCATACCTGCTCGATTGGATGCGCCGGATGCGCCCCCTTGTCAAGCCACCGTCCCGGACCACGGTAGCGGCAAGTTTCTCCGCTTGCGGTGGTTGGCCTCTGCTCGATACCGTAGCACTTTGGAACTGCAGACATCGGGTCATCGGCATGCGATTCGGACGAGCCGCAGCAGCCATAAGGCAGCCAAAATCGCTTTGCCTTCCGTATGCGAGCGGAACCAGGCTGACGACGAAACCATTTATGGTAATGACGTGCTGGGCCAACATCCGGGGCAAAGGAAGACCTGATATTACAGATCAACTAGTCTGGCCCTTTGAAGATATGCAACGGGTTTGCATCATCCTATCACGTTGCACCATGAGGTAATAATCCGTGCCCTCCATACCGACGATCACCTGCCCCTACCCTGGCCAACCTGCCAGTGGGCTGCTGGTCACGGTCGTTTTGTGATAGACAGGGTAATTAAAAAAATTAAAAAAATAAAAAGAAAAGAAGAGAAAGAAAAAGAAAGAGTTTCACACCAAAGGCCGGTGTCCGTCGGAGGGCGAGAACACAACTTAAACAAGCCAAGGGCGTTTATCTTTGCACGGGGATACGAGACGCAACGATCCAATCAAATACGCATCCCCACCTGTCAAAACCATCACCACCACATTTTGTCCCTTGGGTCCCAGATTTTTCCTGTCACAACTACTGGGAATACACTGGACAGAATCAAGAACCTCTTGCCATCATTCATTCGTCAATATGAAATTTCTGTGTCTTCCCGGAGCGTATGGAAGCGCCAAGGTATGTGGTTCACCAGCAAACCTCAGGAAAAAGAGTGGGCACACACGATATGAATGATGGCACTAACATATCACGCTTCGTGATTCCGTCAGAACTTTCAAGTTCAACTGGGTCCTTTCGTCACAGCATCAGAGGAGAGAGGAAATACGAAATTCACCTGGACTCAGGGAACTCGCAAGGTCGAGCCTCCTCCTGGATTTGAAGACTACTTTGGTGCTGGGCCGCTGTGGCGATTCGTCGACTATGACGGGAGCAGTACTTTCGACATGCTGGATGAGATTCGAGATTTTCCTGAGGGCTCCAACGCCGAGGAGAGGATGCGGCTCCTGATGGGCGATGAGCCAGCTTACGCGACGTCCAGCGTTCAGGAGGCAATCCGCAGGCTGCTCGACATGATCGATGCCGATCCTGAGATCGAGGTATGTACTTACCCTGACCCTCTTTTCTTCTTGGCTTGCAATTCACAATCTTGCTCACCAACACTTCTCAGGGCATTCTGGGCTACTCCGAGGGCGCAACGACAGCTGCTACCCTCCTTCTGGAGGAGCGCAGGCTGTTGCAAGAAGGCGGCAGACTGCCAAGAATCAAGGTAAGCCGTTGTCGCAATCAATCAGCTGCTTTTTTTTTTTTTTTTTTTTTTTTTTTCAGCTCCCCCCCGCCTAGCCAAGCCGAGCTGTATATTGCATTTTATTGTGGCTGACGGAGAAATAATACAGCGTGCCATTTTCTTTGCCGGATGGCCGCCACTGTCCATGGCGGGGGGCAAAATACACGTCTTGCTCGCTGACCAAAGCCACGACATCATTGACATCCCCACGCTCCACATTATCGGTTGCAACGACCCGTATATTGCGGGGGCCGTGGCGTTGTACAACATGTGCGATCAGGAGACCGCCGAGATGTTTGACCACGGAAAGGGCCATACTGTGCCAAGAGATTCCATGACCATCCGTGAGCTCTGTGATGCCATCGAGCGGCTGATTGCCCGGCCGGAGAAGGCAGGTGATCCTCGCAGTGAGCTGGAAGACCTCAAGATACTCAAGCCTGTCCATGACCCGGTAGCGGGAGCCATCTCCGCTCTTACAGGTGCTTAGTAACCCTGGCAAGTTAAAACCGAGAAGAACTAGTAAGAAATGATTGGCTGGTGGAGGAGCTTGGACTTTTCTCTTTGTTACAATGTAGGCTTTCAGTTCTTATTGGATGCAGTAGGAGTAGTTACTTAGTATGTACGACCTTTTGAAGCCAGCGTGGACTCTGCGTAATTTAAGGAGAAGAAACTATTTTTTCTTTTTTCCGATGTCACAATAATAAGAAAGTTTGATACTATTTCTGGTTGACACTAAAGCGCTTATTGAGGACATTGAATTTCTTACATGAGGCACCGGACCAGATTCCATGGCTGATTGATTCGTCGCAAAGAAGTGCAATAATTACGGGCGCCACTATTGAAATGGATGTTGTATTATTGCTAAGCCATATGGGATACATTTTTGCGATGACTTGGTAAAGTTTTGCCCTAGCTTCGTTTGAGCCCCGTTAAGGCATAGGCGACCAAATATCCATGGCTGCAGTATGTCGTCCAACCGGGGCTTGCAGAAACCTGGGAATGATCATTCTTTGGGTCAGTCTAACCGTCCCTGTAGGTGTGGGTTTTCTATAAGCGGTAGTCTCACGACTCCCGCCAGGGGCGCAATGGATGATCAGTCAGGATTAGGTACTCGAATCGGGCTTCATGGCCGATGGCCGTGTTCCCCCTTCCTTTTCCTTCTATTTGGGCCCCTCCTTCACCGCTGGTACTGGAGCGAGACTCTAAGTAGGATCTTAATTTCTGGGTTGATTCATGTTCTCTGCTGTCTGTTTTTTTCTATCTTGGGTTTATTGGTTTTTTTTTGGGGGGGTTTTTTTTTTGTTTTTTTTTGTGCCAGAAGAACTGCGATACCAGGATTTGCCATCTTTCTTCACGATAACTGCTACTTACTCAGTACACCATCATGACGGAGAAACGTCGTTCGCTGTTGTTCTTCACCAACAGTGAATGGGGCCAGGCCAATGTTATCTTGGCAACCATTCACGAATTCCTCATTCTCGACGAGTTCGACATTCATCTGGCTTCCTATTCGGCATTGGAGCCCAGACTCCATGATCTTCTGGAAACACATGCCGCTTCATATCCACGGCCCTTGGTGATTTCCAACGGCCAGGATGGAAAGAAAGCCCCGGCAGAGAGACCCAGCATCACATTCCACACCATCCCAGGACTTTCGGTCGCACAATTATGCCATCGCGATGGCGTTGCCAATTCTCTACCGCACAAGCCAGGGCTGAAGGGCGGGGTGGCCTCGTATGCTCGTCTCGAGGACTTTTTCTTTCGGCATACGGTAGATGAATACATGGAGCAGCAGCGATATTCCAAACAAGTCATCACTCAGACACAACCAGTCTTGATCCTCGCTGAACAGGGCTTCTCTCCTGGTCTGGATGCATGCATGGAGCTGAATCAGCCCTTCACAGTCTTGTCTCCGAACTCTTTCAAAGATTTTGAGCAGCGATTTCAGCCTTTGCTAAGAATCTTGTGGAAGTACCCTGCGTGAGTTTGATTATCCCCCTGACCCACTGGCCGCGCCGTCATTGGAAGCTGGCAACGATTGTGTATCAAATCTTTGAGACCTCATGACCTCGCTGACTTGGGAGAGTTTAATAATCCATTGCAGTCTCGCGTCTGCGTTCCCGTTTCCGGTACCCTTGGGGATGGTTCCAGCAAACGTCTATCTATGGGTTCGAATGATGACGACCATTGCGGTCTCTGCATCCACCCGAGGTTCGCGTCTTCACACACTCAACAAAGGAAGACACGCCAACGGACTGGAAGGACCGCCACCAGTGATGAGTGCCCTGAAGAAGGCGTCGCACATACTCTGCCCCTCTCTGCCAGAGCTCGACTTTCCCATGCTCGTGCGCCCAACGACCATTGGCTGTGGACCCATAGTTCTGCCTGCACGACCCGTCAGTGAGGTCGACCCGGAATTAGATACCTGGCTGGGCCGCAGTTGCATGAAAACGGTACTGGTTAATCTGGGGACGCATTACAGCACGGACTCAGCCCTTGCCCTGGAGGTGGCCCGAGCTCTCAAAAGTGCACTGGACACGTTTCCCCATGTGCAGATCCTCTGGAAAATGATCCCACAGGGCGAGGGACAGCAGGAGAACATTCACACGGTCTTTGGCGACGATCTACTGCGCAATTCCAGGATCCGCATCGAGAAATGGCTGAAGCCTGATCCTGTCGCCCTTCTTGAGACGGGAAAAGTCATTGCTCAAGTTCATCATGGCGGGGCCAACACGTACTTTGAGTGCTGTCGGTGAGTGTTTGCATTGTGCGACGTACACCTTTTGACCAATCACTTGCGACATGCCATGGGTGGAAAGCTAACACTAAGAACTTGTCCCCATTCACCAGATTCGGTGTCCCTCAAGTCATTTTAGGGGCCTGGTGGGATACCTACGAGTATGCCGCGAGAGTCGAGTATCTCGGCATTGGCGTGTTTGCCAACAAAAAGGCTGCCCCCCGCGCCAAGACTGCAGAGCTTCAGAAGGCTCTGCTTCGCGCTGTAAGTGATGATAACATGCGCGCCAAGGCCAATGATTTGGCGGCAGTTTGCAAACGGTATGGAGAGGGCAGAGTTCGGGCTCGGGATCGTATTCGTGAGTTTATTGGTCATGTAGTCTAGTTCATATTTATGTTGATGTTCATCTCACTGTTCAATTCATTCTTTACAAGATGACAATCTGATAAGTCTTTGACGTTATCTCTACAATCCATGGGAATGATTATAGTTTTTGTAGGGATGCCTGGTCACAATCACGTCACAAGACTAGGGCGGAACCTGGGGACTTCATATCTTGATTTACTGAGGTTATCGACAGCTTGCCTCCCAAAGCATTACTATCTGCCGAGGACTCACCTGATAGACTGGTGATCACAATCTCGTAACAAGACTCTCAGACTAATTCCTCATGGCCTCCTGACGCGTACAGCCATGCCATCCTTGCTCCTTATCCATGTTTGCCTCCCAGTGCATGGGTGGAAGTGGTAATGTTACACGGCACAGATACACTTTCAGGTTGGGACCCCATCATGCCCGCAGGATACCCTAAGCTGAACAAACGTGCATATCGAGGTAGGCTGATCTGCAGCTGCCAGGGCGCTCGGGTTACATTATTCAAAAGACAAGCTTCTGAACCCCGATATGCTAGTAGCCATTAGGAAGGTAATGCGGGGGGGGGGGGGGGGCGCCTATTATGCCCCTAGCAGTATGCACATTCCCGACCTCGTTTCCAGCACCGCACAAATGATTCACACGTGGGGAGAAAAATTGTAGACATAATTACGAGACGTGATTAGGTCTTGGTGGTGCGATTTCTTCTTTGGGTGGCGTAACTAATGCAAAATTACCCTGCACCGTTACGATTGCCACCTCTTGCTGCATGATCTCGGTATCACAACCAAGTCTCGTGTTCCGATGGTACTACAAGGACCCATGCAATGCTCCCTTAAACGGTACTATGGCAGATATGTGCACGGGGCCTAGGCTTCAGTACTCACACCGAGGCAAACAAGAATGGTGGCATGTGGTAGAGCTATGCTGTAAGAATACCTGGAAACTGTACCAATCAAGTCTGAACTTGACCCACGGGGATCGACCACATGCCGGCGTTGGGAAGTGTAATTAATTGTTGTGCATATTCACACCATGAACGCATCGGCCGCCGCCGCCGCCGCCTTGTCTGGCTGTATCGTAGGTGAGTTGAAATAAGACGAGTTCTTGTTGATGCTTTGTATAGTTTGTTTGTTCTATCTAAATGAACGCCAGAAGCAGCTATCTACATCTTCATTGCTGACATGAAACCTCCCGAAGAGAACAAGACGTGCCGAGCTAGTGACATCAAGTTCAAATCAATAACTCGGAAGTCATTATAACAATTGCTACTTAAATTGCCTGATCGAAGACCCTTCCCTTTCCTCCGTATGCGAGCAGTACCTAAAGCAGTAATTAGTCCTAAGTACTTACTTGAGTACTTAGTTGGTTACTTAAGTACTTAGATTCGTGCCGCGGCTGTTCCTGGATAACCCTTACCCGCTCTAGCTCGGCAGGCCAGCCACTAGTGGATAGATTATTACAGTAACCCGCCGCCTTATTTTTTGTCGAAGCTCCGGTAACAGTGGCTACTAAAACCGATGCAGCACATGTCGATGTCCAGCCGGGAAAATAGCCAAGTTGCAACCTCATCCCTGTTGGTGTATATCAGGAAGCTATAGGTGTATCAACTTCCATATGTGACATCTTAACATCTTTACCATTTTAAGTTTTCTTCCTGTATCTCCGACGGTTGTTGTTTGGCTCCTGAAACTCCCCGTGCAATAGTGGTCGAAGGCGGCACAGAGTGCATGACAGCTCAACTATGGATCTGCTGCGTACTTTTCTAGGTTGGACCCAGAGCCCTAGGCACGCCCACCATGATTCAACCGAGCGCCGAACAGAAGGCGACGTGCTGGTGTACCCCGTTCACATGCTCGACGACACGGAGGGGACTCGAAACTACATGGTAGCCCAGACCATGAGATTCAACGACGTGCTTGACGCAGAGAAGCTCCACGTGTCTTTGTCCAAGCTGTTGGAAATTGGGGACTGGCGAAAGCTTGGGGGACGACTAAGATTCAAGGTATGCGACTGGCTCAAGACGTACTACTACGTACCATCACCAACCTCGGCTCAAGAACATCAGCTAATCTCCATTTCAATCAAGGACGACGGGAGGCTCGAGATTCACGTTCCCAAGCAGTTCACTTCGGAGCGCCCGGCCCTTCTTTTCTCACACGACGCGTCATGGTCTCAGATCAGCATCGATGATCATCCTCTGGGTCGGGATCTCCCCAGGCCGACCCAAGAACCGTCCATCCAGCGTGGCGCGGATGATTTTCGTGACTTTGCGGCCAGAGCAGACATGCCCATGACCATAGAGGAGATGATCCATCGAGATTTACCTCAGATATCTCTGCATGTCACTTCGTTCCAAGACGCAACACTCGTTGGGTTAGTATGGCCTCACACCTTGATGGATGCATTTGGGATCAAGGCGCTATGGCAGTCCTGGTCTCTCGTGCTGTCCGGCAAGGACCAAGAGATTCCACCTGTGCTTGGTGCACATAAGGACGGTAAGTCGGTTTCTACGCGGTCCTACCCCCCCCCCCCCTTTTTTTTTTTCTACTAAGGATACGTGCCCTTTGGGGAATGCATGGAGAAAGTGGAGTATATAATTGAGAAATAGGTGCAGACGTGAGACAAAAAGGCAACGGCTAATGGGTGTATTTAGTGCTCTATGAAGTTGCAGTAGGCAACGAGGAGAGCCACTTGGTGGAACAAGAAGAGTCCTGGTTTGAAAAGAACCGCCTCAAGGGCCGGGGGCTCGTCATGTTTGTCCTGCGATATGTATGGGCAGCTGTCAGGGATCATGGTGTAGAAAAGCGGACGATATACCTCCCCAGGTCGACACTTGTTCAGCTTCAGGACAAAGCAAAGGTGGAGGCTGCAGAGGTTGTCCTCAGTCAGGGCCAAAAGAGTGGCTTCATTAGCAACGGCGATGTGCTTATGGCCTGGGCCGCGCGACTGGTCGCCCTGGCAGAGGCACGTCCCAAGCCAGTCACCATCATGGCAGCTGTTAATGCCCGGCTCCGTCTGGCATCTATACTCGAGAAGCCACCTGGAAGTCAAGGTGTGTATATGCAGAACATGGTCTTGGCCTGTTTCGCATCTCTCGTCGCAGGGCTCTCACAGGGCTCTCTTGGGCCGATTGCTTTGGAATGTCGGCGACATGTTGCGCAGCAAACTACAGAACGCCAGATGATAGGCTTGTTGCGCCTGTTCGGCAAGTTGAGAGATAATGGCAAGGAAGCAAAAATGCCGTATTGTGGAGAGTCGGACGCACTGCTCATTCTCTGGAACGACTTGACCAAGGTTGATCTCGTCAACGCAGCAGACTTTAGCCCTGCTGTGTTGCATCAGGGAGCCAAGGAGGAGTCAAGAATCAATCCATTGGGGACGATGGTTTACCATCACCTCCAACGGCTCAAGCCAAACAAATGGATGGGGAACACCTTCACTGTTCTGGGCAACGATCCTGAAGGAGGTTGCTGGATCATGGGAATACTGGCTCCACGAGTATGGACTGCATTTCAGAAGGAGTTGAGTCAGATGTAAGGTCGGATATAAATTCAATGCTACCAGGTCTGGTGCAAAATTTGGATCGTCTATAGACACCCCTGAGTCTCCTTCATCCTGGCGAGAGCTTCCCATTTTGTAAGCAGATAAAATCGATATCAGCGTTGAAAGCCCATCTGGGCGGCAGAACATTCCTTGATTTTTCCGGCCTCAAGCTAGCCACTGGGGTTTGTCCGCATAAAATGAGTCTAGTCTCTGCTTTAATCAATGGCCTGTCGAGTTCTGGTTCTACCAAAGGCATCTTATGCTTCTAACGCGTAGTCCACCTCAAATCGGACCATAATTCCGCCCAAAAGTGCGGCGAAGATCATGAAATCCTCGAAAGCCTGGTATACACCTGCACCCTGCTACGGCGTGGTAGCATGGTCTGGGTTACTAGCTAGGGGATATACTTACGGCATAAGTTGCAGTAGACTTGTATTATAACTGCAAAAACGCTGTAGGCGCAGCTTGGTCGCGATATGCGCTATAAGATTATGTGAGTATCAGCCAGGAGAAACATTTTCGGGTTGAGAAGAGGGGCGAGGAGAATTTCATCTTCATCATGCCTTCAGCTATGGGGCCATCAAGTCAGCTGCTCAATATTCCTTCTAGAGACTCATAGATCAGAGGTGGTTCATAAACATTCAGGGATTACTTCTTGATGGTTAATACTATGCATTAGTTGTTTGTTCTCTTATCAAGGGCCTCGTATATAACGTAAGCTCTATCCCGAGCTATATTACATATAATCAATCCTATTCATTGTACGGAAAACCTAGTATATCTCTTACCTTCTTATCTAGAACAATAGTCCTGCAATACAGCAATTAGTACAGCATAGTCAATAGCATACTACAAAACATAAGTTCTCACAGTGCCAGTCATAACGTCCGTACCGACTACAGCATCGAAGCTCTCGTCTTGCCGCATTCCCAAAAGCCACGTCCACAACCTACCTTTGCATAGGAGTAATCCTGCTCAGCTCTCTGCCTTCTTGGAACCGATTCTCAGGATGAGATGTATGTAGTTCCTGGTGAAGCAATGCGTCGTGTACAACTATCGAGCGAGTCTCGCGCCCCATACTGAAAACGGTAGCACCGGCGATCTCTGAAGACATAACTGATTCATCACTCCGGCAACAGTATGTACCCACTTGTTCTTGCTATATACTAAATATCAACAGAATGTTTAGATACTAAGTGTGAGGTATCGGTATCTCTGTTGAATACGCTATTTCCCAGCATACACTGGCGCATTGTCTCGGGATTCTGCCTGGTTGGCAAAGGTGTCTTCTATAGCTTCTGGCAGCACAAATGATCTCAGCGTCGAAGGTCACGAAGATCACTTTGGTCGCAAGATTTGTTGGGGATTCTGACGTGAATAATGAATCTATCAGGTTCAATTGCTTACGGCGTTATGCTACCGCTTGCCTTGGACTGCATCAGCATTCTGCGTTTCCACTTGCTCATCTTTCTCGACAACAAAGATATCGAAGATTCACTATTTCCTCCGTTGGGTCCATCGTCGTTCTTTCTCTCTGGTGAGCGAACTGGTTACTGTACAGCTCCTTCACGGGCCGAAGTCATGTCTCAGCCGCCTGGCAGTCGGGCCCTGCTACCGGAAAAATTGCCCAGAATCCAAGGTCCAAGGCGTCTGGTTTCGTTATGGATGCCATTGTCTTTGTCTTTCCTATGCCATTGGTTACCTTGTGCTTCTTTCCCTGGACACCTTGAAACTGAGGGGAAAGGCACAGAAAAGCTAATGAACACAATCAACAAGAACTGGTGTCTGAAAATATCGAGACATGGGTACATTCGGCGAGCAAAAATAGCGACCAGCACTCTCTCGTAACAGACTCATATAACTTGGGTGACCTCAGGGCGCAGCAGGTCTAAAGGCATGAACGCGTAATGAAGGGGAACCCCCGAAGGAGGGGCCGTTCCCGACATCTGGCTGAGGACATCGATGTTGAATGAAGATTCTTGACCCCGTAACAGCCAGAAAGATGAACAACTGATAGAGTTGATGAGCTTCGGTTAGTATCCTCTGGCGGTGTGTGAGATACTACGGTTCTCGAAACTAGTACGAGGGAGTGTGTGGCGATGAAATCGACAATGACAATGGAACATTCCGTAAATAACTCTTGAATTGGCTGGCTTCTACACGTGGGCCTCGTAATTAGTGGGCCGCCAAGGCGTCTGGGTATGCGATTTAAGTCGAATCAGCCGCAAAATAATATCGACAGCGCTACGTATTTCTGAATGCCGAGCTGTGGTCATGAACAAAGTTGTAAATTATGCATGACGCTAATGCTGTTCATCGCCTTCACACAAACGCTGCATGAAACTTTTGACCGGAGCGCAGCAACGTTCGAGTGAAAGTACGTAATAATGGATGTGTTCTGCGCTCTATATGCGTACTAGGAGTACGCATCCGGTCAAGCGGCGGAAGTGTTCTTTTACTTACTCGGAGATAGGCTTTGGCTGATACATAGGCTCGAGTTTTTGTATAGTAGGTGACGAACTATCAATCTCGCGTAACCCACTGTCATTCTTTTTCAAACACGGGATGTGGGGTTGTTAACGTATGCAGCACTATGAGGATAAACTTGTACAATGAAAAAGCATTTATAAAAACAGCACGCCTTTTCATTCTTCCTAGCACTGGTGGTCAAATATTTTGCTATTGGCATCCGAGTCACTCTTTTGTTGTGCTTACGTTCCTTCTGTTACTTACTGTCTGTCACTCTTTCATTTGCGTGCCAATCATCGGACAATACGATGGGTGGCTCGACACAAAGGCTGCTCGGCCTGTTGGCCTCAGCCTCTATTAGCTTGAGCACAGCTTCGGCAGCATCCCTTAGCAGTGTCTGCACGACGGATTACATCTCGTCAGCTCTGCCTTCAACCGATTCCGACATTCCCGAAGGTATCACGTTCGACTCGACGTCAGTGACCGCCAGCGTTTATACCAACTACAGCGTGACCGATGCAACGTTCTGGCCTGACTCCATTGTGGAGTTTTGCGAGGTGTCTTTTGCATACAGTCACCAGAACCTCGACGACCAGCTCGTGGTTACTTACTACATGCCGAGCCCTGATGCATTCGAGAATCGGTTCCTGGCTACTGGTGGCGCAGCCTATACCATCAACAACGGATCTGGCGGGGCTGACATGACCGGAGGTGTCTCTCTTGGTGCTGTGTCAGGTTACACCGATGGAGGTATGCCATACTACGGCGGCACCAACTTCGACGATGTTTTCCTTCTGGGCAACGGCACTGTCAATTGGCCCATGGTGTACAATTGGGGCTACCGAGCCATTGCCGAAATGACCCAGATTGGCAAGGTCTTTACCAGCAACTTTTATGGCACTACAACGACCAATTCCTCAACTGCTAGCAGCAAGCTGTATACCTACTATACAGGCTGCTCGGAAGGTGGCAGGGAAGGAATGAGCCAGGTCCAACGTGCCCCCGAGTTGTACGATGGCATTATTGCTGGTGCGCCAGCAATGCGTTACGGACACCAGCAGATGAATCATCTCGTCGCCCCCGTCCAGGTCGAGACCATCGGCTACTATCCTTCGACCTGCGAGTTCGATACCATCGTGAATGCGACCATGGCTGCTTGTGACGCTTTGGACGGCAAGGCGGATGGCGTCATCGCACGCAGCGATCTCTGCAGCCTTGAGTTCAACATCTCCAGCCTAATTGGTACACCCTACTCGTGTGCCGCCGGGTCTTCGACAAGCCTGGGTTTGGGCTACGGAAAGAGGAATGCCAAGAGACAATCCACCTCCGCGACTCCAGCGGTCAACGGAACCTTCTCGACAGAAAGCATCCTCGTTGCGCAGACCCTGCTGGCCGGCCTGAAGGACTCCGAGGGTCGCCAGGTCTACCTTCCCTTCCAGCCAGCTGCTGGCTTTGGTGACCCAACCATCTATGATAGCGACACTGACAGCTGGACAATCACCAACCCCGACTCCAACGGCGAGTGGGTCACCAAGTTTCTTGACTGGCAGGACATTGACTCTCTGGACCTGACCAACGTAACATACGACAACTTGAGAGACTGGATGATCAAGGGCATGGAGCTTTACACCGACTCCCTCCAGACCACCCTGCCCGACCTCACTCCCTTTTACAAAAAGGGTGGCCGCCTGCTTCACTACCATGGCGAGGCCGACACCAGCATTCCCCCAACTTCTTCAATCCGCTACCACGAGTCAGTGCGCAGCATCATGTACCCAGACATGTCGTTCGAGGACGGCAATGCGGCGCTGAACGAGTGGTACCGGTTCTACCTGGTTCCGGGCGCAGCCCATTGCGCCACCAACGATCTGCAGCCCAATGCCCCGTTCCCTCAACATAACTTTGCCGTCATGATTGACTGGGTCGAGAATGGTGTTGAGCCGACCACCCTCAACGCTACTGTCATCGACGGCGACCTGGCGGGTGAGACAGGCCAGATCTGTGCGTGGCCCGCGCGCCCTTACTGGACGGACAACAGCACCATGCAGTGCCAGTCCAACCAGTCTTCCATCAGCACTCTGTTGTACGACCTGGACGCGTTCAAGATGCCTATCTACTAAGCGGATGTCGATTTGTAAGAGTTGACCACTGGTAGACCAGAGAAACGGGACTCGGGCGGATGTTATGGCAGTTTGCCAGCTTCTTTGTACCTATCTATAAACAAAATTATGGATATATAGTATATAAAGACTTGTGTCATTCTGAGAAGTATATATAGAAAGCTTTTAGGGGGAAATTCCAGTACACTAGCACATACCGAGACCTCAAAGTCATCGATAGCACAGGGCCAGTCACAAATTTTGGTCAACACGGGATGATCTTGGAATCATACATCTGTTCTCTCGTATCTCCAAAGGCTGCATCTATTTGGCGGGCAAGGACAAGGTCGAGGTTGGCCAGCTGCAGGGAGAGATAAATTTGGTGGTGAAACACAAGATGAGCTTGCTAGCTAAGTAGAAAACTTTTAAAATGGAGGGAGAGTAGGTTTGGTGAGAGTCTGATTGTCAAGGAGGTGAACAGCGGAAGTATCTACGGATACGGTTGGTTTATGAAGTTCTGGAGGTAGCCTGGGCCGGAAATGTTGATAGGAACTTACATCTATCTTCAGCAACGAAGGTTGAGCAGGCTACCAAGGACAGAAGCAAAAATGCCGATAAGGCTGAGGAATTAGACGCGACCAGTCTTGGTACTTACTGTGCTGGATACTCCAGAGGGAATATGCTGTATTCCCACGAATTGCATTTTACATGTATGCTCTGTAAGAATTCTGAGAAACTACCAATATCTATACAGATATACTGATCAGCCTAGCCGTACATTGTACCACGCTACGCGCGTATGCACTTGCAGCCAGATAGAGCACAGTTCGAGCATACACATCAGCTCTCAATAATCATGCACGTTTCATTTAGCAAATATATATTGGTAGCAGATAGGCTTAGTCCTCTTTTGCTAATCAATACTTTTCGTTATTTGAGTAGTTGTAATACTTTACTAGAAGGTAGGCTGATGATATAATTATCCGTGAAGGAATTTGAATAATAACCCCTGAATCATTCACAATCTCGTACACCCCAATTTAATCTCTTTCGAGTTATTCATCTTTAGCAAAAGCTGGTAGTTCACGTTGTTAACGCAATCCCGAGCTCTTTTTCTCGCCTGTTCCGAAGTCTCATGCATGTCGGTCTTTGGGTATAGTCGATGAGCCTGGAATATACACGCCAGTGCAGCAACTGCTTCAACTCGAGAGAACTTCTGGCCAGCACAGCCCTGTAGACCTTCAGACCATGGAAAATATGATCCTTTTCGGGGAACAAACAGCTCCTCACGAGCATTGGCCTCGGTCCCAGCCCCTGGAAGGGCTACAAGCCAGCGCGATGGTTGCCAAGTGAAAGGATCCTCCCAATACCTCGGGTCCGTCTGCACAGCAAGAGGTAACGGAATAGTTTCCATACCAGGAGGAATGGCAAGCACACGGTCGCCCACACGTAGATGCTGTACCTTTTCCGCCGCAATCTTGGGCAAGCCTGTGATTGGTCCGTAGAGCCGGAGCGTCTCGAGAAACACGGCCTCGCACCGCTTCAGTTTCGGGAATAAGTCGTAAGTCCAGTCCGTGGCGGGCTTTCCATGGGTAACGGCCATGATCTCTTCGCGGAGCCACTGCTGAATGTCTGGATGTGCGGCTAGAAGGAGCACACTGAAGGCTAGCGTGTTGGCTGTTGTGTCGTAACCTGCGAAGTTGATGACAAACATGTTACCGAGGATTTCGTCCATCGAGAGAGCCGCCTTTCTGGACTTTTTGGTGGTACGGTCGCCAACATTTGCCCTCGTCTCAATATCGTCTTCATCGTCAAGCGTGCGCACCAGATGTGTGATGAAGCCGCCTGATCCCGGATCCCCTCGATCGATAGCTGCTGTCTCTTTTTCAATACTCTTGATCATGTACTCTTTGAGAGACACAGCTGCTCGACCAATCTTGGCAAGGCTCTTGGGCATCATAGGTTTGATCAAGATACGATAAGGAATGAGCATCAGGAGGATACTGTGCTTGTGCACGAGGAACAAAGCGTCCCGGTAGCTTTCAATACCAGAATTGGCAGGGTGTGTTTCGGTGGAGCTTCTGAAGTCGTAGGATTCTCCGAAGGCTGTTGAAGCGAGCACGTTAAGAGAGAGTGTCTGCAGATCTTCCTCCATAGACGTGATGCCGGCCACGGAGCTGGAAGCCCAGTGGCCAAGCAAAGCACTTGAGCCCACCGTAGTTAGCCCAAAATCTAGACAAGAATCTCAAACAATGAGAAGGGGAAATACATACTGTGCTTGACGAAGTGCTTCGCCCCATACAAATTCCATTAGGGGTTCATTGAATGGCGCTGCTACAGCTCTGCGATGACGAGGCCAATCCTGCATTTTGACTGTGAAAACGGAAGGCCCGTAGACGGATAACATCTCTGCCATCATATGAGTATCAGAGGAATCGATGACTTTGCAACCAAACCGGAAGAGAGAATGTGTGTGTGTGTGTGTGCTTACGGTACATCTCTACAGGGCGAACAAAACCTCGCCATCTTGAGAAGATGCTCTCAATAGCATCCGGATCTGCAACGTATAAATGGATCCCGCCGGGTGAGACGGTTGCCCAGACTGATCCGAAGCGTGCTGCGGGACTGCTCTTTTCGAGAAAGTGCCAGTTCCGGTGAGAAAACCGCACGAAGTCGGGGTAGAAGTCCCAAGAGACTGGCACACTGGCCAACACCTTCCATAGCAGAGGTTGGACCGTAACCCAAGCGTAGTTGTTTACATCAAACGGGATACGAATAATGTGTACGTTCAGAGCTCGAGCTTTACGCACATTAGACTCTAGACTCATCCAGCTCCAGATAAAGTAGGCAAATGTCAAGCCCAGGAGCAGTGAAGCAAGCATCTCGCCAAGCACATTGACAAAGGGTTTCCAAATGTGAGTTGGTGAAAAGTGGGGAAAGGGACGTATGGCTAAAAACATGGACTGGGGATCTAGCTGCAGGTGATACATTCTGATCAGTTGTTGCCTGGGGGGGATTAAATGGTCCAGAGAAACTATCGGTGTATCGGATTTACTATAAACCCGCTATCCTGCTTGGGTACCTAGGAAATGGAGCCAGGGGCAATTTCTTAGGCGTCTCACTCACTTTACGGGTCATACATGCACTCGGAAAAGATTGGCTGCAGGATGAGCGAGTTTGTAGAGAGAATCTTGAGCGCCCTCCTTACGGTCACGCAACAACCAAACGGCCAGAATGATAGTAGATCTGTCTTCCAAAGAGGTCTATAATACCATGGTAATTCCAAGTTTACGAGCATTCAGGTATTCAAGGATTACAGTATATGGAATACAACAGTACTTGATGGACGGAGGTGTATCCCAAACCGTCCTGTCCTCCCACCCTCCATTCATAAGCTTCGCTCGGCGAGAGCCGAGACGGCAACAGCACCCATCACGCCCAGTCGACCAGGCAAGTTTCTTCCTGCTTCAGCTCAGTGTATTGTACAGCGGCTCTCCATACACTGGCCCTCTTCTCGGCATCCTTGGCCTCGACACTCACATCCTTGGGTTCGGACCCGTTCATATAGAGACCTTTGGGACGATCGCCAAAAGGCGGGCGAGTCTCCACAGCAGCTGCGAGAACGTCACTGGCCGACTTGGCTGTCGAGCGCAGCGTGCCATTGGGCGAGAGTATGGCAGCGATGTACATGACGAGGGTAAAAAGGAATGTCTTCAGCCAGCCGAGACCGCCCATGTTGAGTTTCGTGGGCATCAATCCAGGATCAACACCGAGAACTGAGATGCCGCTTAACTCAGGATCTGAATTGAGGCGACGTTGCAGCTCGATACTGAGGGTAACAGAAACCGATCAGTCTTGCTTGCCCAGACAGAAAACTCAGAGGACAAGTACCACTCACATGATCATTACTATGCACAGCTTCGAGGCTCCATATCTCCGGATTCCACCGAGGTTGAGTCGATCTTTGGATGGATCCTCAGATGGGCTCCATGCGCCCGTTGCAATCGACTTGACAGTCTCGCTGCTTGTGTCGGCCAAGATCTTCTTCCATTTTTCGTTTTCGAATGCACCACTAACTTTATTGGTATCGTCAAGGGGGCTTTTTTTTTTGGTGCCATGGCCCGTCAGCCCAACGTTTCGACAAAGAGTCAAGATCAACATCGCACACTCACTCGTGAACCCAACTTCCCAAGACGACCACCCTGCCCGATTGCCGATCCATACTTTTCAACAATAACAGGACTAACAACCAATGCCCTAGATAGTTGATTGCGAAAGCAAGATCCAGGCCGCTTCCAGTCTGCGTTTGGCCTTGCTGGTCACGGTGCGCTGCGTTCAGGATCAAGGCCCGGATCCGCGGGATTTCGCCAGCGGCAACTTTGGCATTGATGGTTGCGGCGGTCTCGCGTACGCTCGACAGGTTCGAAAGGTCAAGCGAAACAACATCAGCCGAGTGAGAACTGCTGGCAGCGCGCAGGGTCGACCGGAGCGAAGTCGCCGTGCTTGGGTCTCGAACTGTATACAGTCCATGGTGTTGAGCTGACAGCTTCGCGTTTCCGACAATGGCCTTGACAATCGCGGTGCCGAGACCGCCATTTGCACCTGTCAAGAGGATTGTGTGGGAGGGCGCTGCCATCGTGCTCCTTTTGGCCTAGAGTGGGGTGTTGGGAGCTGAGTTGAAAGGAGTTGCAGAGAATTGCCAGCCCATGCGCTGGCAGAGAAAAACCCTGGATCTTTGGGCCATTAGGCTTGAAGGCCCAGACATGTTTCACTCAAAGCGTTTTGATTTGCAGCAACAAAGAAGCCAGTAAGCACGAAGGCCTATGCCCAGACTTTTAGTTTGGTTACCGGGAATCAAAGACCCTCTGTTGAGAGCCTGACTACGGAAGGTCAGAGTAAAAATGGCTTTATCGCTTCGGGACGGTCGGTTCTGCTCATGGAGCAGGATTCGTGCATGATGACTGCAGCGGTTGGTCACCCACAACTTATCTTCAAATTACTTGATAAATTCCACACCAGTGTCACCCATTTCGACGCGCTTGTATCGGATCCAATCTTTGTATTCCGACCGTTAAACGTCAGGGCCCTTACTCCACAGTGCTAAGGAGTTAAGATGCTGGCACGGTCCGTCTTACGTCTGGCCTATCCCACGTGGGGCACTGGGGATAAGGATCAAAACCCCTGTTAGTTTATAATACAACATGGGGGCTAGAAACCATCTCTGTATGACTCTCCTCGTGTCTCGTGTGTGACATACCGCTGATACCCAAATGCTCTTTACCAAGGGATCCCGACATTGTGCATCCAATCCTGGCATGAAGATAATGCAAGTTAATCCTACACGGCTCTTATGGCTTTGTCCCAAGTCTAATTACTTCTGGATAGGATTTGAATCCTTCCTGGCTATGATGCAATGGCAGTCTTCTCTTCTCGCTCTTTGCTTCCCAACTCGGACTTTTCCCAGCATGTGACCCTCGATTACTGTTACACGACATCACCTCGCTTGAGATTTGCCCGCTTGCGAAACTTCTAGCGCATGGTAATCATACTATACAGCGCGGTAAACCTCCTCTGACCACCGTTTTTGACTCATCACACCCCCCCCCCCCCTCTTCCCTGTTTTTTTTCTCCTTCCTGTTTCCTTCTTTTTCTACTTCTCTGTCTTCAAGACGGAATCTTGAAACCACCTGGGACGAGATGCGTGAATACTTCCTTAGGGTCCACCCTGGCACGCAGCTCCTGTAATTGCTGCACACTCGTATTTCCGTAGCTAGCAATCGGGTTTTGCCATGGGGCCGCGTAGTTGAGATAGATAAAGGCATCGTACACGCCCAGGGTGCGCGCAGCGTCTTCCAGAGTGTTCAGAAGCGAGGCAGACGCGGCGTACACGCGCTCGTTGTCGGCTTCATCAGTCCATCCATGGGACAGGAGGCACACGACGAAAGTACCGGTACGATCGGCAAGGCCCAGTGCATTTTTGGTAGCATCACGCTGATAGATTGCAGGGGGGAGCGGCTCGAATGAGAGCGTCCATGTCATACCGTTGATACCCTTGACCTCGGCTAGACTGCTGTTAAAGGCGTCAAATGCGGCGCGGAGCATTTCGGTAGTTGGCCGGAAGGTCGTTGTAGCAAACAATCGTCTGGTTCAGGATCAGTAGACGGACAGATGATGGTGCATGATGACTGCCAGTAAGATTGTAGGAGGATGAGGAGGGTGGCGAGGTTTGAGTTCACGAGGAGGACAGGGCTTTCTGCTTACTGGGCTACTCCTGGCGGCAAATAAGCAGCCTGCTGTTGGGAGAGCGTTGACATATTGACGATGGCAGTTGTGCTAACAAGCGACGGTTGATCGAGAAAGCCTTGATACAACGACGGGGCTCCATCGCCCGACGGCTTTGTGTAGACAAGATCGTTGGTGACGACCGTCAGGTTGCTGGACTGGGAGTATCCCAATCCGGTAATGAATGAAGCATTCTCATCGTAAGTTTCGGCGGCCGAAAGGTTGACATAGGTCTCGATCTGCGCGTCAATGGTCGAGAGGGGACTGTAGACTGTACCGGCCCACACCAGGCCTTGGTCTTGCTCGAAGGCCTTCAGTACGATCCTGGTAACAACACCGAAATTATTGCTTCCGCCACGAAGTCCATAGAAGAGGTCCGTGTTGCTCTCTTCATTGGCCTCCACGATAGATCCATTGGCGAGGACAAGCTCAAAGGAAGAAGCTGTGGTGCATGTCCAGCCGTAGCGAGGCCCAAAATAAGACAGGCCACCTCCCAGCGTCAAGCCTCCCACGCCGACGCCGGATACTCGGCCGCCAGCCACACTAAGCCCCAAGGGGTCGAGCTTTGCGTAGACGGCATCCCAAGTTGCCCCCACGCCGACAGATACGGTCGAATTCTCGGCTGCAGCATTGACTTCGATAGAGTCAAGGCTTGACAGGTCGACGGTGATGCCACCCGGCTCATTCGATGCGCCAGGGAACCACATGTGGCCCCCTGATCGGATGGCAAACTGGCATGAGCTGTTGCTGCTGTCTTGGTCTGAGACAGACGCATTACTGTTAGTGCTCGTAAGCGACCCAATAAGTGCCGACACATCAGCAGTCGTCTGTGGCGTAACAAAGCATAGCGGATGGACGGCGGCTGCCTGCAAGGAAAAATACGACGACAGAGTCGCATTGTACGCAGAGCTTCCTGGGAGTGCGACCTTGTCCGCCCCTAACAAGGCAACCAATGCCTCACACTGGCACGTTGAACGAGGTCAGCCTGCCATGTTATCTTGGCCAAGTCCGAGTAAGGCTTGTGTTACAGTAAGATACAAGGAAATTATGAAGTCTCTTACACATACACGACGTAAACTGGTACTGTCTGTCATCTTTGTGGGGTTCGCAAATGCAGTGATGGCCTTGGCTCTGAATCACAAGGTCGTTAAAAAAAAAAAAACCTTGGGTGGTACTTGGTGCGGGGTGCCAACCTGGTGCGGCAAGGGACACATGGTGCGGTTTCGTTGGAGAGGAAAAAAAGGGGTGGGACTTTATAAATCTGAAGAAGGGCCTTGGATGATTGCATACGTTGGCATGTAGTACCACACAACATGCCAATGGACACGCGACTTACCCTCGTAATACCTACGGAAGGAAGCCGAGATCACTCCAGAGAGGAAATGATACCCATGAGAAGTCAGCACTAGTGAGATATACTGACGTGCCAAGGGGCTGTAAGCTGCGCCAATGGCTGACGGAACAACAAGGGCCTGGAGGGGGGGGAGGGAGCTCCGAAGGGGGAAGGGGAGGGGAGGGTTGTGCGGGAGGATGGCATCTGTTTGTATGGCTGCCGCATTTTGTGAGATTTCGCCTGCATTCATCTTCTATTACGCCATCTTTTGCGCTCAACCGACGCCACAATATCCGATAGACAAGTACTAGGTAGCAATGGCATACAACCTTGCAACTTTCATGTCAGATGGGTGGCGTTCCACATGTGCTCAACGAGGTCCAATCTGTCGTGTGATCCGTGCAAAATCAGGGTAGATAGAGAACTAGGGCTCAGATTCACGCATGAAGCCCATTTCGGTGCCGAGATTCGGACTTGAACGAGCCTTGGAACACGCTTGAAAAATGAAGGGGCGAATATTAGGATGAGATTGGGCTTGCTGTGTCGAAGAAAGCCATTCTGTTCAGCTCAAGGAAGTCAGGCCCAGCGTTATCCTTTCGTCAGCGGCCCCATCATGGTCTCACATTTTTGATTACATAGCATCTCACTGTCTTTGCCCCTCCCCCTCCCTTTTTTTATTCTTTCTTGCTGTCTCCCCCTCCCCCCCCCTTCTTAAACCAAAAGATAAGTCACACCGCGGAGCCCATTTCAGGCTCCTGTCTCCATGCGTCCGGATATGCCGACGCAGTAACAGCCCGGGGTGGATATGCATAGGCCGCATGCTCTGGGCTGTCATCCTGGAAGTTCCAGTGCTGAGAAATGTCTACAGAGCGAATAATCCCATCCTGCGCGGAGCCGAGAGGTTCTAGTCCGTTGGCTGAAGCCGTAACCTGTGACTTGAGCGGGGCTGTATCCGACATCTCGTAGTAGTTGTTGTCTCGTCGTTGCGATGAGGGTGGCGCTGTTGGCGCAGTCCACGGCGCCAGGCTCGAGGCGTCGTCTGCGATCCGCTTCTTGGAAGAATTGTTGCTGCTGTCGCCCACCATGTCTCGAACACGGGACCGCAGCGACTTGAAGAAATTTGACCCGCCGGCATGCAGCTTCAATAGCTGGGCGAACCCTGGCATACAGCCGACAATGATGGCCACATTGGACTCGACCAGTCTGAATGGCCCATGACAGTAGATGTATTAGTCGTATGAATAAATATGAGCTCAAGCCCACAACGGGGATGGCTAAAGACTTACGCGCAAATAGACACGATAGATTGCGGCCATAATGTGTCAGTTGCGTCAAGAAGCTGGACGCGGTAGACAAGCGACAGTGCGCTTGCGGTCACACCCCTGTGCTCCCTCGTGTCAGTTGTGTGCAGGTCTGAGGGAAAATAGGGAACGTGGGGGTGGATCTTTGAACTCACATAAGAGCCGTACCAAAGACACCAATGAGTTGCAACCGTCGTCCGAGCGGCATGTGGAGTCGGGCAACAATGGGAAGAGGAAGAAGAAAAATGTAGATGTCGAGAAGTGTACTGCCAGAGGCCATGACGATGGAGTAGGTGATCATCTTGAATGGCCCGTTCGACGTGAGGATGGACGACCATGGCTCGCCCACGCGAGGTGCCGAGTAGATAGCAGCCAAGGGGATGTTAGGAAAATACAAGAGAAAGGTGAAAATGATACCACCGATGATGGCATATCTCATCCACTTCTTGACAGCAAAGAGCTGTCGGTACAGCAAGAAGATAGCAGTCTTGGAGGTGAAGTAGACGGGAGCAAAAAAGGTCTCTTGGACGTAGAGTCTCTTGAAATATGATGGTGTGAACCAGCAGAGTGGTATGTCCCATTGGTGCCGATACATCTTCCAATCTACAAAAGGATGGGAAGTGGTTAGATACCTAGACAGATGGTTGAAGGAAAATGGTCCGCATGGGGCCGAAGTACGCACTGGAAAGGAGAATAGCCGTAAAACCAATATTGAAAACAAGTGCAGCGACCGTGAAATCTATGGCGTGTCAACATGATTCACTGTTTCAATGCATGGCTATGCGGCGTGGGTGTATGGATCAGCATACAATCGGCGGAGAGCAGCCTTCTTCGATTCGTATACACCCGCCCGACTGTCAATATGACAGAGATTGTACATAAAATCACGCCGAGGGAAATGACTGCCGGACCCAGTGTTGTGGGGTTTTCGAAGTTGTACTGTCCGTCAGGCGACACCCCTGCCGGAATGGTGCAAAGGTCTTCTGTAGTTGGCAAACTCATGGTGACTCTTGAGCATTTAGTGTGATCGATTGTGACGGGTGGGGTGTGAAAGATGACCCGAGGAGGAGAGAAGAAAAAGAGAGAAGAAAATAGACCAAAAAGAAGAAGAACGGGGGTTGTAGACTGGGGATGTCCCTTTGACCAAACCTTGGAGTCTGTGGAATGGAAATTCTAGGCTGTAGCATCGAAACCTCATATGATACGGAAGGAGTCAGAAATCATGGGTCTAAACAGGGGGAGGGGATCGAAAGGAATTGTAAGCGCTGGGCCCCCAAAATATCTGGATCAAGATATGCAAGTCGTCGGGTGGACGCTAGGTAGGCCCGAGATGCATGTTTAAGGCGTATGAAATTGGGGGCTGAAAAAGATTCTACCAAACTGCGCAGTCAGCAGTTCTCGGATGACCAGTGACATGAGCGCAGCCCTCGGAGACCACTCAAGTGGGCAGGTGGTACCATCTTCTGTGTTACTTCTGCGGCTATTTGACCTATTCCACGACTATCACTCTGTTTATTTACATCTCGTTAGCATTTGGCAATGTATGTGTAACCAGGGGTTCTGCAATTTAAATCCTCGTCTCCTGCCACGCCTGCCAGGAGCTTGATCTGTCCGTCTTGTTCAAGGTGCTCTGCTCTAGGGCTGTCATACTTCGTCACAATGGCCACCCACTCGTCGAGTAGCTATATGGATAATTTGCTGAAGCCAGGTCTTTTGATTACACAGGATGGCGGAGCTTTATCGCGTGCCTTACTGTTCACCTTCCTGGCATGGGCCATCTGGGGAGCTTGGAGGTTCATCGTGGGTCCCAAGCTCTATTCTGATGATCCTGAGGAACTCCCCTACTTTGTTCCAGGTAAGATTCTTCTCAAACTGTAATCAACCAGACCGAAATTGCTGACAAGATTATTTTTCCTAGTGCTGGGTAAGTGGATTTTCCAGGACTGACCATGCTCGGATGCTGTTGTATTCGCGACTTAACAAATGCTCTCTTCGTCCATAGGTCACGGTCTAGCATTCTTTCGGGACTCAAATGGGCTATTCTCACGAGCCAGGTAAGTAAAGAATACTCAGAAGAAGGTGCAAACGTTGATAATGGTCGTAGGCTTACACAACGCGAACAGGGAGTACTTTGGTGGCCGCGACGATCCCTTTGCCCTGACTATCTTCGGCCAGAAGGTTTATGTTGTCACCAACGCCAAGCAGTCTGCTGTGGTGTACAAAGACACTGAATCTCTCTCTTTTGAAGAGTTTGTTCAGACCTTGATGAGGACAAACGGAAGCAGCGAGGAAACAATCAAGAAAGTGTCGTTGCCTCTTCAGATCGGCAAGGCTGGATTTCCGAACCCCGATGGCCTCTCCCTCATCGGACTCTCAGAGCGCATGCACGTGCACCAGCTCCATCCAGGAGAGAATCTAACTGTACTTCGGAGGAAGGTCCTAGACTGGATCAACCGCCAGCTCAGCTTTGATGTTCTGGCCAAGTCTTGCACATACGCATCTTCGCAGGGCGAAAACCACCTCCAACTTCCTCTTTACAAATGGACGTCGGACTATTTCGTTCGGCTCGGACAGTTTGTCTATTTTGGCGATGTTCTAGGCCAGATCGATCCGAATTATCCTGATGCCTATATCACCTTTGACGAGGTCGTCTGGAAGATGTTGTACCAATATCCTTCTTTCCTGTGCGGCGATATGACAGGCCCTCGCGACCAGATGATGGCATCCATGACAGCTTATTTTCAGCTTCCCCCAGCCCAGAGACGAGAGCAGGCTGCATGGATTATCAACGCCATGGAAGATGAGATGAGGGCGATCGGAGTGGACGATGCGAATATTGCCATCATGATCTTTCACTTGTACTTTGCGTGAGTCCATTGCTCATTCTCTGGCATATACATCTATACATCATTGTGAACTTGCTAATGAATGTAAACCATGAAAGGATTAATACCAATGCTCGCCGGACATCCTTCTGGATGTTGACACACCTATTGCGCAACCCGGCCTATCTCGAGATATTCCGCGCCGAGACGGCCCCGGCCTTCCGCGGTGATGAGTTTGTAGATTTGGACTATATTCAGGACCCGGCCAAATGCCCGCAGGTCAACGCCATCTGGCACGAGACTCTTCGCGTGGCCGGGTGGGCCGGGTCTGTGAGGCTGGTGACGCGTGACCTTGTCCTTGGCGGGAAACGTCTGCGCAAGGGGAACCGCGTTTTGGTGCCGCACCGCTTGGGGCACTTTGACGAATCCATCTTCGGCGGCGATGTCAACTCCTGGCTGCCCCAGCGTTGGCTCGACAACGACCGTGGCAAACGACTTCAGACCAGTCCGTCCTGGAGGCCCTTCGGAGCCGGCAAGACAATTTGCAGTGGCAGATACCTGGCCAAGTTCTTTGTTACGGCCTTTGTGGCCACGCTTCTACGTCGCTTCGATATCAAAATGGTGGAGAACAGTCCTATGCCAGAGGCAGATGTGGGGAGGCCGGTTGTAGGTATTATTGGGGTCAAGGAGGGCCATGATATTTTGGTTTCTATTACCAAAAGAAAAGTTGACCATGTTCCAGAACCAACAAATTAAACTCGGAACACGGTTCCTTATGTATTGTACTCAGTTTTAGAGGTCCAAGTTGAAGGTATATTGGGAAATATTCTTATGCCCATTTGTTTCCTGTGTAATGCTAAGATTAATGACAAAAAGGCCAAGTATAATAATCACTTAAATGATCATGAACGTATTAGTCAATATTACTTGAGCAAATAGCCACAAATCATCTGTTTATCCTGAACAGCTTGAACCATTGACGACCAATATCAATCATGTTAACTTGGGATTACAGAAACACTAAGCATGATACGTAATTCACTAAATGAGTGTATTCAAGGGGGCCCCGGACGCTATGAGGCTACGACACGGCAAAAAGACTTTGGCCAGTCTCTCGGCTGAGACACACCTTGACTTTGTTGCCCTCGGGACCGCCTGCTCAAGCTACGCGCCAAAGTTGCCCAGCACTACGAGCATAACGATCTGGATATCTCTCCTGCAGAAGTGCTGGACAAAGAAGATATGGTCAGGCTGGTGTGGCCGTGTATAACGGTTCTCGAAATGAAGTTTGAAGAGAGGTGCTTCTTCTTCATCATCAAATGTCCAGCCATTGGAAGCGAAGGCACTGGTAGACTGATTGACTGCTGACCGCTCACCTCGCTTGGGAGAGGCCAACAATCACAGACTCTCTCCAAGCCCAAAGTGCTGCAAAGACTGGCCCCGGGCCCACCAAGGCTTGTCCCAGGCCGACAGCTCCAGCGGCTTGCAGCGCACTCCTCGTAGTGACGTACCCGAGCCTGCGCAGCTCGAAGACGCTGTAAAGACTCCACACGGCTACGGCCGCCCAGAAGATCTGAAATTCGGAGGGCGAGACCCTGTTCGCAGCAAGCAGGACATGCGGCAGCTTCTCGAAAACTCCGGCGAGCTGGGATTCTTGGCCCGGCAGCAACCTGTAGGCAAGGTTGCTCACGAGCGTGAGCGCCGAGGTAGCAAGGTATCCACACAGAAGCGGCATGAAGTCCTCAGTGCTGATTGTCCACCCAGCACCTCCGATCGATGAGGTGACCGGCACACTCCGGGGCACGAACGCCAATAGGACCATAACGAGGACTGGGCACCAACGCCATGCTATGACGGCTGCCTGTTGGGCTGCACCGTTGGGAACGTATGCGAGAGTTACAGAAAGAGCATATGCGAGACAGAGACCAGGGAACAGAGCGTTGGCGACGGCTGGGTCGACGAACCGGCCCGTGGTGCGCGTGTATACCGTCTTCTTGGTAGCATATAAGCTGAGCAGGAAGTATAGGGGGCCGGCCGCACCGAGTCCCAGAAACTGATTAACCGTTAAGGTGACAATCGAAGTTGCAATGCCCAATTTGTTTCCGTTCCGATAGGCTTCGACTAGGAAAATATAGACAATTGGGACCATATTGGCGAGGAAGAAGACTTCGGGAGTGTCGTACCGCCGCGGCGTCTCGGACGCAGTTTCGAAGGGAACCTGAGGGGTAAAGCTAGAGCGCTCCCCAGGCCCTTGGATGAGTATCTTGAAGGCCCGTTCGAAGTGTTCTGCACCCCATGAGAATGCTTCTGGTGTGAGGGCGGCATAGAACAGGGCGGCAAATAAGAGCACCACCCCTGAGGTGACGAGAGCTGAGAATCTGGATCCTAGAGGCCGAGACGGGAGCTCATCGACGAACGGAATATAATATTCACGCTTCGGCATAGGCAGAAAATCTGCACGGTGGGCTCCCGCAAAGCACGTGGCCGGGGCGTCAAGGAGTTGCTCCATGCCCGCGATCGGGACCAGACGAGGGGTGATGTGCTCAGCAAATCGGCCCTCCATAGAGGCCAAGCTCTGCCTGGCATGTGATTCACACATCAACTCCTGGACACGGGGCTGTCTTTGCGATTGTGTGCGGGAGAAAACCTCATGGATCTGAGCCTTGGTCAAACCCGCCGGGCTCTGCTCCAGGAGGCGCACGAGGTTTGAAACAAGGACGCCGGCTGTCTCGATGGCGCTGTTGCCGCCGTGGCCGCTGATGGGATCAACCTTCGAGCTGTTAGCTGATGTTCCAATCTGTGAGCTGCCCGCTGTGTATTTTCTTGCCTTGTGAGCCGCATCGCCGATGGTTATGATGCGATCGAAGTACCACTTCTTGAAGATATACTCTGGGATCGGCGTGAGCGTGGAGCTAATCTTGGCCTTGTACAGATCGCCAAACACGTGCTTATCTGTGAGCTGGTCGTTCCAGTGGTCCTTGACAAGTGCCTCCTCATCCTGCTTGGTATACCGAGGGAGGTCGGTTCCGTAGTGCTTTTTGTCGATCTTCTGGAAGAGGAACCAGTACACGCGGTGTCGTGGGCCGGCTATTACTAGGTACGAGAAGCGCTTGCCGAACACAGTTGTTGCGGTAGCCTTTTCAAAATCTTCTACGATCGAGATGCCAAAGATACACTTGGACTCCGTCGGCAGACATCCTACAAGGCGTGAGAGACTGGTCCTTCTGGAGCTCCAGCGCAACTTGATTCAAGGGGCGAGAACTCACCTGCTCGCTCGGCAGCAGAGATGTACCCAGGCTCCAGTGCTTCCGAGATCCGCCACAACTCGCTGCGCACCTTGCTGTGCACGCCGTCAGCGCCTACCAGAATGTCACCTGAGAAAGTAGCCCCGTCCGTCGTCTTGACCTCTACCGAGTTAGGATGCAGCTTGACTTCTGCCACCCGCTTGTTGAGGTGGACCCTATCCTTGTGCTGCAGGTTCCGCCAAAAAACCTCGAGCACCATCTGGCGGTCTACAAAAATGAAGTTGTATCCATATCTAAAGAAAATAGATTGTCAGCCAAAGAACCCGTGTATGTAGGCCGACCCGTGGAGCAGACCTACCGATTTCTCTCCTGGTCGCCTATGTTCTCCATGGCCTGAATCTCCCGCCTAGTCGTAGCACAACGGAATCGGGACCGCAGGAAGGGCTCACCGAGGAGGGCCCACATCTGGTCATAGATGCCGAGCTGGTCCATCACCCGAGACCCATTGGGCAGCCACCCGATGCTGGCGCCGACCTGGGGTGCGATCTCGCCGTGTGCCTCGAGGATGACATAGTCAATGCCGGCTTTCTCGAGCAGAAGAGCTAGCGTCAGGCCAGCGATGCTGCCACCGGCGATGAGCACCCGGAAGGGCTTTTGTGCCATGATGTGTCCGGTTTGTGAGGGTGGCGTGGGACGGGCGTGTGGCTAAAATTGGGCGGGCTAGATGCGGGCGTGCTGAGCCGTCGTGTACGCAAGCTGGATGAGCTTTAAGCCTTCTTCTTTCTGGAATGCTCGAAAAGGTTCTTCCATGAATCGGAGACCAATTCCGTATTGTCTCAATGACTTTTATATGTGTGATCGGACTGTGAAGAATCAGCATGAGCTCCGGCGGACTTTATCGACGCCCGCATCCCCGCCGCAGGGTATTCACAGACAGGCCTAAGCGAGGCTCCCATGGACTCGGCCTCCGTGTTTTCACGAAAAGTTGTGGGGAACAGAGACCCACCGTGCAACACCATCTCGAGGCTCACGCAATGATTTTCGGATCAATTGCTGGCCCGTGACAAGAGGGAATATAAAAGAGTCACTGCATACGCCCAAGATTGTGACAGATAGGGAAAAAAGGTTGTTATTGGTGCTGCCAGTCTCCAAGACGTCTCAAAACCATGCCTTTGCGAAAGGTCTGTCCCAAGTAGTTTTTGGCTGGCTTCAAGACCGAGACTACAATCGATAGCGTATCGCACGCAGGTCGATTTCAGTTCTTCTTTGTCTAAGAGAATGGTGCAAGGTAACCACACCCCCACCCTATGAGTTATTTCGAGTCTGCGTACTTCTATGCCAAGATGGCATTTCCGTAGTCTCCGTGCTATTTGGGTGCTCAACTGCACCTCAGCATGATATGGTTTAGGCCTGTCAAACTTGTCATTGTCGGAAAATTAAATCCATCCTTCGTCTAGGGCATATGCACTACACGTATTGGTGGGTTTTCATTTCGTCAAGCTAGGGAACCAACGAGACTTTAAAGCCTGAGAGCTGACGATAATGGTATAATGAGTCAAGCAGAACTAACTGCTGTTAATACGATGTGGAATAATGCTCTCATATCGCTGTACAAAGCCACAAAACGTGGAAGAAAGTGCCCCAGATCCAATTTAATGAGGTTCCTAATATCAAGAAGATCTGTCCATGCCGAATAAATTGAGTGAGGCCGTAAATATATTTGAGTGTCTCGTACTGTTTTACAAAATGCCCCTACAATCTTGCTGCTTACTGATGACAGTCAATCATTGTATGGCATGCAGGTGACACTAGAAATTCAGTTAGCCTCCATTCGAGTCTTTTTTGAATAGCGAGGAACTGCTGTGCTCAATTTACAAATTATGAGTAGGAGGAGAGGAACCGTTTCGGCTTTTCTCTCTATATATTCCCATTTCTTCTAGTACTCTTCGACTGTAAGAAATATGAATCTCGTGCAGGCTGCTGATGACCCGACAGTTTTTGAAGCGTTCTCCATAAATAATGAACGACCACACAATTTAGACAGCTTAGTTCGGGTTTGTCAAATCAGCTCAGACTCAATTTCGCAGTTTAGACTCAAAGCAAGTATGTTGCAGCTTTTTAGCTAGCTATTTTAACCCAGCCCGTTTTTTGTTTTTCTATTTTTTTCTATAAAAAAAGGAACTAAGTAGGAGTCAGCTTGTCGTCAACACCCACGAGGTTGACTCCCCAAGTCCTAGCAAAACAATATTGTGGTCAATAGTTTATTAGCGAGACTAAGCGTACTGCTGCTACTATTGGTTACTACAATCACACGCAGTGTTACATACCACAAATACGTCATCATGTGACATGGTTTACGGAACGATCTACCTACGAATATGATTGTTATTCTAGCCTTAACTCTAACTCTAGAACGCGTTTCGACAACGGGTTAAAATTATAACCCCACCTTTAGTAAGCACTGCAGTATCCTACGCCAAAAAAAAAGCCTATTTTTAGCACTGCTCTTGTTAGTGTAAACTTTTGAAGTATGCTCAGGCCAGAAACTCCTAGCCGGCGAAACAGGCTCCCGTGAGGCACTTGTGGCCTCCGCCCGTGAACTGCTTCATCAGGCCGAGCGCCCTATGGAGAGTGTGGCCTGGTCATTCTGGGCTCAGGTAAAAACCCAATCAACTATAGAGTATGGCTGGCGAGGATAGATGCTGACGCCGCTGTTCCTTCTACAAGCCTGCTCGCACTGCTGCAACGCGTATCGCGGTAGATCTGAAGATTTTCGAGACTGCCATCGCGGAAGATGGGCGGCCCAAGACTGCCGAGGAGCTCGCTGCTCCCACGGGAGCCTCGCCGGGGCTCGTCGACCGCATCGCCCGCATGTGTGTGTCCATGCGCATGATCGATGGGAAGGGGTCAGGTCTCTACGCGCCGAACCCTCTGACTCACACGCTCGTGCTGCCAGAGTGTGCTGGCGGTATCGTTTTCCATTATGATTGCACAGTGCTCACCTGGGCTAAGCTGCCCGAGTATTTGAGAAGGACCAACTTTCAAAATCCCGAGGACACACGCAAGGGGCCATGGCCATATGCCAACGGTGTCGACTATCCCTTCACAGAGCAGAACCCAAAGGACAACCCTGTGGCGTTCCATGCCTTCCACAATTATATTCAGTATGTGTATCATATCTGGTTAACTCCGAGAAGCTCTGCTTTGAACAATGTCAAGTCAACTTCATCCTTGAATAACAAATACATCCACTAGAACTACAAGAGCAATGCAGCTGACTATGGCGTAAATAGTGGGATGCGCAAGCACCGGCCTCTTTGGACAGATATGTATCTTTGCAAAGAGTATCTTGTTGATGGACTGAAATCGGAAGGAGATTCATCAGCTTTCATCGATCTGGGTGGTAGTATGGGCGACATATTGCAAGGCAAGACACACTGCCGCCCCATTCCGAATTCTCTGACCCGAGAGTATCAAAGAGAGATAGTGCTGACATTTTCTAACCTCTAGAACTGAGGAGAGACATTCCTAGCTATACCGGCCGCCTCATTCTTCAGGAGCGACCACATATTATTGCCCTGGCTAAATCCAAGGGCATAGACGCCGATGGACGCATCGAGGCACAGGCACATGATTTCTTCACCCCGCAACCAATCAAGGGCGCAAGAGCATACTACATGCGCTCCGTTCTTCATGACTGGCCGGACGAGAAGTGCAGGGAGATTCTCGCACAGCTGAAGGCCGTGATGGAACCAGGCTATTCAAAGATCCTGCTTAATGAGTACATGCTGGATAATGACAGGCCAGACTGGCGGCCTCTTTCGCTCGATCTTCTCATGATGGTGGTCAATGCTGCCTCTGAGCGCTCGGAGCGCCAATGGCGGGATCTGATTACCAGTGCTGGTCTGAAGAGTACGGGAATCTTCAGCAACGGCGACGAGGGAACTGAGAGTGTGATAGAGGTTATGCTATAGACTCCCCTCTTGTCTCACAAGCCATATACAACATCTGGAAGTAGATATAGATGATTTGTATAGGCTCACTCTTTGGCTTCGACTAGTTTGATAAGCTAGTTTAGATAGATGCGGACTTCGAGGAATAATTTTATCATGATTTTGCTTGGAAATTGTGTTAAATATGAACAATTTGATATAAGAGCTTCTCGAAAAAACGAAATGCCGCCAAAGCAATGGGAAAAGGCCCTCGTGACCCAAGCATGTCTATAAGAACAACGACAAGAAATGAAAGCTGCAAAGGCACAAAAACAGAGTGAAGGGTTTGCCTCAGACTTGTCTAGAATTTCTAGAAGCTAGAGAAGAAAGGAAGATGCTTCACATGCATTGTTGTTGCTGTCTATCGGAGAAATCATAGGAATTGGGCATTTTATACTCCAAGTCGAGTTCAAGAACTACTTTCCCAACACAAGACCAGGGGCCACCGGCTCCATGTAACGGGGAGTTGTGCGGCTCCAAAGCTCATTGCCGCTCATCTGGAATTGGAGGCCACGCATATATTCTCGGATGGTAGGGCTGCACCTGCCATCGGCGTTGAGCAGTCTGTCCTGCAGGGCGTTATGAACCAGCTCCCATTCACGCACCATGGACCACTGAGGGCAGTTAGCAGAGGAAACATTGCCAATGTATCAGTGGGTTGTGCTCAGATTGGGTGAGAGGTGCTTACCAGGACGCGCTTGGTGGCGGATACGTCCAAGCCAGTCTCGGTGGCCAGGACTTTGACGGCCGAGCACAAAAATGACCCCTCGGCATGGCCCGTCTTCGATGCCAGCACCTCTTTCTCAAAGCTGTAAATATCATTCACGATGGAGAGATGCTTGGCGCAATTCTCCTCGGGATCCCGCAGCATCGCAAGCTCAGCCGGCGTAGGGCGTAGGTCCATCGAGAAGCGCATGAGGGCAGACAGTAGCCTATTAATGCATGTTAATCCTGGGTATCGAGTTGTGCAGATGAGTAGGCAGAATAGGAGTCGTTTCTGAAGATCAGAATGGGGGTAGGGCAAGGGAACACATACGCTTTGCCGACGTCCTTTTCACGGTACCGCAGATACTCGCCCAGCTCCTTGATGGTCAGCCGGACCTTGTCGGTCTGCGAGCGCATGAAGACAAAGGTTGGCTCCAGCACCTCGTTGGCCAGCTCCAAGTCGTGTGCCCGCATGCTCTCCCACAGGTCATAGATGACAAACTCGGCCGGTATGGATCCTATTCATATCAAATTGTGAGTGTCTCCTCATCGTTGCCTTTCTTCTTCTCTTGACATGCAGCAGAGCTGCAAGGAGGAAACATACTGTCTGGGGTAGCATATTCGGGGCCCTTGGACAGCTCTATCAGCCTGTTGTTGAGCTTCTCGCCATCGGAGAAGGACATGTCCTCGAGAATGTCTGCAAAATTGAGAAAAACGGTCAGCACAACATTGCCTGGCTTGTATGTAGGACTGCTGAGGTAGATGCATCTTCAAAATGCGGGGACACCCACCGTCGATGAGGAACAAGACCGTAAGTAGGCGGCAGGCAAAATGAATCCGTTCGTCCTTGGCCAGGGGAAAGTACAAGCACGTCACACGAGAGAAGCCCGCCTTGAGAAAGGTAGACCGGGCACGGTCGTCAGTGAAGTTCCAGTGCTCAAGGAAATAGCCATCGACCTCTCTGGCGACCTCTTCGGCCCGTGGGTGAATCTTGGGCGCCCAGTCCGACGGCGGAACCTTCCATGTGAGCGAGGCCTGCACTTTAGTTGTAACCTCATTTCCGTTGAGACTCTCGTCCCCGTCCCATTTCAAGGTGACGGGTTCTGGGCGGGTTTCCACTTGAATACTCATTGGGGGCGAAACGAAACGTATTCGATTGTGGGCGGCGTTGCGAGACAGGTAGACTTGGGGTCTTTTTGAATCCTTTTTCTTTTCTTTTTCTCTCTTACTTTTCGGTCTTGTTTTGTATCTCAAGAAATGGGTGCTTTCTCAGGCGAGAGGTGGTAGTTTATCTGGCCATAATTATGATGACTTATCCAGCTGCATGTGCTAATTTTATTATCGCCTTGTCTCCTCCACGTGAATGAGCAAGGCGCGGCAAGGATTCCCAAAGCAGTCGGATGGCAGGGCCAGGCTCATACAGCCGCCTTCACGTGCAAGGAAATATGCCATAAAGGGAAGAAATGGGCAATCCCCGTCTCATATTAGCAGCATTCCTCTATAGACCTGCATCGCTGACTCAAAAGAGAAGACGCCTCCCTTAGGATCTGACATTCATCCCTACCGGTTTCTTGACAAAATAGGAAATTCCCGTGCGCAGGCTTGGCCAAGGACAACAGCCCCGAGAGAGATGCTGCCAGGATGGACCCACCCCGAGGGCTCAGCGCCTACTTCCTATCTATCTCCTTCCTCGGGACGGAAATCCGTCGCGGCCTGCTGCAAGCGTGTGAGCCTGTCGTTCTCCCTGCCCATCCAGAACGGGCGCAAGTCGGCTGTAGGCTCCTCGACCTCAGTGTAGGTATCGCCCAGGGTCAAGATCACGCGCCCGTTCCACCTGTTTCGCGCCGACAGCACGTTGTCGTCGGCGTTGTTGCTGTTGTCGACATTGCGATCTCGGCCATATGCCTGAACCCGCCGTGTCTGCTTCGCCACCGCCGAATACACCAGAGCACGGCCCACAGAATGCGCATCACTGACTGGCAGGCCCTGTGCGCGGATCGGGGCCGCCAGATGAGCCGGCAGGAGATTTGTGATGGTTGCTGCTGGCGCGACACCATTGATGGTGATGTTGTCACGGATGATTACCGAGCGGAGCGCACGAATGAGGCCGACGAGCTGTCGGTATGATGATGATGATGATGATCATAATAATAAGTCAACAGAACTTGGCAGTCGAGTTTCTCACGCTTCTCTCTTTTCATCTCTCTCTCTCTCTTCCTCGAAGCGTGTGTCCATTGGGGGGTTGGGGGAAACAGCTCACCGCCAGTTTTCCGCTCGAGTACACGGGCAGAGACTGCTCTGGAGCATACCCAGAGGCGCTTGTGGTGATGACGATACTCCCTGGCGTCTTGTCCCTTCGCATGCGGCTCCAGGCCAGCTTGACGACATTGTACACACTACGCACGTTGACGTCCAGCACCCGATACGCAGGTTCCGCCAGCAACCCATCGGCATCTAGACGGTCAGCAAAGTAATCCGCCTCCTCGGATACGCCGGCGTTGGCGAAAACGTAGTCGATGGGGCCGTCCACACTGTCTATAGCGCCGCGCAGCTGCTCCCAGCTCGTCATATCACAGCGGTGAAAGTGAACGCTTCGTTCCAGCGGATCCAGGCCACCCTCCCCCTCTTCTTTCTCCTTCGCTGGGCGATTGATGTCGAGCACGTGCACGGTGGCTCCTTTCTGAGCCAGAAGGCGCACAGCTGCGAGACCGATGCCTGATGATCCGCCGGTGATGATAGCGGTTTTCCCCTGCAGCAGAGGAATGTCGCTGTCTTGGATGTTGAGTGATGCCATTTCGTTTGGTGTGTGTATGTGTGTGTGTGCGTATGTGTGTATGAAGATGCCTACACCAGTTACAGAATTGAGATGAAATGCAGATTTCACGCTTGAGTGGAGGTGATGGAGGAGGGAGCGCTGAGACCTGTGCAATAAATAGATCCATTCTGTGTCTGTTGCAGATTCTCCGGGACTTTCCATTTTCAGTCAAAACATCTCTCTGCTACCTGCTACGTCCTCTTTCTGTGTGTCCCTGGCCCCATCCCTTCTGTATCTTTCACACTCCCGCCCCTTTTCTGACTCTCCACATGCTGGGCCTTTGACCTCTCGTCCTCCTTATTACCTAGCGTTTTTGGTAGGTGTGCTGACCCTCACCCACAGTGATGGCTTTCTCCACAACGTGAGCATGCTGGAGTCGCGGTGCCAGTCCACCTCAGTGTTGACCAGTTCCAGATCGTATGTCCACAGAAGCTTGGCCAGAACCGTGCGCATTTCCATCCATGCCAGGCTACATTTTGTTTCAGATAACATAGATTAGCATAATCTGTCCTGCCATGTTTGGTGGAGGGGGCCATGGTGGCACGCAAGACTTACTTCCTGCCAAGACAACCTCTTGGGCCGACGGAGAAAGGCTGTGTCGCAGCCAAAATATCCTCTGACTGTGGATCCGTTCCAAGCCACCGCTCCGGCTTGAAGGCCAAAGGCTCAGTAAAGTTCCTGGGGCTGAGGCTTGCCGCAACTGGGTTCGTGCTCACGATGGTCTATGAAATTGGACGAGATCAGTCTGGAGCTTCAAGGTCAGGACAGACAGCACTGCCTAGATGGGAAGGGCTGGGAGATGAGAGGGGTAGGAGAGGAGAGGAGCACTAAATCCTCCGATGTGGTGATTCATGCCATCAAGGTCTGATCGTCTTACCCCGGCTGGCAAGAAATGGCCGTCCACTGTATCACCACCCTCGGGCACCTCTCGCGGCAGTGCAAAAGGCAGGGGAGGGTAAACTCGGAGGCCCTCCAGAAGGACGGCCCTGAGGTATTTCAGCGATAGGGTAGATGAGGCACTGATCTCTGCGTAGGACCGAAACTGCTTGCGGATCTCATGTTGTAAACTCGCCAGGACGGCATTGTTTTTGAGCAGATGGTACAGCACACACGCCAGCGCCGTGGCCGTTGTCTCGCTGCCTGCAATGACAAAGTCGGAGGCGTGGGCTGCCAGCTGCAGGTCCGACACCTTTTGCGGGTCTCTCTGCTCCAGGATACGCGTCATGAAGTCCTTGCGGGCCGAATCTTGCCGGGCAATTCTCCTTCATTTCGCCCGACGCACACTCTCTCTCGGTCAGCAAAGGCCTCTATACGGACTGGTGAAGAAAGGTGGGCGGGGAGTTGGAGTAGTTTCGACCTACTTTTCAGTGAGCTCCACGGCCAGGTCCTCGTTCTTCTTGGTCTCCTCGGTCAGCTTTGCAATCTTGCCTGGCATCAGCATCATGAAGATGTCCGCGGCGAGGGGGAACCGCTTGAATGTGTCTGCTAGTGCCCCCTGGCGCAAGGCGCCCATGGCGATTGAGATCCAAGGATGAGGTTGATCTGGATGAAAAACGAGGATGAAAGACCCCAAGTTAGCCATGATTAACATCATGCCAGCCTTGCCCGTATTCTGGGGCAAATATGCAGACACAAAAACAAGCACGCAAACGCACCACTGTCCACGCCACCAAAAGTCTCGCCAAAGGCCAAGTCTCCAATAATATCAAACGTCATCATCTCCAGCCCCTTGCAGATATCAAAGCCGCCGGTGCCACCTCCTCGCGTACCTGCGGCTCGGATGAATTTGTCGACCGTTTTAGAAACTAGGACCTCTTGTTCGCTGAGTGACTGGTCCGAGAAGGCCCGCGATAGATGCCGCCGCATCTGCCCATGCACATCTACATCGCGCTCGCTGACGATGGAGTGCACGCCGCGGCTCGCAAACGGCCCGCCTTCGTAGAAGTCGCTTTTGATGAAGGTCTTGTGGCCAGGGCGGAAACCGTAGATGTCATTCCATGACTGCGGGGAATTAAACGAAACCTCGTTGGGGGCCACTCGGACGACCGGACCTGACAAGAAGAAACGGAGCGTCAGCACCCAAGTGAGCATTCAGACTGGTCTGCTTCCTCCAGTCCTTCCCCCGAACTCCGAGCTTGCGCATACCATATTTTTTGTGAAGTGCTAGGATTTTGTAGGGCATGCGGCCGCTGTGGAACCAGTAGCTGTATGGGATCTGATATTACAAGGCGGTTTTCATCTCAGCACATCATGACTGGCGTGTTTGTGTGTCTCTGTATTGGAGGGCCGTCTTACATTACTCCACGAGGCGGCTCGGGGGCCGGGAATTTTGGCCAGCGGGTGGAAACATGCATCATAGATGGCCCTAACGACAAAAAAGAGGAGGAGCTGGTCACACCTCTCTCGTTAGCCCCACGTGGTCCACACAGCCCATGGCGTCGCCGGGTTGGTCGGGATAGAGAAAGACCATCCTGAACTGGTGCCACTCACCCCAATGATGGAATACACCACAGCAAGGCCAGATGATCTATAGGTCAGATTCGCCATCCTGAAGAGGTATGAAAACGGTTCTACTCCGGCGCGGGAGATGAGCTATTGATCCTGCTGAGTCTTACCAAGTTCCACCCTGCTTGTAGCAGCAGACGAGATGGAGTAAATCCACGCCACCTTATATGAGCAAGTATAAACGGCACGCAATAGCCCGTACATGGTGGTCCCGGCTGTTACTCGGAAGGGAAAACCCCCAGCGATGGACAAGGCTGAGGAGGATTTTGGGTGCACACTACCCACACACAATCCATGAAGTCTACGCCACATTTGCTGGGTAGGATCAGGAGACGGTTCAGAGGCTTTCTTCAGGCTCACCAGAATGGTGGGAAGGGAAAGCTGAGAGGATGTTTTGTGAGGGATCCTTGGACTGAATGAGATAGTATATATAATAATTTGTCCTAGTAATGGTCGTGTTCAATGTTTGTCTCCTGGTCAGCAGATTGTAGACTTACAGACTACCTTCATTGCTCTGCACTTCTTTCGTTCGCTGAAATCTTTTCTTCCTCACATCTTTGTACAGAAAGTCACTAAAGATATCAAATTCCACCATAATGTTCACGGCGTCCCTGAAAGAGGCCATGATAGGCCTGCTGCTTACGTCTAGCGCAGTAAAAGTGTTCGGCAGTGCGACAGAAAACAATGGGACCGGCACCGCCTGCAATTTGCTCGCTGCCACGTTTCCGAGCAAGACTTTTGCCCCTGGATCGGCCAATTACACCCTGATCTCGCAGAGTGAGTGCAACCCTTGATGCATGCGGTCTGCATATTCCTTATGCACTCTGTGTCGGTTCCATGTCCCTTTTCGGGCTTCGATCACCCTTTTTCGTTTGGAGAGGGGAGGAGAGACGTTGTCTATTCTGCATGACACCCTGACCCTGTCAGTATTCGCAGTGACTAACACACACGTGGTGACTAGCCGACATCTACTCCGAGACGTGCGTCCTAGAACCAGGTTGTGTCTTCATGGCAGCCAACGAGGACGACGTGGCACAGGCCATCTCCTTTATCTATGAGACCAACACCGTCTTCAGCGTCGTCAGCGGCGGGCATATGCCTGTGCCTGGCGCACAGTCTAATAATGGCGGTGTTATGTTGGCCCTAACCAACCTGGACAACAAGACCTTGAGTGATGATCATTCAGTGGCCTCGATTGGGCCTGGCAACCGCTGGGTCGAGGTATACACCTGGTTGCAGCCGTATGGGCTCGCTGTGGCCGGTGGACGTTACTCGAGTGTAGGAGTGGGTGGTGTGTTAATTGGCGGAGGCATCAACTTCTTCGGAAACCGGTACGGCTTCAGTGTGAATACCATCGTGGGCGTCCAGGTGGTCCTTGGGAACGGGTCCATTGTGGAAGCGTCGGCAACGTCGCATGCGGACCTGTTCTGGGCGCTCAAGGGCGGCAACAACAACTACGGCGTGGTTACGCGCTTTGACCTAAACACCATCCCAATCACGAGTGCGTACGGTGGCATCGCGGGCTGGCTCGGCACCGATCTTACCTCCCAGTTTGTTCAGGCTATCGAGGACTTTCTGCTGTCTCCAGAAGGCATTGACGATCCCTATACCGAAATCAACCCAAGCATCACCGTCCAGCCATCATACTACGGCAATGGCACTGGCCTCTGGGAGTCCGTCCTTGTGCCCTTTGTCGCTGGCAACTACTCTTCGGTCTCGGGCCCACCGTCCCTGGTCAACTTTACCAATCTTCCAGATCCTGTGTCCATCAGCGTGCTCGGGCAAGAGGACAATTATGTCGACATTCTCAACACGGTCGAGTCCATCAACACCGAAGACATATACGGCAAGGGCCAGATCTACGGGTGCCTGTCGGCCAAGATTGCGCCGGGCGTCGTGCAGTTGGCTGTCGACACCGTTCTGACGCCCGCCCTGACTCAGCTCGCCAATGTGAGCGGTGCATTTGTGGCCATAAGCCCTGAGGCCATAAGCTCGTCCATGCTTCAGGTTGCGCATGACTCTGGCCCGTATGCCATCGACCTTGACCCCGACGACGGGGCCTTCATAAGTACGTATGCCCTTCTCCTCTGCTTCTCTCGAGGCTTCCCATGTCCATTTTCATGCATGGGTCAGCCACGGGCGCTCATCAGCTTTGGTCTAATTTCTTATAACACACAGTTATTCTGGCGACAGTCACCTGGGACAACGCATCCGACGATGAGCTCGTTCAGACCTTCATGAACAACACCCTCACGAATCTCGAGAATGTCTTGGTACAAAATGATTTGTTCTACAACTACATCTACATCAACGACGCCGCGCCGGGTCAGTACCCCTATTCCACCTACGGCAATGGCCAAAGCCTGGACCGAATGAAGGCTGTCCAAACCTCGTACGACCCACTCGGAGTCTTCAAGGATCTTATCACTAGCGGATTCAAGCTTTGAAGGAGTCTCTTTTCTTTTTCTCTGACTTTCTTAGAGTACCATATTAGATCAGTTGCCTTCTTGTATATATAGTGTTCCCTTCCAATTACACAGTGGTTATCAACTTCAATCACATACTCATGGAGAATTTCACTGTGTTACCCCAAAGAGAAAATCCATTTTCCTGTACGATGACACATGTTCGTTCGTGTTCATAAACCGAATGCACAGCAACTGGGCCTTGTCTTCATAGAACGTTGCAGTAAAACCAACCTGGTTACTACATGTCTTTCCTACTACAGAGTGTAATAGAATTTAAAAATATTTTTCTATCCTACTCGAAAGAAGTTTTTTTTCTTCTTCCCTTAAACAGGGTTACCTATGTTGCGAAAAATCTTGGATGGTCTTGCCATGATGGTGATTTTATCGATTCTTTCGGACGGTATTGTTCCCAATTAGGAAATTTCCGCCCTGCCCGCTTCCGAGTTCTGACTGTACTCCTTTTCACCATTGACTATCATCACAGGTCACTCAGTTCAGTGGTAACAAACCTCCATTCCATGTCGTCGTGATGCACAGTGAATTTCATGCTCTGTCTTCTAAGCGACAGAATCTTTGTTGTACAAACTAGGGCTGTACAGTAAGCCAGCAGCGACCTTGATCACCAAGATGGCGAGCCCCAAGCGATTTGCGCTGAATGCTCTGGACAATATCATGCCTCGTTTCTTCTCCAGCCTCATCTTCACGTTCAGGCTCAGCAAGGAAGCAACGCATGATCAGGCCCTCCAACTACTTCAAGAAAGTCTTCGGACAGCCTGCGACGAGCTGCCTTATTTTCGGCGAAAGGTCTTTAGCATTCCGATATCGCCCGAAAACAAGACACCCGGTCGTCTGGAGGCGCGCGAACACCAAGATTGGATTCCTCAGGTGCTGCGCAACGACCTGACGAAATCATGGCCCGAGTACGACGACATGGTAGAAGATGGTCTGCCGCAGGACCTGCTCGACGGCTCGCAGCTGTTCCCTCCCGGTCGCCACATCATTGACCTCGATCATGAAGGCACACCACTCCTCGTCGCCCAGGCCAACTATGTCCGCGGTGGGCTGCTGCTCGGCGTGTCCATGTTCCACTCGCTCGTCGACGGAATGAGCGGCGCACTCATCCTTCGCATGTGGGCAAAGCATATGCGCATCCACTCGGGGGAGACTGTCGCTGCCTTTGACATTTCTCCCGGCTCCTGTGACTATGACACCCTCCACGAGGTGTGGAAAACATCCGGGGCGCCCGTAGCCGAGGGTACTCCCGACGACTGGCGGCTGCTGGGCCTCCTCCCACCGGGTGTCGAGGACCGACCGAGTGGCGCACCGCCGCCGCCCATGCGCTCCAGCATCTTTTACATCTCAGGCACTTCGTTTGCCCGCCTGGGCGCCATAGCGGCTGGTTCCTCCACCAATGGCCATGTCGACGGCGGAGGCGCAGATGGCGACGACGGTGTGAAACTGGGAGGAACGGCCAACGACGCCCTCATGGCGCTGCTGTGGCGGTGTGTCATGCGAGCGCGGCGGGCAGCGGCACCCGAGTCTCCGAGCTACGGCGCTTCAGAGGTGGCCGAGCTGGACACGACGCTCAACGGAAGGGCATTCTTCGGAGAAGAGCTACCATGGCAGTACATGGGCACGCTGGTGTATATTGTGACAACGCGCATGACTGTTGCTGAGCTGACGGATCCTGCCACGCCATTGAGTGCGGTGGTCAGCGCTGTGCGGAATTCCGTGGCCAGAGTCACACGCGAGCGGGCTCTGTCTGTGTATGGGCTTGCGGCAACACGTCTGGAGGGGTATACGGCCGAGACATTGCGATGGCCCTTTGCGACATTTGAAGGGGCCGAGGCGTGCTTCAGCAGCCTGGTGTCGCTGCCTGTCATGGATATTAGCTTTGGCGGCAAGGTTTTCGCTGGCAATGGTGTCCCGGATTACGTTCGACCGGAGCGTCGTGCGCTGGATCACGTCTGTCGGAATTGTAACATTCTTCCTTTGCGACTAGAAGGGGGCACTGAGGTATTCATCTCGCTGACGGTGGACGAGATGGCTCTTCTAGAGCGTGATGCTGAGTTCGCCGAGTACGCGCAGCTGGTGTGTCATTAGGTTGGTGGTGAATGTGGGAATAGACGCAAGATAGTAGGAGCATAATATGTGGGTGCGGTGCAAAGTACAGACCGGTGTTCGCACCACGAGGAACTAGGAAGCATATTTTGAAAGGAGGGTACGTAGAAAGCAATGGAAAGCGATGTCGTGCAAAAATTACAAAGAGTCACCAACTCCAGTCACTGGAGAATGCACGAATGTACCATACAGCTGCCGGGTGCCAATCTTCACAGATGTCCCTCGATTCTGATATCTAAGACTCTCAAGACGAGGAGGATTGTACTGTGATTATCAAAGTAGCTAGAAGGTGTTTACGCCCCCCTTAAGCTTGCACGCATATGAAATTGAGCCCTGCACTCAACATGTCGACAGCTTCGCGTAACTTCTAAACTCGCCATCCGCTTCCAGCCGCTTCATCTCGTCGTCATGAAGAGCAACCAGGATCTCGGCCCCCTTCCCTGATGCCGTAGGCAGGATGATAGTTCGCCTAAACAGATCATTCCACTCGTCTCCTGGAGGCCGTTCGCAGTCAGGACGACCCAACGCCGGCCCAAAGTCCAAGTCGTGCAACGCGATGTACTTGTGGGATACAACGATCATGGATGGCCCCGAAACGCCAGCAAGAGAATAGGGGAGATTTTCATAACTGGAGAGATTATGTGCCGCACTAAACGCAGCGAGGAGATCAGCGCGTGAGAGCGAGTTGTGGGTCTCCCTTAGGGTCCGAGCCAGCTTGCCAAGCGGCGCCGAGGAGCTGCTCGGAAGGTCCGTCACCTCGGAAAGAGGCAGCGAGGAAGTGTTGAAGAAGAATGTATCCCCTAGGTAGGACCTGAGCTGCTGCTGCGGTCCTCCTAGTATCTCGCGGCCGTCGACAGCGATCTGATAGACAGACTGACTCGGCTCGTCGCCTGGGCTGACTGCATGCGGATACCGTGCCCTCATGATACACCGCCAGAGCAGGGCGTGGAGGGCATCGTCAGTCGTGACGGGCTCTTGTCCGGGAAGCTCGTCGGCAACAACTTTACTCAGATTCTCTAGCGCCTCGGCTGATATGGTGAAGATTTGGGTCCTCGTCTTGTGCTTCAAGAGCTCGGGATTGCCCATGAGACTGGCCAACACGTCGTTGAGCCTCGGCGCGTCGACTGCACTGGGCGGGTGGATCCCCAAAATAGACCACCGCCTGTCTGTCGCTGTGCTTGCTTCAGAGCCACCATCCTCGCGCCACAGTCTCTCCAAGACCTCTCGGTCATTGTTGGTGGCAACTGTACTATCTGGGATGTAAGACAGGCTGGCTGACTCCGAACCTGGCTCAGATTGAAGCCTTCGGCAGTGGGACGCCCATCTGCGCGCAAAAGTGTAGACCCCGTAGGCGTCGACGACATTGTGCCACATGGCCAGGCCCAGAAGGCAGCCGCCTTTGACAAAATTGGCCTGGGCAGCGGTAGCCTCGATGCCTGAGGCAAGGTCGAGGTTGAAGGACTTGGACATGAGTAGTTTCGTGTCGATCTTGTCGGCAGGAAACCCAGCGGCCCGAAGTCTGTCGTAGGAGAGCTCGCTCGCGCCTTCGGCGACGGTAAGGTCCTTGAAGTCGAGTGTCGGTGATCCGTTCTTGCCTGCGTCTTTGGGGATGCGTACTTCCAACTGGTTTGGCTTCCAGCCGGGGCGGTCCTGAGGCCGAAGATGAACAGTGCCGCCACAGATGGGCATTTCTGCTATGGCTAGAGAGAAACCTTTGCTCAGAAGCTGGTAGGTCTCGTCCACACTGGCCTCTGGAGGAGTACTGAAGTAAAAGAGCAGCTTGACCCAGCAAGGCACCATTATGTTGTCAAGCGGGCTAAGAGCCACAACGTTTTCGCTCATTTTGCTGGGTTGTTTGAGTGATATGACGAGAGGGTAGATACGTTTGGAATATGATTTGATATGTAATGTATATGGTAGAATGGGTTTGATAGGAGAAGATAAAATAGGCTGACAGAGGCAAGTGTTCAACAATAAAAAGAAGAAACAGGAAAAGGAGATTAACTCATAGCACTGGGATGTTGTTATTTCATTATAATCTGAGCGGCGTCATTGGTCCTGCAATAGGGAAAATATGGACATTTCTGACTATCAGAGATTTTAGGTTCTCACAATTTTACGTGCTGATGTCGGTGATTACTAGGACGAGCTTGACATGCTTATACGATGCGCGGCCTTTCTCTATTATAGGTCTAGTCTTTCTACACGGTGTTTAGTCGCACCACATGAACACATGCTAGAGACCAGGTGCTGACAGATTATGAAATAAACTTGTAATGTGTGATTGGATGGAAAAAATAAAATTGGAAGCAGGAGAAAGAAGAAGAAAAAAACAAGGCCAATAGGCGTTCCATCTGCAAAGTATGGCGGAGTATGGCGGAGTAGAGAGGTGATTGTACATTCAATCGATCTACAGAAAGCCATCATCATCTCAACCCCTTCTCTAAGCGTCATTGCAAGAACAATCCCTTTGTCATGTCTGCTTTCATCATACAGATTTGGACGAACGTTTTGCTGACATACCCCAAGCCCAAGAAAATAGACCATCAGCTCCGGGAAGTGTGAAATAACACAGGCGAGCGTTAAGGGTTTCAAGCCGCCCCCGTTCCCAATCCTGGAGTCTGCTTCTTACGCAAGTCCGTCCATCCCATAAAGTTGGCTGTAATAAAGGACACAGCCGTTACCGCCGCTGGAACGTAAAACGTCCGATCGACACTGTTACTGTAGGCCAGCAGCACACCTGGAATGTCTTTGGAGGCGATGATGCTGCGGAAGCCTGTAGCGCCTGCAGCCACCACGGCGCTGGCATCGACGTCAGGGGCATGTTGGACGAGCTGGCTCTCGATGCTCTGGTTGAAGATGGTATCGGCCACGATAAGTAAAATGGACAGGCCGGTAAATTCCGCAGACATGAGCAAGGAGATGCCGATAGCAATCTCAGCTGGGCCGAGGATGGCTTGAACTGCGAGCATGCCCTATAGCGCCGTACGGGGGACTGTCAGCTGGCTTTTCCTCTAATTCTTCCTGCGGTTTCCATAACAGGCTTCAAAAGCTTACCATCTGTAACCCGCATCCTCTTGCAACTCCAGCAAGAAGTTGCAACCCAACCCATATTCCAGTCGACGTCGTCGGCGAGAAGATGGCGAAGAGGCCCGTGGCCGTGGCGGTGACGGATGTCGAAAAAAGCGAATAGGGAATGACAAACCCTGTCTTCTGGACCAGAAATCCAGACACCATCACGCCCAGGACCTGTCCGAGAATGTTGGGCAGCAGATACACGCCCGACATGAGCGGTGACACGCCCCTCACCGCCTGGAAGTAGATGGGAAGATAGTAGCTGGAGCACAGTAGGGCTGTCGATAGGCCCATCTGCGTCATAGCCGCGGCCCACACGATCCTGAGACGCAGCACAGATAGCGGCACCAGAGCTCTATCGCCGAGCCACCAGTTCCAGAGCATCCAGACGGCAGCCGTAGCTCCGGCGCCCACGAAGAGACCAATGACCGTTGGTGAAGACCAGGGGTACTGCTCGCCACCATACTCAAGCGCAAGGAGCAGCTGGATGATAGCTGGGGCCATAAGAGCAAACCCCACGAGGTCGAGATCGCGGTGGATGGTCATGAGAGCTTGCAGGACAGGTTTCCTAGACTTGGTCTGCTCCTCAGGCACGGTGATGAAGATGAGGCAGAGGAGCCCCAGACCCCCAGCAGGAAGGTTGATGTAAAAGCACCAGCGCCATGTGGTGTACTGTGAACATTAGTGTTGATTCAATTGTTACTATCAAGCCATGGGGGAGAGAGAGAGAGAGAGAGAGAGAGAGAGAGAGTAAGGAGCAGTTGAACATACTTCTGTCAGGGCTCCACCAATCAGGGGTCCAGTCATCATTCCAACCTGCGAAATACCTATCATCATTCCAATTAAAGATGGTCGGCGGTGTAACGGTGCGCAGGCCATTACGATACCAAGCCCTCCATTGAAGATACCTAGAATGCGAGCATCAGCAAGATGCCTATAAAGGTATGGTGAATCTCTGTGCCAGACAAAAGTCAAAAACCTACCCGCCGTACCCATTCCTGCTACAGCACGGCCGACGATCTAAATGGACGAGAAATCAGCCTCAAGACCTTCCTTCATATCTAAATATTATGAGTGGTGGCGAGATGCATATCACCCACAAGCATTTTGGACGAGGTCGCTACCCCGCATAGTAGAGAGCCCAACTCGAAAAGGGCGACAAACCCGATGAACACGGACTTTGTATGAAACTTTTGGTACATTTTCCCGCTCAAGGGCTGGATCGAGGCGGAGGCAAGCTGGTAGGCTGAAGCATACCATCCAACATCTGTCATCAAGATGTAGAGTTAGCAGTCATTCATGTGTCCCCTCCGTCACTCCAACAGAAGCCAGCATGGCTTTACCTGCACCAGAACGCCTACAAGCTGGCGTGTGTTGGCGACTAGTGGAACATCTCCTCACCTTGTAGTGAATGAAACTCGTCCGTGATTTGCGGTACAGCTGTGGAGATGATTGATGTATCCAGAATCACTAGGAATAGCGTTAGAGTGAGAGACGCCACAATAACGATAAGCTGCGAGGCTCGTATCAGCAAACATTCAGAACGCCTTGAAAGCCGAGAAAACAAAACAGGAACAACATAAGTTGTTTACGCACTTTCATGCCCGTGACATATTCTTCCTCGGCACTCTCTATGGATCCATCTCGGCTCGAGTCGATTTTCTCTGTATCGCGTCCATTTTCTCCGGTTTCTGCCTTGGTTTCTCTGTCCAGGCTATCTTCAGCACCTGATTCTCCTTCTATCGGTGACCTAGATGCAGCCGTAGGCTGTGTGATAGCCGCCTCGGGGGCTTCCGCCACGGATCTGTCCATCTGGTGTAATTTGTGCTTCGATCAGTGGGATATGCGATTTGCAAGATGACATGATAATAATCAACCATGCGTCTTTTTCTTTTTCTTTTTCTTTTCTTTTTTTCTTTTTTTTTCTTTTTTTGGCACAGGCTACAAGTAACACTGCTGGGTGCAGATCAACAGGAGATATGTGAAACGGAATTGACGTATTTTTTTACAAAGAAGCACCGACTCAGCCTTTCATGGTCATTTGCAAGGTCATATAATACACAAGCGAGATATCTCAGAGACACTTTACAACCAAAGTTGAAGATGCTGCTACCTAAGGGACGCTAGGAAGAGGCTGTCTACCCACAGAAGAATGTATCGAATTCATTCCGGTCCGAATTCCACTCCTTACAAAATTCAACCTCACCATAGGAAGAGATGGTCTGCGCGCGACCGGGTTGCCACAGAGCGGAAAGATATTTGCCTTTCACTCTTACTAGGTCGGATTTGGCGAGGGCGGGACCAACAGCAGCTGGCATCGAGACTTCTGAAGTACTTGGTAGGTCAAGTATTTTTGCGCCTGTTGTACGTACTTATCGAGACAATAATCACCCCGTAATAAGAATTGGGGGCGACGCGGATTTGGGGCTTGAGACACCGGTCCTGCAGCACGGGCAACAACAGCACAGACACCGGCTGACATACTCTCTTCGGATGATCCCATTTGACTTGTTCTAGAACCTGCATGTTGTTAGTCATATCACACATTGTGACAGCTTTCAAGGAGTGTACGCTGTGGGACGTGCATTAACGAGGGGGCTGAGAAGGCCAGGGGTGGCTTAGCGCCCGGATCAAACAAAAAGCAATCTACATCGGAATCTCGCCCAATTCCGGACGCTCTCCTCTTTCTCTTACCAACATTCCACCGCCACAGCATGATCACCTGACCCATGTGCATCATGACCGAGCAGAGACGGACGGCCATTCCGGCGCCGTATGGGGGAGCATGCACCAATTGTGCCAAGGCGAAATGCAGGTGTACGTACCGGGCGGGTGAAGACACCCAGTGTGAGAGGCAGGTTCAACGCGGCGTTGTGGCCCCGTCTCTCTTTCTCTATCTCTAAGCTAGACATCAAGCGGCATAGATGCAGAATGCCGAGAGCACTTGCTAACTTGCTAGAAGGTGTTATCGGCTGGGGAAACAGTGCACTTTACAGGTATCGGCGCGCAGGTGGAACGACAGGCAGACCAACAGCTCGCGCATAGGTTAGTGGTACTCGTGCATGGGGCCAGAGGCCATGCGGCTATGGATTCGTTGGAACCGGACTGATGTCTAGTACTAACACTGTCGCAGCACACTTGGAGCAGAAGGTTGAGGATCTCCTTGGGCTGCTGAAGAGCCAGACAGCTGCTGGGCTGGCCCGACCATCTGCCGAGCCCGGTTACAGCCCTGGCCCTGGACGTGATGTTATCACGACCTTCTCCAGCGCTAGCTCCACAGCACACAGTCTTGGCAGTCTTGGAGAGGCGCCATCAGAAGAGGGTGGTGTGCAGGACCAAGATGACCTCGCTCAGAGCCTCCCGCCCAATGGATATCTCAACCGTCCTCCCTTCCTATCAGAGAAGGTGCCAGCATCTTTGCGTTTTGGTGCAGTCCCGGCAAAGGCTTCGCAAGGCCAGAGCAGAGCCGCAATTTTGACAGAACGCTTGACGCCGGACGAGGCTGAACAAAACCTTGTAGAGTTCCGGGCCCACTACGGTTCTGCCTGTCCGTTCGTCTACCTGCCCCCCGAGGTGACATCGCAGCAGCTTCTTGAGGAAAAGCCCTTCACGTGGCTCAACATCATGGCCGTGACGACCAAGTCACTTCGTCAACAGCAGCTGATGCATGGCGCGGTCAGGCAACAGCTCGCAGATGAGATGGTGTTGGCGAACGAGAAGAGCATAGATCTGCTCTACGGTCTCTTGATTTATATATCATGGTGAGCGTTCTCTGTAGTCTCGATCTCTCCGTGTTGCCGTCCACACGACTGAAAATACTCCCAAGGTCACACACACATCGAGGGACCAAACCACATCTCACCCTGATGGGCACCCTTGTCCAGTCGCTTGTCTACGACCTCGTGCTACATAAACCACTAGCCGAATCCTCGAATGTCACCTTCTTCACGAATTACGCCTGTGCCGAACCACCAGAAAAGGATCGTGCTGAGGCCAACCGAGCTATCCTCGGGGCATATCTGATCACATCCATGTGAGGATCTTGAAGCCGCACCATTCTGTTGGGGCCAAGAGCTGACTATTTGGATGCCAAGAGTGGCCACGAGCCACAAACGGCTTGAGCCTCTGAGATGGACCCGTGTGTGGTGTTTCCTGCGCGCAAATATGATAGAGAAGATACTGACAGCTGCATAGCGTTTCTTGACGAGTGCCTTGAGAGCCTCTCACAAGAGCCCGAGTGGGTTGGAGACCAGAGTCTGGTGCTTCTGGTGAAGTACCAGCTCGTCATTGACCAGATGTGTGGTGACAAGGCAGACCAGGCACCACAGCACCCGCAGTCCAGAGGAGCAGCACCTCCAACCTTTTATATTGATGCTTTGCGGGCACATGTCCAGAATATTGGGCGTCAGACTCCCGTAGAGCTCGAGTCCGAAGGTAACTCAATCCTAGCGATTTTTTGTAGGAACCACTCAATAATCATTCCCCCCTCTGCTTCTAACATGATACACGCGAGGAACAGAAAACGTCCTAAGCTCCTCCCTTTACGCCGAACTCGTCATAAACGAAAGTGCCATTCACCCGACTACTGATACTACCACGGCCACCCCCACGCAAAGCCCAGACCTACAGCGCCACGCTCTCCTCGCTTCTGAGCTCTCCATCGTCCGTCGCTGGCTCGACATGTTCTTCGCCATCACGCCATCCCGCTACTGGGCGCTTGGATTCTCCTTCTGGAGCCAGCTTGCGCACATGCTCATTGTGCTGTTTCGCCTCACCGTACGCGTCGACCCGGCATGGGATCCTGCAGCCGTACACGCGGCGCTGGATATCTCGGTCGTGTGTGACAGGCTGGCGGGAGGATTTGCCGAGGCATCGGCCGCTCGATGGCATGATGAGGGCGAGGACAACGAGGATGACGTCCCGATGGATTTCTTCGCCAAATGTCATCAGTGGATTCTTCGGCTGCGAGAGCGGTGGCTGGCCGAGATCGAGGCTGTGAATGTTCGGAAGGGTGGCGGAGAAAGCGTCAGGGCCAATGGGGAAGACTATGGCGCCACCTTGATCGACGCTGAAGAGGTGGACTTTGATGACGGCACGGCTGCGAGTTCCTTGGCGATGTCGCTCTTTGCTCAGCCTGGAGGCCCCTGGCTGACAGACGTGTTCACGTCGTCGTGGGACTAGCATGTTCAATCGCACTTTCTGTCCTCTTTACAGTGTACTGGAATGTCTTTTTGTTTCTTTTTACGATACCTATTGATTCATTTTATGTTCACTTTCGTGATGGGCACCACATTGAAACCCGGGAAGGCATCATATATATTGCGACTCCAAATCAATCAGATAGGGTGAGGCATGTCCAAGGGTGTTTGTTCCTCGTAGTAATGGAATGATATTGTAAGAAGAACTAAGGAGCCTACAAAAATTCCTGATAAACTTGACCAATGAATAGGTCTTCGTTATGTGACAAAACTGTTATGTGACACTACTATCCACATGCTTGTCTTTCCCAGCCCTATCGAGCAATGCATAGCTTCGTGATACAAGCATAAAGTAAGGGAGACGCAACTGCCGGGCTCAAGTCAAATAAAAATGAATCTTCGTCAGCAAGAATAGAAGCAAGCATGCTAATGGTCGTATGCACGATCTTAGTTCGACCGAGGGATAAAGTAATTGAAATTGATCACGCCTGATAGGAAAAAAAGTACAAGCGAAACATGTTGTTGAGAGGGTCTCAAGCTCTGTTACTCATGCATTTGGTGCTTCTGACTGATTATCTGTTTTTGATTGAGGTTCGTCGTCCCACGCAACTCAGTCGGTGGCGCAAAAAATTGGAGGAAAATGGATGGTCCAATCGGTGCTGCGGCTCATCCTCACCCTGGTCAGCCGGAAAATTCCTAATTCAGCACACGGCGAACAGGATTGTGATGGCGCACCTCGGCGGGCGTTCTCCCAATTCTGAGCTCCGGGCGCCGCAGGCCATGGCCGTGATCCGTAAGGACAAGATTGTGACATCCGGCCGACCGATTCCCGGTTGCCCTCGTTCCTACATGCACAATCAGTCAAGGATGGTTTCAGCGCGAGGCTGCCCAGGCCATACCCCGAAAAGGTGCACCATCCAAGTAGCTCTCTCGACCTGCTTTATTCTACCGTCCATATCCAGGGCCCTATCGTCCTGATTACGCAACTGACGTCGTCTCACTGTTGCAATCCAATACAATATCCAGCTAATTAGACCATCTCATGTAATATCTGAAGGCATCCTTAATCACCTGGCACAATCAACAGCCTCCTCGTCCCCTCTCTTGGTCTATTCCGCAGCAGCAGTCGTCCGCACCCCAACATGGCTGTGATGTCGCCAAAGACCAATGATACAACCGCAACCACCACCATCACCAATGGGCATACACCTGATAATGGTGGTGGAAAAGCAGCCACCGTACCCCTGGCCGTAGTCGGTATGGCATGCCGCTTCTCAGGAGGCATCGACAGCCCGGACAAGTTGTGGGAGTTCGTGTCTCAGGGACGCAGCGCGTGGTCCAATGTGGACGAGACCAGATTCAGACACGAGGCTTTCTATCATAAACGGAATGACGGTTATTCTAATGTAAGTGGAAAGAGAGGAGAAAGAGAAATAGAATACTTCAAAATTGCGAGTATCTATAGGAAATACGGCTAACTTTTGATTAATTGCAGTCTTTTATCAAGGGCGGCTATTTTCTCCAGGAGGATGTGGCGCTTTTTGATAATTCCTTCTTCAGCCTGACCGCCGATGCTGCCGCAGTAGGTTCTCTTGTGTCTCTTTCCATTTGGGATGCAAAGACTTATACCATGACAGGCTATGGACCCGCAGATTCGAATGCAGCTGGAGTTGACATTTGAGGCCATGGAGAGTGGTATGCGCTGTCCCAGCCCCCTAGAATGTGATGTATGAGTATCTCAAGAGTGTGCTCGTCCTGATGACACCACGTGTACGCAGCTGGAATTCCTATGGAGAAGCTTGTGGGGACCGACACAGCCGTCTTTTCGGGCACGTTCACGCATGACTACCACGATAACTTATTAGCAGACCCTCTCCGCTTGCCGCGCACCTTCATCACCAGCACGTATGCGGCCATGATGGCCAACCGCATATCTTACTTCTTCGACCTCAAGGGGCCGAGCGCGGCGGTCGACACGGGCTGCTCTACGTCGCTGGTGGCGCTCCACATGGCGGCGCAGAGCCTCCGCGCAGGCGAGACGAGCTGTGCCATCGTCGGCGGGTCTTGTCTTGATTTTAATCCCGAGATCTTCTCGAGCCTGTCCTCTTTGGGGTGCGACTCCCTTTTCGTATAAAGAAAACCCATCCTCTGGTCATCTTTTAGATCCTGTAAATGCTGACCTTCTCCCTCCTTCTTCCTTTCTTGTCCTCTCTAGAACATGTGGGCCAGATGGAAAATGCTATGCCTTTGACCACCGCGCACACGGGTATGGCCGCGGAGAGGGGTTGGCAACCATCATCGTGAAGCGGCTGGATGACGCGCTGGCGGATGGAGATCCGATCTGTGCTGTGATCCGGGAAGCAGGCCTCAACCAAGACGGAAAGACGGCTACGATCACCTCGCCCGACCAAGAAGCCCAGCGACGTCTCATTGAGGCCTGCTACCAAAGGGCGGGACTGGACCCGTCCGAGACGGCTGTGGTGGAAGCCCACGGCACAGGGACCAAGCAGGGCGACCGGGCAGAGGCGCGAGCCATCGGAGAGGCCATCAGCAGAACACGGCCAGCTGACAAGCCTGTTTATCTGGCCTCGGTCAAGACCAACCTGGGCCATACTGAGGCGACCTCGGGCCTGGCATCGCTGATCAAGATGGCCAAATCCCTGGAGCACGGCAAGGTTGCGCCCAGCATCAACTTCGAGAGGCCCAACCCCGAGATCGACCTCGAAGCCCTGCGGCTCAAGGTAAGACCTTCCCCTCGGAGCGCACACCCCACTAGGAAGCTGAACCTCAAGCCTGACTATTACAGATCCCCCAGACACTCGAGGACTGGCCCCTGCCAGGCATTCGGCGTGCGTCCATTAATAACTTTGGCTATGGCGGGACGAACGCACATGTGATTCTGGAAGAGGCCACACACCACGTCGACAGAGCCAAGCACTACTCTGCCACTCATGACCAGCAGGGGCAGCAGGGACGGCGTCTATTTGTTCTCAGCGCGCGGGACGAGGCGGCGACCAAGAGAATGGCCACCAACCTCTGCGAGTATCTCACCAAAACCACAAACAACAAGAACGACGTCTCATGGTTCAACGACCTGGCCTACACACTTGGTCAGCGGCGGTCGAGATTCGGCTGGACCCTGACAGCCACAGCTGAGTCGAAGCAGGAGCTGGTCCAGGCACTATCAGACACGTCCCCTGGGCCGCTGCAGGCGTCCAACTCGGCCCCGAGGCTCGGATTTGTGTTTAACGGCCAGGGCGCGCAGTGGTTTGGCATGGGGAGGGAGCTTATGGACTCGTACCCAACATTTCTTAGGACACTTGAGGAGTGCGATGCCATCATCCAGGGCTTTGGTGCGACCTGGTCTCTCGTGGGTAAGAAGAGAGCCCCGATGCTTATCTGTCTATCTCTATCTTGTCTCTGGTTTTTTTCTTTCTTTTTCTTTTGTCTGCTTCTTTCTATCCTTTTCTCTTCACGTCATTTACGTACAAACTAACTTATGGCTTTTAGAGGAGCTGCGGCGCGACCAGGAGACATCGCGCGTGGACGAGGTGCAGTTCAGCATGCCCTTGTCGTGTGCGGTGCAATTGGCGCTGGTCTGTCTTTTGGAAGAGTGGAACATCAGACCGTCGGCCGTGTGCAGCCACTCGAGCGGAGAAGTGGCAGCAGCATTCGCGGCTGGGGCACTCGATCTCGGCGAGGCCATGGCCTGCACATACTTTCGTGGCTTGATCAACTCGCAGCACCTCGACCGAGACAGGAACACGAACAACAACAAAACTTCGACCTCGACCTCGACTACCACTGCAGGCGCCATGATGGCTGTGGGCCTGGGAGAGGCAGATGTCGCAGCCCATCTCGGCGCTGTCAGGTCTGGGCGGGTGGTGGTGGCGTGCGTCAACAGCCCGTCCAGTGTCACAGTGTCGGGAGACGCGCCAGCGGTCGAGGAGCTGGCGCAGGCGCTCACGGCCGAGGGAATATTTGCCAGGAGGCTCAAGGTCCAGGCGGCCTTCCACTCGCACCACATGCTCGCCCTCGAGGATGCCTATCGCGCAGCCCTGCGCAGCCATATGAGGGGCACAGGCAAAAAGAGGACATTCCGGGACGGCGTGGTCTTTACGTCTCCAGTCCACGGCGGCGTAGTCAACGATGCAAACGAGCTAGGGCCCGAGCACTGGGTCCGCAACATGGTTCAGCCCGTGCTATTTGCCCAGAGCCTCCAGCGCATGGTGCTAAGCGACAAGGCTGAGACCAAGGCTGGGACTGAGGCCGAAGGTCCATCTGCGGCAGCAAAACAACCACAACAAAACATCGACATGCTGGTTGAGGTAGGACCACACGGTGCGCTTGCAGGCCCAATCCGGCAGTGCCTTGGTGTTCCGTCGTTGCGGGCGCTCGGCGTCGGGTATGGATCCTGCCTGACGAGAGGACAGGACGCCGTGGCCACACTGCAGAGGCTGGCTGGATCACTCCTGGCTGCAGGCGTCGCTGTCGACATGGCCAAGGTCAACTTCCCCCATGGCGGTCTGGACCGGCTCCGGGCCCTCTCAGGACTGCCCTCGTATCCCTGGACCCATTCGGTCCGTTTTTGGAACGAATCTCGCACCAGCCGCGACCACCGGTTCCGGAGACACGCTGTGCACGATCTACTGGGCATCCGAGTGCCTGGTACCAGCAATCTGTCGCCAGTATGGAGGCACATCCTGCGGGCAAGCGAGGTCCCTTGGGTGTACGACCACGTGGTCCAGTCCAACATCGTGTACCCCGGCTCTGGCTATATTGCCATGGCTATTGAGGCCATGAGGCAGCTACATGAGGAGGAAGAGACAGGAGCTGTCGTCTCGGGCTATCGGCTCCGTGATGTGGATATTCTCAGAGCGCTGATCATCCCTGAGGACGACGAGGGTGTCGAGGTTCAGCTGTTCCTCGAGCCTGGCGACGATAGATTGCTGGCCGAGGGCTGGCGGCAGTTCCATATCTACTCTGCCCCTTCGCTGGGTGACGGCTGGGTCGAAATCGCGAAAGGCCTCATTGCTGTCGACTCTTCCAGCCCCGACCCAACCCAGCGCTACGTGTTCCCTTCAACAGCAACCCTAGGACTTGAGAATGACGGTGCTGACGCCGACAACAACGGCGACATGCGCGGGTATCCCAAGAAGATGAGCCCCAAGGATCTCTTCACATCGCTTCATGCCGTGGGCGTCAACCATGGGCCCATTTTCCAGAACCTCACAAGGATCCGCATGGCCGACGACAGAGCCGTGACCGCCTTCCAGGTCGCAGACTCGGCAGCCACCATGCCACACAACTTCCAGCAGCCCCATGTTGTCCACCCTATCACGCTGGACGCCGTCTTCCAGGCCGCATACCCGACGCTCTCGCCACAGAAGCGAAAACTCGTGGGCACAGCCATCCCACGGCACATCAAGGGCCTCTACATCTCGGCGTCCATCAGCAGCCGGCCAGGCCACCGCCTCCTGGAGCATGCCTCACTCTCGAGCTGTAACCGGCAGGGCTTTGACGTATCTGCAGCTGTACTATCGGCCGAGGACGGCGCCAGAACCAGGTTCCCCCTCATCGAGGTGGACAAGATGCACTTCCAGAGCCTTGGGTCTCCCACCGACGAAGACGAGGGCCGCGCGCAAGAGAAGCTGTGCCTCGTCACGGAGTGGAGGGACAGTTTCAGCCTGAACGATCAGAGGCCTCTGGAGGAAGCCCTAAAGTACCATACCGCACCTGAGGATGAAAAGACTACGGCACAGGACATCCTTCGGGCCACATACCACCTTGTGCACGACGCTCTCGCACAGCTCACGGATGAGGACGTGCGCGGGCTGGCATGGCACCACAGGGCGCTGCACGACTGGATGCTTCGCCTCGAGGAGCAGGCAGCACAGAACGAGCTCGCCCCTCGCAGCGCCCGCTGGGCAGCAGCGTCGGCTGGGAGCAGGCAGATGCTCTATGACAAGGTCGCAGGGGCGAGCGTCCACGGGGCACTGGTGGTGCGCGTGGGTGCGAACCTGCTGGGCATCCTGCGCGGCTCTGTGGCGCCCCTCGAGCTCATGCTGCAGGATCAGCTGCTGACCCGGTTCTACCAGGGCGCACTGCGCTTCGGACGCTCCACGACGCAGGCTGCCAGAATAGCCCAGGCACTGGCAGCCGAGACACCCCGTGCACGATACCTGGAGATTGGAGGCGGAACGGGCGGAGCCACGATGCCCATCCTGCAGGCTCTAGGCGGCGGTGACACAGGCCAGTCTGCTCAGTTTGCCCATTACGACTTTACTGATGTCTCTGTGGGATTCTTCCAGGCGGCACGCGAGAGGTTCCAGCCCTGGGCCGACATGATGAGCTACAGGGCGCTGGATATTGAGGATGAGGACATCGAGGGCCAGGGCTTCGAGGCTGCATCGTACGACGTGGTGGTGGCGGCGCAGGTGCTCCACGCGACCAAGAACATCACCGACACCATGCGCAGGGTCAGGAGGCTGCTCCGTGACGGGGCCAGGCTGGTGCTCATCGAGACCACGCGCGACACGCCCGACCTCACGCTCATCTTTGGCACTGTGGCCGGCTGGTGGCTCAGCGAAGAGCCGGAGCGCAAACACAACCCCAACATGTCCCTCGAGGCCTGGGACCGCGTGCTGCGGGCGACAGGCTTCAGCGGCCTGGACCTGAGCGCCTGGGACTGCGAGGACCCGACCCATCAGTCCTTGAGCTGCATCGTGTCGACGGCAGTGGCTCCTAGAGAGCCAGACTTTACAGGAGAGCAGGTGGTCCTGGCCTACGACAGCCAACAGTCCCAGCCACCACCGCCTGCTGAATGGTGCCGTGATCTTGTCGCGCACCTTGCACGCCAGACAGGCGTCCAAGCTGAGGTCTCGGACCTGGCACAGGCCGATGTGGCGGGCAAGCTGTGCATCTTCGTGTCTGGCCTGGACGGCACTCCACAACACTTCTCCGAGGCTGCGTTTGGTCGCCTCAGGTCCATGATAACGTCGGTCAAGGGCCTCGTTTGGGTTACCACGGGTGCCACCATGGACTGCGCAGTGCCTGAGAATGCTATACACCTCGGCCTGGTCCGCACAGCCCGCATCGAGGACAGCAGCAAGATCCTGGCGACTCTGGACCTGGATTTGGAACCTTGGCAGGGCGGTGGTGGCTGGCGTGCAGGTGCACACGACATAATCACGCGCGTCTTCAAGGCCGTCATGGACAGGAACAGAGAGGCTGGCACGGTAGACTTTGAGTTTGCCGAGAGGGCTGGCCGCCTCCTGGTGCCGCGCCTCCATCGTGATCCAGCCGAGCACGAGGCCTTTACCGGTGGTGAGGGCAGGGCGCCCGAGCTGCACAAGTTCGACCAGCCCGAGCGCGTCCTGCGCATGCATGTTGATGTTCCAGGCCTGCTCGACAGCATCGTATTCCGCGATGATCCCGATGCGAGGCGCCCTCTTCCGGCGGACTGGGTCGAGGTCGCGCCCAGGGTGTTTGGGCTCAACTTTCGCGACATTATGGTGGCCATGGGCCGGCTGGACGAGCCTGTGCAGGAGCTGGGCAACGAGTGCGGCGGCGTCGTCACCCGTGTCGGCGCCCTGGCGGCCCAGCAGAGTGGACTGCGTGTTGGCGACCGTGTGTGCGCCCTGACCTTCCACGGCCACTTTTCTGGCCGGGTGCGCGTGCCATGGACTTCTGTGGCGCGCATTCCCGATCACATATCGTTTGAGGAGGCGGCCTCTATAGGCAACACGTATGTCACGGCACACTGTGCCCTCGTCGAGGCCGCGCGTGCTGAGGCTGGCGAGACGGTGCTGGTGCATGCTGCCGCGGGCGGTGTCGGCCAGGCTTGCATTGCCCTGGCCCAGAGCAGGGGCGTCGAGGTCTTTGCTACTGTCGGCACTCTCGAGAAGCGCCAGTTTCTGGTCACTACCTATGGCATCCCTGACGACCACATCTTCTCGAGCCGTGATGCCTCGTTCGCCCCACGCCTCCTTGCTGCCACGGGCGGCCGTGGTGTGGACATTATTGTGAACTCGCTCGCCGGGAGCCTCCTCGATGAGAGCTGGCACCTGCTCGCCCCCTACGGCCGCTTTGTCGAGATTGGGAAGCAGGACATCCATCGCAACAAGTCGCTTGACATGGAGCCCTTCCGCAAAGCCCTGTCCTTTGTGCATGTCGACGTGATTCACCTGGTCGACTACAAGCCCAGAGCTACTCAGCGCATCCTGCAGGACGTGATTCGCATGGTAGGCGACGGCACCATCCAGAACAGGACTCCAATCACATCTTTTTCGCTGTCCGACATTGCACGTGCATTCCGAGTAATGCAGGCCGGGAAGCACATTGGCAAGATTGTGATTGTGCCCGGGCCTGAGGATCGCGTTAAGGTATGTTCAGTTTTCTTTTTCCCCTTTCTCTAAACAACAACAGCAACAACAAAATCTTTACCTCAAATTCGCATTCAGTCCTGTCTAACCCATCTTCAGACCGCGCCCCCACTGCTCGTCACCGAACTCGCCTCCGATGCCACATTCCTCGTGGTGGGTGGCCTCAGCGGAATTGGCCAATCCATCTCGCGCTGGCTTATCGACCATGGAGCCAAGAGCCTCCTTCTGGTGTCACGGAACGCACTGTCGAGGCCCGGGAGTGTCCAGTTCGGCCTGGAGCTTGCAGCTGCAGGTGGCGGTGCAGAGGTCACCATTCGAGATTGTGATATTAGCGACAAAGCCATGCTGGCCGCTCTGCTCGAGGAACACCGGTCTTCTGGCAGGCCGCCTATTCGTGGTGTCATTCACAGTGGCATGGTCTTGGACGTAAGTAATCGATCCCTCTGTATCCTGCATAAGAAGCCCCAAACTTGAGTTCTGTCATGTTGTTACTGACACGAGAAAACCTGGGTCAACAGGACTCGGTGCTCGAGCGTATGACCTACGCCCAGTGGTGCAGCGCGACCAAGCCCAAGATCGAGGGTACACGGAACCTGGACGAGGCTTTTGGGGACGCACTGGACTTTTTCATTGTCCTGTCGTCGGCCAATGGCGTGCTGGGCTGCACCTCGCAAGCCAACTATGCCGCCGGCGGCACGTATCAGGATGCTCTAGTGCGACGGCGGGCAGCACTTGGGCGTGCAGGCGTTGTGCTCGATCTGGGGCTCGTCAACTCGGTAGGCTTCGTCGCTGAGACAGCCGGCGTCAAGGACCGCCTCGTCCGTAGTGGCGGACACCGCCCGCTCGAGGAGGCCGAGGTGCTGGCCCTGGTGGCCTACGCCATCCGCAACCCTCGCCGGACTCCGAGAACCGCCCAGATCGCCGCCGGTATCACGGGTGCCGCCCTCGCCGACGGAGAGCCACGGTTCGCCGCCCTGTCGAGCCCGTCTTTGTCGGCCGACGGCACTGGGTCGGCAGGACACGAAGCCGTCACGGCTCTAGCCTTGCACGAGCAGATAGCGCAAGCCTCGTCTGCCGCCGAGGCTGTGATTGCCGTGCAGCAGGCCGTGGTGGCCAAACTAGCAGACATGTTTGTCATGCCCGAGGCCGACATCGATCCTGCCCAGCCCTTGTCCCGGTACGGCGTCGACTCGCTGGTCGCTGTCGAGCTGCGCAACTGGCTGGTGCCGCGCGCTCGCATAGAAATGAGCATCTTTGATCTTCTGGGAAGCTCCTCGTTGACTGGTCTGGCTGGCAAGGTCGTGCAGAGGAGCAGTGCTGCGCCGCATGCCGAGATTTCTACATCATGACCATCGCTGTGGCCTTCTCCAGTTGCATGTGGCATGTCAGCTGGTCCGCTTGATGTATGTACAGGTTTTGTCAGCAGAGTGACTGGAAATAAACACCTATTGTCCCCCAATTCGTAGCAATACATTTCATTTTATCTCTACATTTAACAGTACCAAGAAAATTGCACGATATGACATGGTGTCTTTTCTTTCTTTTTCTTGTCTTCCCCATATAGCATTTCAATTACAGCTAAATATGTTGTATGCTATTATATCCGAAGTGTGGTGGTCTATATTGTAGGCGCAGTTCCAAAATCAAAACGCAAAACTCTTTACGTGAAGCATAAACAGTTACTTATCTTCTGTGAGGGATAAGTTGATCAAAGTTGACATGCCTGGGTTGGAGGGCCAAGGTCGACGTGTATCGGTACCAATCTTGTTTCACTCGTGATTCTGGCGTTCATCTCTACAGTAAGAGCACCTTATCAGATTGTGTGATGGTAAGCCTCCGGTGATTACCAGATGCGTAGTTCCACCGGGGTTGTAGTGAATCTATTCCGCGCATAAATTTAGTTATGTGGTCAGTTCATTTACCATTTAATGCATATTTCTTGAATATATTATGCCTGTATTCAATTACTGGTGCCGTACACCAGACTTCCTCTGCAGCCGTCATATTTCTTTCCACAAGCGCCGCTGCTGTCATCAGGACCCGCTTCTTTTTGCTCAATACTTTACTGAAATCCCAAATTTGAGTCGGCCAAGCCCTTCCTGTCCTTCAGAAACTTTCCTGTGTGCGTTGCAAAGATCTTGCAGATAGCCTTGACCCCAAAGTTAGGAGGTGTAATGATGCCTCAGACGCTCCTCCAGAGAGTCTTCAATATGGAGGTGGATCAGTTGCTACTCCAGCACCGATGGTCAACTGCGGTAGTCTTGCTGCTTCTTGTCCCTGTCTTCACCTTCATCACCACCTCACTCATCTCATGGGCGGGCTTCCACAGCAGGCGCGAAGGCCGTGAGCCTCCCTTGAAGCCATACTGGATACCACTGCTCGGGGATTGGTATGGGTTTATCCTCCACCCAAAGAACCTCCTGGAGAGCGTCTGGTGCGTACCATCTATACCTGCCATGACTGACCACCACCAAGCTTGTCTGCTTCGTTTCACTGCCATGACTGACCAAGTCCGGGGTCGCTCACTTTAGCCGTCGCTATGGAAATTATACGTCTGTCACGGTTCGCCTGGGCCCGGCCAAGGCGTACATCATGCTCCAGCCCCAGACTTTTGCACCTCTGTTGAGAGATTACAAGAAGTGTACCAACAAGATGTTCTCGGTCTTGACCATGCAACAGCTGTGTGGTACACCAAGACACGGACTCGGTTCGTATCCCTGCCTTTGTTCTATCGAGACGATGACTGACCAGAGAGCTAGGCATCTACAAGAATGATAACAGCAGCATTGGCGTCAACCCTCTCCCGGGCACGAATGTTCCTCCCCACCTGCGCATATGGCGACACCAGCACGAGAGCAATCATCGCTTCCTACAGGGTGCCAATCTCAAGGAGTTCCATGAGCGCATTGTTCAGAATCTGTCCGCCGAGCTGGCGAGCGTGAACCCTTCGGACCCCATCGACTCAGGCGAGTGGGCCACGCACTCGGATTTCTACACCTGGTGGACGCACAAACTGATGACGGCATCCATCACGGCCATGTGCGGCCCGCATATGCTGCGCCTGAACCCGGAGTTCATCGCCGACTTCTGGGTCTACATGGATGCGTGGCCGACCCTTTCCAAGTTCTATCCACGGTGGCTAGCCCCAGCAGCGTATACGGCGCGAGATCGTGTGGTGAAGGCCATCATGGTCTGGCATGCATATGCACGCCAACACTCGGATTGCAGAGTGAATGGGCCAACAGACCCCTCCTGGGATGAGTACTGGGGAAGCACGTGGCTGAAGGTACGCCAGCAGTGGGGCCAAGACTCTGGGAAGATGGACCACGAGGTCTTGGCCTGTGAGGATCTTGCCTTGATAGTCGCGTGAGTGGTTTCTTCTCTCTTCCTCTTCACTTTTTCTTCTTCTTGCGCTTCTCCGTTCTCTCTCATCCACGGTCCTGTATCTGAACTTAGACCTACCGGTCTGCCCAGTGCGCACGCCAACGTCATGCCCTCCTGCTTCTGGAACCTGGTAGAGATCTACAGTGACCCAGACCTACTTGCACGACTTCAGCCCGTGCTGGACGCGTGCATAGACAGATCCCAAAGCGACAATCGAGTTCCAAGTCTGCCGCTCCGTTTTGATACCAATCCAGCTCTCTCGTCACCGCTTGCCCAGTCCGTCTACGCCGAGGTACAGCGCATGCGCGTCAGCATGTTTCACAACCGTTCCCCATCGTTGGTTGACTACAGGCTGGGCCCTTTTACTCTGCGCAAGGGTGCGCTCGTTATGGTGCCGACTGCGGTGGCCTCCAACTGCACCGAGCTATGGGGCAAGACACGGACGTCACGGCCGCTTGACGTGTTCTGGGCGGACCGGTTCCTTGTGATGGAGAAGAAACAGGAGAGCGCCGGAGAAGAGACATCAGATAGTCCTCTGGTCCAAAATGCCCTGAAGCCCGAGGAGGAGCCAGTGAGGTTCTCGACTGAAGGTCTTGACGGGGCCGCCTGGATTCCCTATGGAGGCGGTGCATTTACTTGTCCTGGAAGGCACCTCGCCAAGCTAGAGATTATCAGCAGTGCTGCACTGTTTGCAGCATATTTCGATCTGGAGCTCGTCAACGGCGTTCCACCCATGGACGATCGCTTCTTTGGGCTGGGGACGCAGCCCCCTAGAGGCAAGGTTCCTGTGCGGATTCGACGTAAACTCGGTGCTCTCAAGCCTGCGGTGGTATGACATGTTAATAAATAAGGAAATAAGACGCTGCAGATCGGGAATCGGAAACGTTGGCGCTTATAGATGAACATCTATGGTTTCACCTTTCTTCATTTCAAGATACAATGTCAATCTTCCTAAGGTGATGGACAAATGTTGTTGTACTGAAATGGTATTGGGCTCATTCTTTCATACTTTCTCTTTACCAGAGAAGAACAAGGAGAAAACCATAATTGATCAAGGAACGAAAAATCTATGAGTCCAACTTTTGATGCAGCTATATAGGGCCTCAACTGGGAATAGTCACTCCTTTAAGCTGTTGCATAGCATATGCTCCCTCTCGCTTGTTCCCTGATACATAGGCCACTGTAAAGCGAATTCCTACTTTAGGAAGGGATAGACCAGTCTGACTTATCGATAACTTTATCCCAACCACCATTTACCCATATTATGATGAGAGCAAGTGTTTGACAGTAGCTGTGTAAATGAAGAAAAGTCTGTTATTAGGACCAACTTTATATTTATTTAGTTCAGCTCCTCTATAAGAAGAAGCCTCTCGGACAGTGTCGGTCGCCTTGTTTTCGAGCTGTTAAGGAGATGGGGGACATCCTTGCCGTATAAGGAGAACGGACCACAGTATAATTCAAAGAAGGTTGCTAAGCATGATGTGGATATTATGTGGGCGATCGTCTTAAGTCAGCTGAGAGAGAGAGAGAGAGAGAGCCTGAGAGGGAAAAGGTGTGTTGCACTATAGCAAGGTACATATAGATGGCCTCACCAAAGGAACTGAAGGATCCAGCGGAAGGATTCTCTAGTTTGACTTTAAAGATTGATTATCTTTAGAGTGGACGGGGTTTGGGGGGGTGGGGGGGGGGGTCCAATCTGACTATCTATGAAGCTGTATAGGTTATAGCCATTTCTAGTTACTTGTGGATGATCATTTCTTTTAGGTGGCGTATGTATTCACTTTCTTGTACTGCTCGTTAGCTCTGGAGACTCACTTGAGAGTTGAACTGCATTTTGAATCCGCAATCCTTGGCTGAATGGGTTGCTAAGTGAACACGCAGTTCGAGAAGCTAATTATAGCATCATGAGGGAGAAGTTAATCTGTCCTATCACCTAGCGCTACATTATATTCCCTTAAATGATGGAAACCACCATAACAAGCCCATATAACCGACTAACAATTTCAGACAAACTTCGTCCTGACATGAATATGAAAAGAAACACGAGTAAATATTGAAGCACTCAGCGCCGGTAAGGTGGACCAGACTGTTAACGCTGCCTAGTCCCACTTCTTCAGCTCAGCATCAGTCCACTCCCAGAGCTTTTTGGATATATTCTTGTCGGTGCTGTGCTTGGAAGACATCTTGGACAAGAGGCCGACTGGCTCGTACAAGACACCAGGGACGATCTTGTCCCTGGGCGCGGCGACACACCACAGCTGGCTGTAGGCCCCCTCTTCGGTCTTGATATACCCTCCCTGGGTCAGCTGTGCCGAGAGCCAGCTAAACCCAACCTTGAACGCGGAGTGGTTGCGTACCAGGCCGGTTGCCACCATACCAGGCGTCACACTCACGCTCAGAATGGCCGGGTACCGCTCAGCCAGCTCTCGGGCGAGAAGCAGGTCAGCCAGCTTGCTCTGGCCGTAGCGCATGATGCCACCCATGAGGAGGAAGTTGTTCTGAACCGTCTTGAGCTTGTCAAAGGCGATGGGCCCGGCACGAAAGGCCGCGCTGGTCAACACGATGATCCTTACATCGGCGCTCGGCTGTGTGGTGGCGGTGCGCTCCAGCAACGGCAGCAGCCGGCGCACGAGCAGCGCGTGGCTCATGTAGTTGACGCCAAACTGCAGCTCATAGCCGTCCTTGGTCAGCCCCCGGCGCGACGTCCATGATTCCTGCGTTAGCCATGAGCACATCCAGTCGCGACTGCTCGGCGAGCACCGTGTCCGCTGCCGACCGCACCGAGGCCAGGCTGGTGAAGTCACACTCGAGGAAACGCAGCTTTGTGTGACTGCCCGATGCGGTAACTTCCTTGATGACCTTGTCGGCTGCTTCGGCGCTGCGGCCGGTAAAATAGATGTGCGAGGGATTGTGCCGCGCGAGGTGAGTAACGGATTGTTGTCCGAGGCCGGCCGTTCCTGTACGTGAGTGTATAAGCATGCTGGTAACTCGCGGAAACAAAATGTGCCGCACTCTCCCAAAACAGATAAATCCCGTCCCGGAAGGGCACAGCGTATGGAAAAGCACGTGCCGGCAGCCTTGTTCCGTGTTTGGTGTGGGGACTAAGCAAGGGCATCCTGCGTGGAAGCGTGCTCGCAAGGGGAAAGAAAGGGTGGGGGGGAGGAGGGTACGAAGGCTCGCTCCTTGAGGAACATGCAATAGTGGGCTTTCGACACGAGAGAGACGCGTCAAGGACCAGAACTTACCCCCAGTGACCAAGATAACCTTTCCGCTGAGGTCAGGGATATCTCTTGCAGGATCGAACTTGGAGGACATGCTGGGTAGCTGCAGCAACGATTTCGTGCTATTCCAAGTTGTGGACGTTGTGGTATATGGTAAAGCGAGCTCCAAAATGCGGTACTGAGGTAATAGTGGTGATCACTAAGTCCCCTGTAAGCGATAAGGAAGGATGAAGACTCATGCAGGCTCGCGGCGGGCTATAATACTTCTTAAAAAGTAGGTCTCTCATTGTTGGCCGGACCAATGTCTCGCGGGAGCGGGATTCGGGTCGGGCAAAAAGTTTGGCTCATTATCTGCTGCCAGCTCCTTTGAAATGCAAGCATGACACCGGTCCTATCGCGTACGCTCTTCCTCCTACTCCTCCTTAGTTCAGTAACTCCTCTTGGTTTAGTAACGATTCCCGGATTTCACATGTTGCATAGCGTTTACTGCCTGATCGCACAATTCTTCTGGACTGTGTTATAGCTGTGATTTCACGAGGCCGGACACTGCCTTATCGTTGGATCACTGTAAAACTAATTATCTGAAATCCTACCACTACAGTTTCCCACTGCTGTTAGTCCACATACAAGCACTTCCCCACTGAAATTTATATTACAAAGGATCACAGCATCGGGCCAGTTACGTAGTGTTTGGTAATGCTGCTTCACAGTAGTCTTCGCGTATTTTAAGCAGCCCAAATCGTTCATGATCATCAAGTGCTCACTTCCTGAAGCTTCCCTAGCTTCCAGTCTATATTCCAGCTGTCTACCAAACCCCGGCAACATGATCAGTCCTCGAAAGAATGGGGGCCCCATGTTTGTATACCAGACAATCGATCCGGCCACCGCAAGGTTGGTGGTACACCAGGCCTGCACCAGCTGCCGAGCCAAAAAGGTGAGTTAACAAACATTCCCTGGCAATCAAGTCTTCATGTGGCTTCAGTCCCTAACTGAATTTTTCTGCAACTAGGTCCGGTGCACACGCGAGAAAACCGGATGTCGTCGATGTCGAACCCTCTCGCGGCCCTGCGTATACGACCCGCCAGGGCCCAAGGCCTCAGGACATAAGAGAAAGCAGGGAAGCCAAGACTCGGGAACGGCTTCGAGCAAGACCAAAGATAAAGCCCAGACGGGCGCTCCTGCACAAGATCTACCTCCTTCCAACAGCGAGGGCACCAATATTATCGCCACAGAGCCGTCCTTTCCAGACGTTCTGAGGACCGAGGGAGAACTTAGGAGCTGTTTCCATGACTTGGGAGACCAGATACCCATGTCGTCATCAATGAGTCTTGCCCTGAAGTCAGCAGCCCCCCTTCATGAACCTGGGGGCAAGGCAGCGTCTGGCTCCTCTGGGTTGCAGCAGTGGTCATTGCCCTCTCCCGAGTTCATAGACGCCGTCCCAGGTTCAGCTATAGACATGTGCTTTTGGCCCGGAAGTGATGACGTCTCCTTCTTCATGAATACATCAGAGCCTACACTGCTAAGCCCAGCCCTGTCCTCCACGCCTACGTCATTGTTCAGATTCAATAACGACGTGCTGGGCCGAGGGCCTGTGTCTGGTGCTGGTGATGACAACGGATCGGCCCCGCCGCTGGGAGGCCAGGAGGGTGGGCATCATAAGGAAGACAAGCTCCAGGCGTTATTCGAACAGCCAGACCAATCTGAGCCTCACCTCTTGTCAGAAACGGACCTTCTCTTCCTGGGATCTGACCATAGCGGGGCTTCCAAGGACGCCGCCTCAGCACCAGTCTCTGCCACCGGAACGCCTTCACCTCGGGCGTGCCAGTGTCTTCAGAACGTTGTACTCCTGATCGAAGAGCTCGAGTCAGAGGGAAACACCGTATCGACCCGCACCATAGACACATGGCTGGCATCGCTGAAGGAGTCGCTCCGCTGCGTGGAGGCGATGCTGCGGTGCGCCTCGTGCGGGGACAGACCTGAGAACATGACCATCTTGACCTTCCTGACCGACAGGATTATGTCGTCGTGTGAGCGCCACATTGATGCATACTTGGATAGTGCTGGGCCGGGCTCCCGATCCACCGGGGGGATACAGAACCGGCGGTCATCGCACCACTCCTCAGCCGTTTATTTTGGCGAGTACATGGTGGAATCGCCGTATGAAACCGAGATCATAGTCAGGAACCTCATCGTGTGGCAGTTGCGGACTTTCAACGCCAGAATCAACGATATGAAGGATGTATCGGCTACGGTCAACATGGACTCACTCTTTCGCAAAGTCACGTCGACAAAAAGGCGCATCGCGACATTGGTGAGCAGGCTGAAATCGGAGTAGGCTCGGTGTGTGCAAGATAAATCTTCATAACAAGCAGATGTGGACTTTTTGGCTTGGAGCAACTGCACCGTGCGCGCGTCGTAAGTAAATCATGTTGTGCTAAGATGGGCTCTCTTTTATGTGAAACGATATAAACGTATTGAACTAGACCACCCAGCACTAAGGTGAGAATAGAAGATAGATACATCTCAGGATTAGAATGTGTACTTGTCGCGATCAGAGATCTATTGTACCTCTATCATTAAGCTGGAGGTGCCCTCTGTATTGTAGACGTATGGAATCATAGGTTGTCTTATCGATTTCGTGCAAATGCCCGACCGAGTCAGACCAAACAGATGCTCGCAGCTCATGCTCCTCATACAAATATCTAATTCACCGTGTTATAATTTCTCTCCTCGAACAGCACGTGAACTGGGGCTTTCCACCACATCACATAGCACCGCGAGGTTGCCTCCCAGTCAAGGTCAGGATTGACCAGCCTTAATTTATACCGGAAGAACATCTTGGCCAGACAGGATGTCATCTCCAGGTACGCGAAGCTACATAGGAGAACCAAATTAGTCAGATACTCAAGTCGAGACACAGCCCAGGAAACGGAATATGAGAACTCACTTTCGGCCAATACAAGCCCGATAACCCAAAGAGAAAGGCTGACTGGCTTCCTTGGTATCTGAACAATCAGCGTCGAGCCACCGCTCCGGCAGAAACGACATAGGATGGTGAAAGTAGCTGGGGTCATGTGTGACGGTCCACGCGCTGGTGTAGACCTCAGTCTCCATTTTATCTCTTTGTCAGCAGTTACTCAATTTAGGTGTTTTGTTTGTTTTCATCATAGTCGTGACTTTATCGCATGGGAAAAGACCCAGAACTCACTCCTTTCGGAACCCAGACTTGATCAATTTCACACCCCGGAGAGACACGCGGGAAGCCCTGCGACCCAGGCGGGTGAATACGAAGCGCCTCGCTGATGACAGCTTGCAGGTACGGTAGCTGCATAGCCGAGGTGGCATTAATCTCTTCGTATGATTTGTACTGTGTCAAAATCTCCTTTTCTAGCTTCTCCAGCGCAGCGGGTGTCTTGAGGAGGTAGTAGACAGCGGCCGCCAGACACGTTCCAGTCGTCTCGCCGCCCGCAATTCTATATGTACCCGTAAGTAACGTTTAGCTTATACCATCACCAATAATCTTCTTGTGACGGGTATTTCGTCGTATCTGCGATGTGAAAGTACAGAAAACTCGAGACAAAAAGTAGATACAGCCTTACATCAGAGTCGAAGCGTGAGCCGTCATTTCCTCTTGCGAGACCTCACCGCTCCGGACCTTGTTCACAATATGTGTGAGGAAGTCTTGTCGCGGCTCCAGTGCGTCCAAACGCTTGTTCACCTTGGCACGGCTGTACATGGCATGCTCCTCTCTCACGGCGATGGTGAGAGAAGGCAATAACCATCGACCGATAGCGGCGAGAATCTTGATGCGTCGGAGGTTATCGACAAGTGTCACCTCAAAAAGGTGTTTCAAGATAAGTTCCATCCACTGGTGGTGCTTTTCTAGAGAGAGCCGTAAGAAATCAGCCGCTTACGCCAAGTTTTTAGATAGGGTAGACTTGACATGACGAAGTTGAGCTCGTGAAATAGATTATACCAACCATTCTCAACGCAACCAAACCCCTCCCCAAATCCCATCTCTCCTAGAATATCAAAGGCTGCCATCTCTAACCACACGGCAACATCAATACCCTTGCCTCGGCTATCTTTGCTCAATGGGCCCAGCTTGTTGATGAAGCGGTCAAGACAAGCCTGGACGATGGGTTCCTGAGCTGCTAATGCTTTGGCTGAAAAGGCGGCAGTCAAGTTCTTCTTCTTGAGAGCATGCGTGGCTGGATCGCGTTCGGATCCAATACAACCTGTTTTATAGGCACCACCGAAGACATCGTAGAACTCGCCCTTGATCAGGTGCGCCGAGCCGGGCGGCGGGAAACCATAGATAGCCTTCCATGACGCGGCCGAGGCAAAAGAGAGTTCGTTGGGCGACACGCGAAAGACAGGGCCTTGATGATATTCATATCAGAATGGTTTTTCTCATTGTGTTCCCTCTTCAGACCCTTGTACTTCCTTCTATCAGCTTGGAAGGTACATACCATATTTCCTATGCATATCTTGAATCACGCGGTGGGAGCGCCCGCGCATTGTATGCCAGAATCGCCACAACTATAGATTTTCGTTCATTAGACCAAGCCTGAAGTGAATTATACCAAGTATAGAAATCCACTACCAGAGATGCCCGCGCCCAAAAAGGACCAGGGAATTTTGCCAGCGGGTGAAAACACAGATTGTACGTGACATGACAAAGCACCACAGCAGCAAGAACAGTGCCTAGGGCTTGCTGCCAGGTCCCAAGCTGATTTGTGGATTCCAGTCCAGGAAGAACCCAGTTATCGAGCCCTGCCATTTTCAGATTCAGTAAGTGAGAGACATAATGGACTAGGCGACGCCCGTTCGTAACGAGGCTCTGCGGTGCTTTGTGTGCATTTTCAGCAACACTAGTCCAGGAGGGTTCAATCATGTTGTGAAAAATATGGGAAAGAAAAGAGACAAGAATGAAAGAAACATCAAAACTCATTCGTAACAGAAGAGAAGTTCCCTAGTGTGGGATCTTGTTAATACCGCAGGTGTGGATAATGCATTACCAAAGCCTTCGGGAGCAACTCGATCTGGAAATTTCCCGGATCTGACTCGGAAGACGGCAGCAGGGACGTCTAGGCTTACCGTCCGTCGGCTTCAGGCAAGATGGAAACAACCCTACTGAGTAAGTCTTGACCAGGTCGATTTCCGGCTGGCTCATTGCCGATTGGAAGATTGGCATGCAAAAATAGAAATCTACTATTAAATAAGACAGGAGTGCCGAAATGACCGAGCAAATTTGTAACAAAATTTAACAATTCCAAGACAGAAAAATATCATAACAAGAAATATAGTCCGGGCAGTTATGGCTCTGACATACCTCGCGCTCGCGGCCGCACTGATCGGCCTGCAGCTGCTCTACACAAGTGCTTGTTTCCTCAAAAACCTCAGGGCAGCCCGACGATCCGGACTACCGTACACATGGTCGCTTCTCCACGAGCTAGAGGCCAAAGCCTTTGTCACTGATGCGTTGCTGAGGTGGTGGTACCGCGAGCATCTTCAAAAGGGTGAGGGCTGGCCGCGCTGGGCCCGGTTCATGATCAAGGACTGGCACTATGAGGATCGACGACGCGCAACGCTCGAGTACGGCGACTGCTTCCTGGTTGTCACGCCCAATGCATTGATCTGCTACATCAGCGATGCAAGCACAGCGACAAGATTGTTGACTCGCCGGAAAGCTTTCATCAAACCTGCTGACAAGATGAGTAAGAAGCCAACCCTAACGGTCCCACTGCCACCATTCTCAGCCTTTCTTACGGCAGTCTTGTCGCTTGATCTGTCTCGTCTTCTCAAGTTTGTTCTCGGCTGTTCTGACCACCTTTTTATTCAGAGATTCTTGAGCCCTTCGGTCCCAACGTGGTCTCGGTCGAAGGCGATTTGTGGAAATTCCATCTAAGCATAACCCTCCCTCCGCTAGCAGCAGACTCGGTGGCGCGTCTTGTGTGGGATGAAACAGCTCGGCAGGTTGATATGATGGCTGCGTCATGGCGGCCCCAGGACAGCCACAAGGAGCGCATCTACGCTCTCACCATGAACACTATGTCGCTGGTCGGGTTCGGACGCCAGGCCGAATGGGGTGAAGGGGACAGACCAGACAACATTCCCGCCGGCCACCAATCCTCGCTCGTCAGTGCTCTCACACAGGTCGTCATTCACCTCGCACCCATCATGCTTCTGCCACGCTGGGCGCTGCGCTGGTCGCCCTGGCCTATCGCCTATAGCGCCGTGAGTGAGGTTGAGCGTTACATCGAGGAGCTGCTGGCCGAGGAGCGGGAGAAGCTCCAACGCAAAGGGAGCGGTCAGGCATACCGTGAGAACCTGCTCACAGCAGTGCTGCGGACCAACATGGCCGCCGAGAAGAACAAAGAGGCTCAGGCCATAGGCCGAACGACTCTGACGGACGAAGAGATCAAGGGCAACATCTTCATCTTCCTCGTAGCTGGTGCGACCGCCCTGGATGACATCTCCATTTTCCCCACCCATGAAGTCGTCGCTGACCACCACACGGGACAGGCTATGACACAACGGCAAACACGGTCCTCTTCAGCAGCCTAATACTGATGCTCAACCAGAAATTGCAAGACCGTGTTCTGGAGGAAATCGATGCTGTTTATGCTCGCGCGGAGCAGGAAGGCCGATCAGAACTATCGTACACACAGGACTTTCCCCGATTCCGATACCTGGTCGCGTTCATGGTGAGACCCACATCTCTTGGATACGCCGCAAGATTTCTGTATAGCTAACGAGCGATACAAGTACGAGGTGATGCGTGTGTTTCCCATCGTGCAGACGCTCGCCCGAGTCGGCGTCGAGGAGCAGGTGCTCCAAGTTGGTAAGGGCGCCGACGAGGCCAACTCGGGCGAGATAGAAATGCTCCGGCCCATCCTCCCTGCGGGAACCTGTTTTATCATCAACAATACAGCCATCCACTACAACCCGGACGTCTGGCCTAGCCCAGATGAGATCGAACCACGGCGCTGGCTGGTGGCCGACCCGCACTCATTTGACCCCTCCAAGCCCCTGACGGCCGAGCAGGAGTCACAAATTCGCGAGGGCACCGTAGCTATCCCAGGAAATCGCAAAGGCACCTTCCAGTCGTTTGGTGAGGGTCCAAGAGCCTGTTTGGGCCGCAGCTTCGCTCGCGTAGAGTTTGTCGCTATCATGTCAAGGCTCTTACGGCACCATCGGCTCGAGTTTAGCGACGATAACGCTGCTACAGCGGCTCAAGTATTGAAAACTGCAAGGCTGCGCAGTGGAGGCTCACCTGTTACACTAATCCCGCCCGAAGACGTACATATACGTTTGGCAACACGGAAGTAGTTCGTTAAACTTACTTTGAAAGAGCGTGGGCCGATCTGTCAATAATAGAATAGATACTTATACCTGCTTTACCCGAATCCTTGAAGTGACTCATTGTTTCTTCGTCTTTCTATTGAATCTTCCGTAGACTCAAAATTATCGTACTTTATCGTTAAGTTGATATTGCTTCTTGGACATGCTTCGACTCGTTAACGAGGTGAGCTATTCTCTGCAGGATTAGTTGTCAAGAATACCACATTCACAGCGGCAAATATATATAACAACAAATGTTAGCTAGAAATAATTGATGCTTTTTTCTTTCTTTTTTTTCTTTGGAAAAAAAATCAGTAAAATTGTCCCCCATTTTGGAGAATTAGATACACTTACGCCGCAGTAGCTGCGAAGGTTTCAACTCTCCGCGCGTTTGTCATTAAGCTTAGAGCAAGAGAAAAGCAAGCGGAGATGGCAATGATGAGATCAAGTGTCCTCAGATCAGATTCGACAAAGAACAGAATAATAATCGATACGGTGGCAGTAGTGATGCTGCGACGGTGGTTAGCACGTGGCCGAAGTGTTCAGAAAAGGCTCTCCGTAATGATAGGCTCCTCCCAGCTCAGGTGGCTCTGGTTTCAGCACTGCAGGTTTAAGCAGTGATATTCTTGTAGATCCCCCGGTGAGGTTATTGTGCTCTGTAGCGTACCTTAAGTCTTTCACCAAGGACTCGATGGAAAAGCGGGAAGATGGTGCTCTGAAACCATTTTGAAGTTGGGTAGATCTTCGTCACATTCCCAAAACCTCCAATCAACACCAAGTGTAGGAAATTTTCTAGACTAAGCCGTTTGAACCATTTCTGAAAGTTTCCCAAGCCGGTGGAATTAGGCTTGTCGAGCTGAGCAAGCATTACTCGTTTAAGTATGAAATCATCTAAATTATTATTAGTTACTGTGGACTCCGAATGTAAGAAAAATAACGTGAATCGACTCCGGTATTTAGGACTTTCAATCAGCATTAATTTCTCTAAGCAAGACATGTAAAGTTCGTCATTCATCAACTGATAACGGAATACACTGCTATACTTATCTAGGCTCTCCTTTTTTCCACTTGTTCACCTATTAAATAAGCTCACAATGTCAGCTAGGTGGAGGTCTGTTGCTCGTGCAGCATATTGGTCGAATTAGGAAAGGATTCCTGCAAGATTGTCATCCTGGGCGCCACAAGCGAAGCGGGGAACTAACTGAACAACGCATCCCTTCTTGCAATTGTGGCCTTCACATTGATTGGATGTTGGCGAAACATTTTTCCATCACCGTAATGCAGCTGGGCAGAACAACGCCCCAGGCAGAACAACGCCCCGGGCAGAACAACGCCCCGGGCAGAACAACGCCCAGAATCAGAACAGTATCAAGTATTACAACAGCATCCAGTACCAGGACAGCATCCAGTCAGAGCGACATCCATCACCGAGCCATGGCTTTCTGGAGACACAAACACGCAAAATTCAATTGGAGACGCTTGTTCAAAAGCAAGGATCTGCAGACACCAACGGATGCGAAGTCCGTCAGCGACGAGGTCCGTGACGGCTGCTCTATACCGGCCGACTCAAAGAACGGCCCGAGCACGCGTGCGAATCAGTCCCTCTGGGACTGTGCATATGATGCACTCAACAAGGAGGACCCGCAGCTGATCAAGGATTACGAGACGCTGCTCTTCACAACGAGTCGGTGTCCCCATAATCCTCATATAATTAGCAAGCTAGACTGTCCTAGCAGCTGACTTCTCGTATTAGGTTGCACACCGGACGATGGCTCCCTTCCGCGCACTGTGCTGACTGACACAGTCAACGACGCTGTCCACGACGCTGACAAAGAACCCCGCCGCGCCCGCTTCGAAAAGATCATCGAAAAACACCTGGAACAGCTGGACGAAAAGCATGACTCATTTCTAAGCAAGAACATGTCACAAGCAGCGGAGCTGGTGCTGTGGGCGAAGGACTTCATCGGACAAGCTGTCAAGGTTTCGCCCGAAGCTTCAATCGCTTGGGCTGGCGTCTGCATCGTCCTCCCGCTCCTGACAAACCCCAAGGTCGCCAGCGAGGCTAATCATGACGGGCTCACATATGTAACTAAGCGCATGAACTTTTATGCCGCATTTGAGCCAATGCTGCTGCGCCTCAGCCGGAATCCCGGATTCGAAGCTGGCCTAGCGGGAGAGATCAGAGGACACATTATGAGCCTTTATCAATGCATCCTCGAGTACCAGATCCTCAGCGTTCTGCGCTCTAGCAAGAGTGCGCTGAGGACGTTTGCAGGGGACCTAGTCAAGCCCGAGGTCTGGAAGCAGATGAAAGATAAGATCGAAAAGCTCGAGACTACGGTCAGGGAAGATCTGAAGCAGATAAACACATTCCGGGCGAGGGAAGAACTCGAATCTCTGAACAAGAAAGGCAATGAGTGGCTTGAAAAAATGGCCCAACTTCTCTCCCTCGGCGAAGAGCATCTGGAAGTTACGAAGGGTATTCGGGACTTGCAACACGAGCAAGTGCAGCTCGACAAAGCCGCGGCTGGGGAGAGGTGGCTGGACAAAGAGAAGGAGTGCCACCAATTATTTCGCCTCACGAACGGTACCAATGACGCGACGTATGAGTGGTACAAAGACCGTGTGGAAGACCGTGTGGACGGCACATGCCAGTGGTTCCTCCAACATGAACACTTCAGGCATTGGCTCAAACAGGACTCAGGGCCACTGCTAGTTTCTGCAGATCCTGGGTGCGGAAAATCCGTCTTGGCCAAATTCCTCATCGACCAGGTACTTCCGCAATCGGCAAGTGACACCACGAATATTTGCTACTTTTTCTTCAAGGACCAGGACCAAAACACCCTCAATCAAGCACTTTGCGCGATCTTGCATCAGCTTTTCTCCCACAATCATTCCTTGATCCAACATGCAATGCAAGCGTATGGTGAAGACGGGTCCAACCTCATCAACGTCACAACAAAATTATGGGATATCCTGCGAAAGTCAGTACAAGATCCTCGAGCCGGGTCCGTGATCATCGTCCTGGATGCCCTCGATGAATGCGCCGAGTCCGAGGCTGAGGAGTTGCTCAAGAGGTTGCAGCGCCAATTTCGCAATGGCCAGTCGAGCGATGGCAGGCTAAAGTATCTCTTAACGAGCCGCCCGTACGAGCAAATTAGTTTCAGAGTTCGGGAGCTAGCGGACACTTTTCCCAACTTCCACATTCCAGGGCAGGAACATTCGGACGATATCAGCAGAGAAGTGGACCTTGTCATTACGCACCGAGCCGATCAGCTAGCGCGCCAGAAGGAACTCTCAGATCAGGTCAAAGAGACCTTGCTCCAAAAGTTACGTGGAATCCAGCACCGCACATACCTCTGGGTGTACCTCCTGTTCGACTTTCTGAAGACAGAACACTTCAGAAAAACATCCCTGGGGATAGAGTCCGCCATCGCAACGCTTCCGCAGAACGTCAACCAGGCATACGAAAAAATCCTTAACAAGTCCAAAAATGACAATGTCGTTCAAAAGGGCCTGCGCATAATCCTTGCAGCAAGACAGCCACTCACCGTTGCTGAAATGAACTGTGCTATGAGCACCGACGACAACCTCGACATAGAACAAGAAGAAGATTTCAAATCGAGTCTCCGGGCCTGGTTTGGATTATTCGTTTCAATTTACCATGGCAAAGTCTACCTACTTCATCAAACTGCTCGAGAATTTCTGCTCGCGAGGGACCCGCCTCCCTCCTCTTGCGGCTGGCAAGCCTCCATCACGAGCTGTGATGCACACAGGGTTCTAGCAGAGACTTGTGTGGCTTATCTTGATTGTTTCAATCAGGATGATAGCCTGAGTACTGATGCTGATCCCCGCTGCGCCTTCTTGAATTATTCTGCCCTCAACTGGGGCCATCATGTCTACGAAGTCTGTCTCAGCAATGACAAGAATGCTGCACTAGTCTCATCTATTTTGAAAATCTGCACCTCAGATTCTCAAAGCTATGCAGCATGGGGCCCTGTTTTTGGGAGATCTCTTGGGATTCAAGACCATTCTTCTCTTACAGCTCTTATAATAGCATCATATTTTGGACATGAAGCTGTTGTACAGCAGCTGCTTGCAAAGGGAGCTGATATAGAGGCAAGGGATAAAGAATGGGGCCAGACACCGCTGAGTTGGGCTGCTGAACGAGGGCATGAAGCTGTTGTACAGCAGCTGCTTGCAAAGGGGGCTGATATAGAGGCAAGGGATAATATATGGGGCCAGACACCGCTGATTTTGGCTGCTGAACGAGGGCATGAAGCTGTTGTACAGCAGCTGCTTGCAAAGGGGGCTGATATAGAGGCAAGGGGTAAAAATGGCCGAACACCGCTGAGTTGGGCTGCAAGAGGAGGGCATGAAGCTGTTGTACAGCAGCTGCTTGCAAAGGGGGCTGATATAGAGGCAAGGGATGAAAATGGCCAAACACCGCTGATTTTGGCTGCAAGAGGAGGGCATGAAGCTGTTGTACAGCAGCTGCTTGCAAAGGGGGCTGATATAGAGGCAAGGGGTAAAAATGGCCGAACACCGCTGAGTTGGGCTGCAAGAGGAGGGCATGAAGCTGTTGTACAGCAGCTGCTTGCAAAGGGGGCTAATATAGAGGCAAGGGATAAAGAATGGGGCCAGACACCGCTGATTTGGGCTGCTGAAGGAGGGCATGAAGCTGTTGTACAGCAGCTGCTTGCAAAGGGGGCTGATATAGAGGCAAGGGATGAAAATGGCCAAACACCGCTGATTTTGGCTGCAAGAGGAGGGCATGAAGCTGTTGTACAGCAGCTGCTTGCAAAGGGGGCTAATATAGAGGCAAGGGATAAAGCATGGGGCCAGACACCGCTGAGTTGGGCTGCTGAACGAGGGCATGAAGCTGTTGTACAGCAGCTGCTTGCAAAGGGGGCTGATATAGAGGCAAGGGATAAAAATGGCCAAACACCGCTGATTTGGGCTGCAAGAGGAGGGCATGAAGCTGTTGTACAGCAGCTGCTTGCAAAGGGGGCTGATATAGAGGCAAGGGATGAAAATGGCCAAACACCGCTGATTTTGGCTGCAAGAGGAGGGCATGAAGCTGTTGTACAGCAGCTGCTTGCAAAGGGGGCTGATATAGAGGCAAGGGATGAAAATGGCCAAACACCGCTGATTTTGGCTGCAAGAGGAGGGCATGAAGCTGTTGTACAGCAGCTGCTTGCAAAGGGGCTGATATAGAGGCAAAGATGAAGATAGCTAAAGATTACTGAACTATGCTACTTTATACAAGTATAAGAATGTTGTATAATAGCGGCTTGTAGTATATTTGAAGCGAAATATTATAGAGATTAATAGATATTTGTTATACTAAACTAGGACTAGAGTATTATATCTCATTCAATATGCAGGTCACAAAACAAGCTATAAGAACAGTGAGCTCAAGAACATAAAACTGTAATGAGCACTGCAATAATCTGAAGATTTCTAAGTACACTAGGGATCTATGCTAACAAGAGCGGTGTTAAGTACAAGCCTTGAATAGGAAATAAGTCTGAATGCAAGTATTTTCTGCTTTTGAAGCTATCAGAGTGTGCATGTAATCTGATACTTAGATCGATAAATGAAGAGCTATATACAGTAAACAGGGAACGGATCAGAGTCTCTGGCTAGTATATAACGAGGTTGGCTGCGCGCGGTTGTATAGGTCCGTGAAACTCTGCCATCTTTGATTCTTGCATGCAGATGTGGTAGGGAAACTGCATACCTATGGCGAATCCGACTATCCATTGCTTGATCCCTGCATTCTACGCTCCGTGAAATCAACGAAGGGGCGTGGCACACTCCGTGAGTACTTGGACCGTGTGCGCTAGTTCGGAACGCGCTGCTTATCTTGTCAGTCCGATAATTAAGCTAGCAATAGACTTGTGATATTCGAGTTTGCCTTGTACGCCACCTCTAGTCATGACTGGAAGACTGGTATCGGGGGCACTTGGGCTATCTTATGACAGGGCTACCACTGAGATCCTCCATCGAGGCATTCACGGGAGCGTTTGCTTACCCGCGTGTCTCTTGATCAAGTTAGCAGCGTCGACAAGGGGCTATCTAGGCTGTCTACAACAGCTACCATAAATACTTCTTGGCTATTCAAGGTCCGGATTATACTTATCAAAGCTTCTTTGCACTCGACGATTTTCTCTCCGTTCTCTTTTAAGGGCCATGGCGTCATTTTCCGGTACTGTCGCGGCCGCATTTACAGCTGGAGTGTTGAGTCACCTTATCTACTTCAACCGCGGGGAGCATCACCTTCGGAGCGTGCTATACGCGCAGGTAGCTTTATCCTTCGGAGCATTCCTAATTATTTGCTCAGTCCTTCCAGGCCTCTTCAATTTCTTCCTAGCTGCGAAAGTTTCAATCGCCGCCGGAAGTTATGCATTGGGCCTGTATGTTAGTCTTGGTGTCTGTTGCTTCTGGCTGCATCCACTGTGCAAGTTTCCAGGGCCGGCGTCAGCACCTCTGACAAGTCTATGGATCTCACTGCGAGTAGTCGACGGGCGAGGAGATGCACACAGAAAGACCTGAGCTGCTTACCAAAACTATGGCGATTTTGTACGAATCGGGTCCTCTGACTTGTCCATTGTACATCCTCAGGGCGTCTCAGCGATATACGGACTCACCTCAAAGTGTTTGAAAGGCCCATGGTATGATCTGACAGGGCCCACGGTCTCGATACAGACGATACAGCACAGGACTTTGCATTCTCAGCGGCGTCGCGTATGGAGTCAGCTTGAATGTCTCAACTTAGATTTGCAGTAACGTACCTCCTCTAGCACGTGTTCCGGAGTAAAGAGCCGCAGTAACCGTCGGAAGACCGATTCCCAGCAGCAAGGCGCTAGTCTTGGTGGCAGGTAGATTAGCCTTGATATTTTTCATCGGTGAGCTCCAGTCCCAGTTGCTCAGCTAAAGAGCCTCTCAGAATAGTATGCTACTAGTTATGTACGTAGTGCTGTATGCTTGAGCGTCTCATTGGCGATAGGAAATATAGTTGAAAGTCGATGTTCTTTTCATAGTATTACGAGAGGGCTAAATGGAATATTGCAGAGCAGGATAAAGCGATATAGGCTGGTGACAAATGCTATGAGCAAGATCTACGTTCGCGCTGCATGTGGGAGACTGTTGTGTACTTTTGTACATACTGTGCACTCAAGACTACAGATCCTAGTGTGAGCATCGCCACCCCCAATGTCACACATGTTGGTCTGAAGTGGGATGACCGGTGAAGAATGCTGTTAGCAAAATCCCTGTTCAGAGACGGCTCGCGTCTTGATGGACTATTCTCTGCTGCGGGTTAGAGACTGATGTATAATATCCGTCCTTTGTATTATCGGTTGGTGGCTGGCCGGGTGAGAAAAGGTCAATGATTTGGCCCCAAACTGAATCTTGTTGGCTCTCTACTAATTTCCCCGCTTCCTCCCCCTCCACGTCGGAAACTGATGTTTCCACACACTCACTCACCTGAGTTCCGTTCACCCCTTCTACTGAGAGTCCATGATTAAACTACCCAAGTCTTCTTTCATTCAGGATCGGGCTTCTCACGATCAAAGCTTTCACAGCAAATACGGCAATCGGCTGATTCTTGCGGCTTGTCAATACAATGTCGAGCAACGTGCCTCCCCTGTACACGGACACGCCCTTGGCATTGATTCACACACCAAAATTTGAAACGGGCAAAGTGAGTCTACTATGGATAGGACTACTGAAAACTGGAGATGCCTCTGATTGTTTCTATCTTGACATTTGCTGATAATGATCTACCTTTCAGGATGATCCATTCACCATGGAAGCTTCCCATATGGCTCTTAGCCACAACTCCTTCATCCGCGGTTTCAATACTATCTACCAGCAAGCTCCACGCCTGAAGCCCTCTGACAAGACCGACTTTGCTGGGTACTGTATCGCTTGGGCCGACCTTGTCCTGACGCACCACCACTATGAAGAAACCGATTTCTTTCCGAACGTCGATAAGGCAGCAGGTCAAACCGGCTTGATGGCCGGCGCGGTGCACGAGCACGAGGCATTCTCAACTGGTTTGACGCGGTTTAAAACCTACCTTGTGGACAAAGGCGCCGACTTTGACAGCGATGAATTGATCAGCATCCTCGATTCATTCAAAGACCCATTGTACGACCATCTCAAATCTGAACCGGGGCAGATTGTGGCTCTCTCGAAATATAACACTAAAGAGCATCCCATCGATATCCTAGCGATCGCTGATGCTGCTGGTAAGCTTTCAGAACTTGACTTTATTACATTATTAGATTCTAATCATGGGACTCTTCTTATTCAGGCAAAAAAGTAGTTACTATACCCTTCCTGTTCAGCACCCTGCCTGTCTTCTTTCTGAACCAAGAGACACACGAGTTTGAGGATGGTATGTGGCACGGTGTGTTCCCTCCCCTTGGAACTGTGGCCAAGGCAGTAATGAACAAGGCTGTACCCATGTGGAATTCGGGCCGCCGTTGGCGCTTCGTCTCTTGTGATGCGGACGGCAAAGCCAAGCGTTTGGCTGTCTGAGGATACGTGTTTAAAGGATTGTATTTCTTGCGCAGCGCCTATCTCCAATGCTTTGAAATGAATAAGAAGAATTGACAGGAGCTTAAGAGCCGGTCGCTTAATTGATAAAAATTGATGACCTTGATTATTGAACATCGTGTAGAAGGCACTCTAGGGGCTGTACAAATGGTAGAAGGGAAGATGGTTCATTGTTTCCTATCTCAAAAAGGCGCCTTGCCAACTGCCCGTCTATATAGAAAGGGACAGTAGGCGCTAGTCCCAATTGGGACAGAAACACCAGTGACTCACCACTTGCCCTAGCTCAGTGAATGGCTAAAAGGTTAGTCACTATTTCCTGTGACTGCTGGCCTGGGGCCTCATATTTCATTCAGGCCCTATGGCTGCTGCCACACATCGTGTTAATGGGTCCTTGCCTTGAACCTAAAGGCCTCAACCATATATCAGATATAGAAAGTATATGAAGACTAAGCAGCTGGAAAATTTGGAAATTACACAAAGATCCATTTAAACAACAATTAGAGAGATCAGTAATCTTTGTTACCGAAAGCAATACCACGCTTTCTAGCTAAAATATATGCTGGGCTTGCAAATCACGCTTCCTTGGTACCGACCATTCCTGCGCGGTTGATCTCCCTGACTCTAATATTGATATTTTTCATCACCAGATAAGTCTCTCTAATGCAATTCGTAACTATGCTAAAGCGAATGATTTTCCTATTAAAGACGAGAGAAGTCAGACATCAAATCGTGAAAGCTGAGAGATTGCAAACCACGGACCTATACAACTGTGCGGTCCAAGGCCAAAGGGTTTCTGGATGTTTCGATGATCCGCGTCGGATTCGGCTGGCTGTAAATCTTCCGGGAAAAAAACAATCCATTGGCGAAATAGAATAAGTGTCCACTGAAATAGCGGAAGATTGGAACAATTATAAAGCCCTTGACATACATCACGTGCAGGGTGCGATTCTTCTGAGACGGTCGATGCGACTTTCTGAGCTATTGATGAGGCTTCTTCGGACTTTGAGTAATAAAGCGCATACTAAAACATGTCCTGGATTTTCTTAAGTATGCTTGAACAAAATGTCTCGAGTTGGCGTAGTTGAAAGTTTTCTTCCTAGCCAATATTGCATTCTTTCTCATGCAATATCATTGAATTGGGATCAACCACGTAAGGGGATTGGCTGAGGACAGTTGTCTCGTCATACTGAATATCACATTTACGCAATGACCGACTCTACAAGTTTTTATGATCCTTTGGTAGGGGTTTCGAATTTGCACAAAGTGCCGACACATGATCCACGGCCCAGCGCAAGAGGTCCAAGATGAAGCGATAGCATGACGGGGGCAACAACAACAACAGTATCTATTGCAAAAAGAAGCAAATAACAATTTACGAATGAATATATCCCATATCTTTCCAAGACGCGACATACCTGCGAGCGATGTCAAACCCCACGGGTCCCATTCCCGCCATCGTCGGAGAGTGCTCCTGGGCCTTCGCTGTGTCCAAGATCAGACCGCCACAGGACATCCTCTCAAAATTGTGATAAAGGAAATCAATAAGCTTTTTAGCCGGATTTTCGGCCTCAGTTGACAGTGGCGAGGAGCGTACACGTTTGCACCATTCCCGGAATGGGATGATGTTGCAGGGCGGAATGCCGAGGGCATCCGCCAACACAGGCGACATCTCCTTCCAGGGCTAGCCGACGGGGTTATCGATGTGATAGACAGGATAAAAAGGTTTCAGAGCTCCATCATGGTCTCCAATGGCGGCCAGGTCGACTATGGCACGGGCACACTTGTCCACCGGCACCCATTGTAGAACCCCGTCGAAGTCGGGCCACACCTGCAGCGACTGGGCCGACTTGACTAGGAAGGCGAAGTGCTCTACGGGGTTCCAGAAGCCGGTCCTGCTCGAACCGGCAATCTGGCCACGCCGCACGATCATAGTCCGGAAGTGCTCAGAGTGGTGTTTGTGCAACGTCTCTTCCAGCCAGCGCTCACATACCCACTTTGCTTCGCAGTAGCCAATAGGCATGGCTGCGGAGAGAGGGAATCTCTGCTCCCGAACCCGAGGACCCTCTGCGAGCCCGACCACACCGATGGAGGATACAAGCTGTAAACCAATACGCGGTGCGCCCTCGCGGCTGGCCATATCTCGTGCCAGGTCGAGCAGGTTGCGGAGGGCTTGAAATTGAGGTTCGAAGGCCCGCAAGGGGCGCGTACCGCTCATCGGCCAGGCATTGTGAATTATATGTGTTACATTTTGTTGAAGCCAGGCGTATTCAGATGCCGGAATTCCAAGGCCTGGCCTGCAAGTGTCGGCTTCGATCACGCGAAGCTTAGACCTGGCATGGCGCAATAGCTCAATAGCGCGCGAGGCAAAGGCTTGGAACTGACGCTGCTGCGCCGAGATGCTGCTACTGCGGCGATTTATGCAGACCACCATCTTGACCCTGTGATTCTCAGCAAGCTCGGTGACCAAGTGCGATCCCAGGCTCCCTGTACCACCTGTGACGAGGACGACAGCGTCATCTTTGCTACTATCAGCCGAGGCCGTCTTGATGGCAGGCAATATCTTCTCATCTGGCACTAACAGCCCAGTTACTTGTGAATTGCTTGACATATCTCTCTGCTTCTTCGAGTCGAGCCGCCTCTGCACAAGTATCGAGCTGCACAGCCTTAGTCTCACGCGAAGGAAGTGGCATGAGAGGCACGCTGAGCTCTTGGGAAATGATAGGTAATGGTGTTGCTAGAGCTATGATAACCTTCTGAAATTGGTTTTCAGGCAGCGCCCCATCAGTCCAGTCAACACGCCCGAACCCGGCAGCATGAAGCTTGCATTCCCAGTGCGGGCCAGAGACGATAGCATGCTTCCGGTCGTCATCGAAAAGCCACCACCCCTCGAGTAAACCGAAAATAAGATTAACAAAAGGAGCAATCTCAGTCATCTCGAGCATCATAAAGAAATCCATTAGAGCTTAGAGCGCTAAGCGATGTAACGAGATTATGAGTTGCATGAATCGCATTGCTAGCTAGAATGATATGATTGTTTCGCAGCTTCTCTGCTAGCAATTCTTGAATGTTGTAGACTGCAAAACGTATAAATGGATAGAGTTTGCCCATCTGCCGGCGTGCATTGGCAACCATGGATGCTAAGAGATCTGTAAAGATGTATTCGATAGGAATATTGAGCGAGGCTAGGAACGGTGCGAGGACCCGGGTGGTTCCTCCTGTTCCGGAGCCTAACTCGAGTATTCGAAGCGTTTTGCCACCTATCTGATCTTGACAGCAGCGTACGCGGCTCACCAAATGATCAATAGTATCTCGCATCTAGCTGTAGTTCATACGGTTGAAGGTATGCTCGCAGTATAGCGCCTCGACCCGCCTGCGACCCTCAACGGAGCCAAGCAGGACGCTAATCCCATCCGTCTTACCGGTCAGCACACCAGCGAGGTGCTTTCCAGCATAGTACGTGAGGTTGTTAGCGATGGCAAACTCGGGATACAAGTCCAAGAGCTCCTGCAAGACGGACTTACTGGATATGCGTGGCGCTGCTATATGCGTACGGGTTATCTGGCTTGAAGCTGGGTCGATGTTGACAAGACGAGCGTCCCTGCTGAGGAAACTGAAGACAAATTCCATAAGCTGCTCTTGTTTGGGAGCAAATGAGACGCACGGCAGGACATCGCCTGCTTTGGCTGTTCGCAGAGGCCAGCCGAGCTCGTCAAAGGCCTCCAGAACGAGGGCGACACAGAGTCGGTTGGTGGCGGCAATGACGACCTGTGCCGTGTTGTCAAGATGGTACTCGCGGATGCGCTGATCAGAGAGACTCTTAACGGCCTCAAAGGACTGCAGGATGTCGGCCAGTTCCAGTTTCAGACTTCTTGCGGACGCGTGCTTCAATTCGAATACCTCGCGAGGTGTGAACACACCCGTGTCGACGTCCTCGCTGCTGGTAGTCGTGCTATCGTTATAGTCCTCAAAGCCGTTTTTTTTCATCCTGGTGGACGTTATATCCCACGGCATGGGCGGCCCCGGAACAATATGTACCTTGTCCTCATCACCGAACAAGGTGTTCGAGATGCACACTACAAAGCTGCGGAAGGGATTTGCTCCCATAAGTTGCATCTGGTCGAGCGTGCACTCGAAAGCCATCCCAACCTCTCGAGCAAGCTCCATGCCCATCAGAGAGTCGATGCCGAAGTCTGCCAGTGCCGAGTCGTCGCCGATCTCGCTAGCCTCAACGCCTGTTACGCTTGACACCAGATTTCGAACATCATCAGTGATATCTGAGCGCTCCAGGCCAGTTGCAGACGTTTTCTCTGTTTGAGGAGCTGGTGGACCACCCTTTGCAACTCCACTACCGCCACCTGTATCGACATAGCTTCCAGGTTTCATCTGGCTCCAAGACAGCATCTGAGTGGCAAGGCCAACCCCATCCTTTTTAGCAGCTGCTACTAACTTCGACTCGTCAGCCGTCCATCTAGTCAGTAGCCTCACCATCGAAGCCTTGCTGACGCGGGCGTATTGGATCCCTAGCATGATCTCAGCCAGCATGCCGGTACGGGCATCGAAGACAAACACGTCCGAGATGTAAAGCTTTTCTGTCTGGCGCTTGTGCCATGCAAAAACATGCCACGCAGCCGGGCCAGAGTCATCATTGTTATCGCGCTCCTCGCCAGCAGCCGCAGCGTGGGGTGAGCGCATGGACTTTTCACAGCCAGTGGCGAAGTACATGTCACAATCATCACGGTCCGTCATGCAGTTCACCCAGATACCAGCGACCTGACTGAAGTTGTCACTCAGCGGGACATCGAGCCACGCGCCGCTCGTCGAGTGCATGCAGACGACGCGTCCCGCCGTCTCGCCGCGATATCCTACCACGGTCTTGACGCCGCGATACAGCTGATGATAGTGGACGATCTCGTCAAAGGCACGATAGACGTTCCGCCCTCGCAAAACATCCACATCGTTGTGGTCTTGGTCGATGTCCTCCACTCCGAGGCGCAGCAGATCTACGCACCGCTCGTAGCTGACAAGACGATCGAACCTGGCAAACTCAGCATGGTAGGTCGGGTCGGAGGCTGTGCGAATATGCAAACGGGCTTCTACATGCGTCTGGGGCTGGTTGTCACTGGGGCCAGATACGCTGGTGATCTTCCAATTCCACAAAAAAGTGCCGTCTTTTGTTCCTCCTTCCGTCGGCGAGCCACACCATCCGGGTTGGGTCCGTGCAAATTGGGGCATGATTGACCATATCAAGAACGACAGGTTGCATGTTAGAGGCCTTCCAGTCGAGGTGGAGACTGAACAGCGCCTCTATAGCCATACTAACCTCCAAAGTGGTGCGGCAGATTGGTGCTGTCTGACGCAGCAACGCCACACTATCGTAGAGTTTGAGGTCCAGTCCGACGAATGTAGATACTTGACCTCCAAAGCAGAGAATCACAGGCCGTTCCGCCTTGATCGCTCCAATTCCGACCTCAGTGGGACTGGTACAGGCGCGCTCCAGAGTATCGATGAGCTCGGCTGTTGAGCGGCAGCTGAAGACGAAAGCGTTGGCCAGGGATCGATTGGACTGCCTGTTCATCTAGATTGAGAACTGGTCGAATGTGGCAGCAGGGTGGGACCTGATATACGCGGCAAGTTTGGCACAGTATACGCTAATGCTGTGGACGTCAAGGCCGGCGATCCCGAAAGGGAGGCGCTGGGGAGTGACAGCATCAGTAATAGTACGCATCGTAGCCGATATAGTGTTGGTGACAGCCCCAGCCTGCGGGTTCTGCATCACAATGATGGACGCGTTCGAGCCTGATGCCCCGTAGTTGTTAATCAGAGCGGCTTTGCACTCCTGTGGCCACGGTTGAAGCGACGTGACTACGTGTATCATATCATTCGGCTCAGCGGAGATATGATGGCTCAGGGTCGTGAAGCTGGCCTGAGGAGGAAGAAAGAAATCCACCTTGCATCATCACCAGAACCTTAATAAGCGAGATTATACCGCTTGCGCCCTCGGTGTGCCCAATATGACCCTTGACTGATCCAATAGGTAGACTTGTACGCCTGGATGGACCTGCAAGAGCCGTCCGTATACTCTCGTACTCAGTTGGGTCGCCGACTGGCGTTCCGGTTCCGTGTGCCTCTACAAATGATATATCAGGCGGGTCGAGATTGGCCGCAACGCCCCCTGCCAGAGCCGCCGTACATTCGCCAGAGAGAATATTTGGACACGCCGTGTGAATCGCTACGGCAGAGGCCGAGAAGGCAGTATCCAATGGCACTTTTACCATTCCCAGATTAGCATATTGCTCGTGGTTGGTCGACAGAGTGGGAAAGGGCTTGATTATAGGAGTTTCTCTTACTCGAGGGGCCTGTCCATCCGAAGTATTGCGATACTTTTCCTGGTATAAAGCTTTTGAGGTTGCCCGTAGCCGTAAAGGCATTGGCACCGTAACATGCTACAGTGGAATTCAATATATTAGCAAGATGCTTTCACGTTGTTCCTCTAAAGCGCAAAGGAGTATCCAACGTCATCTAGCCTGGTCTTACCTGCGTGGTGCTCACAGTCGGCTGCACAAGCCCCCAAGTAGACACCGACGTGTTTCTTGTCACGTACGCCGTCTCGGTGATATATCCGGATGACTCAACAGCCTGATACGCCGCTTGCAGGAACAGACGTTTTTGAGGATCCATAGTGGCGGCCTCTCTGGGGCTCTTCTTGAAGAATCTGTGGTCGAACTCGTCGACACCTTGCATGAAGTTGCCGTCCCATTTGCGCATGGGATCCTGACGATCCTCGCGGAAGAGCGTGTCCATCATCAACCGGTCAGGGCCGATCTCTTCGTGCTGAGACTCACCTGTCTGCAGCATGCGGGCAAAATCGTCCACATCATCCGCGCCCGCCACCTTAATGCTCATGCCTACTATGGCGATGGCCTCTTCTCTCGGTGCAATACGGGAACTGACAGCAACAGATGCTTTCGGGCTTTGGGTTCTAGGCCGCCTTCTCTGTGACCCTCCTCTGCCAAGATTACCTAGACCAACATCTTCACTACCAGCGTCGCCAAAGTGTAACAGCTTTCGGCCAAGTCGGCGCACTATTGTTGGCGGCACACAAGTGTCTGGACTTTTTTCCTTCTCCTCTCTTTCGTCACGTTGACTACTTTAAAGAACCGAAAATTTGAGTTGATTGAAGGCTGCAATACTAAATCCTACGGAGACACTTTATTTCTCTAGGTAGAGTCTGCAATTTGACGCCTGTCAGAACTTGGTCAGGCTGTGAGCGAATCCTTCGGCAAAAAGAATGCCTTGCCAATTAATTACAACCACAGCGCCCCGGCCGGCCCGAATCAAGAATTTGGTAGCACAAGTGTGCCACCAGTCTTATCCAGGCAGGTAGAGAAGCGCGGGTGGCCGGCCTACTGGAACCGAGCAGAGTTCATAGCCAACCGGTTATCAAGGGATGGTGCTAAAGCATTGTAAGGGAGGGATTTAGCTTTCTGCTCCAGATATATGAAATAGAACCGACTCTCATCAGAAGTAGCAAGTGACATAACCGTGGGATCTCTCATTGATCTGATCGAAGTTTCAACTTATAGACAACATATTCCCTAAGGACATGCTCTTTGATAATGCTGAAGGCAGCAGAGTGAACTCAATCATTTCGCAATCTGAAACCTATTCAAACCTGTTAAGCTTTTTATCCCTCTGGGAAATGTGACTTATTCTATTGGTGATTGAATTAATTTGTTTAGAGTATAGCCTCTTTGTATAGAATGGCAGTTCGGTCATCTAAAGCTGTGGATAGTCTGATGAAGGCTTCACTATGAGCTTGAGGCTCTAACTCTACTCTCCGTCTCGTCCTTTACTTGGCCAATCATTTTCTCCACGTCGAAGTCCCACAGACTTCTGGTCCGCCGCTTGATCTCTGTCTCGATCGTTGTAGAGTCTTGTCGGGTTGCTGGGTATCTCCACTGATAGATATCGCCCACGTCTCTGGAACTTTGTACTACCGCTTGCGAGCGCACAAGACGCAAAGAACTATAAGCCTGGAAGGCCGCTGAAATGGCTTTGTTCTTCCTGTCACCGTATTCTGGGGTAAGAGCTGCTGATCCCAAAGCTGTGGCTAGGACCAGAGCGTCCTCAACTCCCATGCAAGCCCCGGCTCCCATGAATGGGCTCATGGCATGGGCAGAGTCACCAACCAAACACACACGACTTCTTGCGTATGTTGACGCAGGATGGCGGGCCGTGTCGAATATACCCCATTTGGATAAAGTCTTGGGGAACATGCTCACTAAGTCTTGCACAGCAGGGCTCCAATTGTGGACAGCGCTCTTAACCTCGTCGCGCGTACTTGGCAAGACCATCTTGCTGATATCCGGCCACTCTTGCGTATCATGGATGCCAATTACGACATTTAACAAGGTCCAGTTTGCAACCTAAGTCAAGTCAGTAACAAACCCAGAGTACTCGCAGTAGGGAAATCGCAAAACGCACGGGATATGATGTTATATGAGCGTTAGGTCCCAAGTGCATGCAATGATTATTCGCTTTATCATGGCCGAACACCTTCACGCCATCTCCAATAGGCAATAAAGCGCGATAGACCATCTTATGGCTGTAATGTGCATGGGAGGCGGGATCACTCTCTCCTAACAGCAATTCTCGAGTTCTCGAGTGTATCCCATCGCAGCCCACCACTATACAATCTCCATTGTCAGGTCCATCAATAGTAGTGAAAAAAGGGAAAGGAACATATTTGGTTGGGACCAAACGTACGAGCATCTGCCTCGGCCGTGGTGCCGTCCGTAAACCGCAGTAGCACCTTATCACTGCCCTCATCGATGTAGCTTTCCAACTCCTTGGAAAACTGGACGGTATCAGGTGGTAGGCGGCTTGCCATCTGTGTCAAGAACAACGATCGGAGACACCCCCAGTAATCGGGCTCGCGAGTTGAGAGGCTGAACAAAAGGCTTTTTTCTTCGGACTCCGCCTCTTGTTTGGTCTGTGGGCTAAAACCGTCCCAATAGCGTTTTATCTCGTTCTTGGTGGCCTCACCAATTTGGCTGAGCGCGGCTAGCACGGAAGGGCTCAAGCGTGCCATGCAATCTCTTGCTACTGCTGTAAAGGCGAACGCAGCCCCGATCTCGTGCTGCGCGGAAGACCGTTCGTAGATATGAACCTGAAAACCGCGGTGCAGAAGTCCAAGGGCTACCATAACCCCAATAATCCCGCCACCTACTACCGCTATGCTCGGGTAAGGCCCGTCGCCACTGGTGTCGCCAGCAGGCTTTTCATTGTGATTGTTCACTCTGGTGGTCATTCTCGTCCTGTATCTCGGGAAGAGATTATTCGAGGCAATTGATCGTGAAAGAGATTTGGGAGTGCGTTGCGTAGGCCAAAAAAGTGAATCAACACCGAAGAAGGCGAAAATAAATGTTCTCTGGAGGCACGGTACTTTGTGAACTAATATTCTATAAATTTAGATCTTGTGGCTCTCCTAATAGAATCCAGCGCAGTGGTGTGGATGATACGCAGTCTCTTGACGCCCCCCGCCCCCCTCCTCAGGGGCTATGCAACCTGTCCGGATGCGAGGATAGTTTCATTTTTCCGGCTAGTAATTATGAGCCGGATCCTCTCTTACCCTCAAAGTACCAGCGGGTTTGTTTTGCTTAGCGATTGAATTTACTTAAAGGTTAATTATGTTGAGGGATAATATTTTCAAAGCACAAGTCATCGTGTCTTATCCTTGAAATTCTTTTTTCAAACTGTCAGCATTGTACCTTGACACAAAATGCCCAGAAAGACAGTCCTGATCACGGGCTGTAGCGAGGGAGGCCTGGGGTTTTCACTGGCGCAAGCCTTCCAACGGGCGGATTTTCACGTCTTTGCCACAGCCCGAGACACAGTCAAGGTCGAGTCACTAACCAAGGAACCGCATGTCCGGAGATTCCTGGAAGACTAAGGCTTGCTCATAGCTCCTGTTAGCGAGATACATCACATTGCCAGCAACATTTACAACAATACGTAACTCACAAGTCCTCAGCAATACTGGCAAAGAGGTGCAATATGTTATATCTGTTGTTTAAAATATTTCTCTACTCTGTATCGCATCAGTTGTTTGGAGTCTAGCAGCTGCTGGCTGCACCTGGATTTGGAGTTGATGGAGCTGTAACTATGTATTTTTAATAAACTGGACAATTGAGTAAGCCAAATATAGTAGTAAATATATGCAAAGAAGCTAATCGTCTTGGCAGACGTACTTATAAAGGAGGCGGACCAGACTATCAACAATAGACACCTGCTTGGATCACGGGAAAAGCGCAGCAACATGGCAAATTACGGCCTTTATACCCCCCACCCCTTGTCCTGCCCATGCCATAAAGCCTCAGCGCAAAAGGACTAAGCACTCGATATTCTTACGGAACCAGGCATTTATAAGGATTCGACGCTACATTGTCGGATACGGCATGTTTTCCGTGTTACCACTTCCTAGTCTGTCTTTTTGTTAGCTCCTGCATAGCGGCTTGCCCGTTCTAGATTAGTCTCATCCAGAGCCCCGACCCCAGCCACCGCATTTTTCCCTATCTAACTAAAATTCTCTTACCTTCGCCCCTCGTCGCCGTCTCCGTCTCCTCTTTCTTTCTTTCACATCTCCTCCTTCACATCTCCACCCCTAAATAATCCTGTCGAGACATCGGAATTTTTCCTCTGTCACTACGATCACGCACTTTTGTAAGTGCAGGCGCTGTGCACGTTACCCGATCTGTTGGAATGGCGCTGGTGATCCTGTCGGAGCTGGCGTTGAACCGACAGGTTTCTGCCCGGAATGCCGTTGCTTATCCTTTCGTTGTCGCGTTAGGAGCTGGCATGTATAGACAGATTGCTGCCTGAAATGCCGTTGCTTATCCTCATGACCGAGACCACCGCGACAGGACTGCTACTCATCGCCTCCGGCCGGTGAAAGCGCCTGGGTCTCTGGGAAGGTGGCTTCAGCCGGCTGTTGTTGTCGCATAGGAGCTGGCATGTAAAGACAGATTTCTGCTCGGGATGCCGTTGCTTATCCTTTCGTTGTCGCGTTAGGAGCTGGCATGTATAGACAGATTGCTGCCTGAAATGCCGTTGCTTATCCTCATGACCGAGACCACCGCGACAGGACTGCTACTCATCGCCTCCGGCCGGTGAAAGCGCCTGGGTCTCTGGGAAGGTGGCTTCAGCCGGCTGTTGTTGTCGCATTTGGAGCTGGCGTTGAACCGGGACAAGGACGGGTCAAGCGTTGCACTGACAGCCTCGTTAAACCCCCGCATCACTCGAGTCAAGGCTGCTCTGCTGCTGCAAGAAGCCTGGGTGGGTGGGAATCTTGCCAGACATTGTGCAAGGGCGCATTCCTCAGATCCTCAAGGCCTGTTGGTCCTGCCTCTGTTATGCGAATGATGGCTGACCCAGAATAGTGCGATCCTCGGTATGGAATCTAGGACTACCCAGGGCGAACGCGATAAGCCGAACGACCGGCCAGACCGCGAGTGTATACAATCGGCCACCTCTAAGAATGACCACGCTGCCGAGCCGGACGAGATCTATATGGAGACACGCACTACAATATCCTGGGCTGCAAGTGGTGATGCAGATGCGCAAGACGAGACAAACAGGCACCAGAGCATCGCTATGCGGCTAGTTGTGAGATGTCATACGCAAGAAAGAACTGCATCGTTCCGCCTGCGTATCAACTTGCGCAAGCGGGACTCGAGAAGATACACTAATCTTTATGTGTATATCCCACCCGAACACATACGACGACTTGAACGCATTCTAGAGCTGGTGCCCGGCGAGGACGATACTGTCGCCCTTCGATTTGAACTCCATAAGCCGCCAGTCCTTATAGGGCCTCGTGCCGATCTCGAGACGACCCTGTCCCCTGCTGAGCACCCTACGGCGAAATGCCTACGGGAGCTTGCTGCACAGCTCGACATCCGTCTGCTGATTCCCAAGAGCGGGGACGATTCAAGGATGACCCAGGATTTGTTACGTGTCTGTCAGGCGTTTGCTCTGCCTGAGCCACCATTTATCGGCATTCTCAATGAAACGCCTCTTGCCTCTCTGTACGGCGGCCGCGGCGGCGTGATCGTGTCTGGACGAGGGGATTGGCCTCCACCCGCCGCCCCGGGGGCTCAAGATGAGAGGCGACGTGCGGGTGGGCGGGCGCAAAAGGTTCGGCCGCCGAGCTATAACACTATAGCATCTGGTCCTCCTCCTCCTCCTCCACAACCCCAACAGTTTGCTAGCGCCGGCCCTAGTGATTCGAATAAGCGACGCCGTCTTGAGGACAAGACACAGGCGGGCGGGGATCGAGACGTGATTGACACCCAACAGATACGCGACCAACTGCGGGACAAGATCCGCGATGAGCTCCGCGACGAGATGTGGCATCAGCTGCGGGACCGTCAGGACGAGCTGCGACGCGAACTACGAGATGCGCTGCATGCCGGGCTCGTGGAGATGCGCGAGACATTGCTGTCTGAGCTTGAAGGTTATGTGCGAGGATACATTGATTCATCCCGGACAAGGTAGGCAGCTGTTTATCAGGAGGCAGATTGGCCAGTTCTGTTGGTCTAGGTAGCGGGCATCCATCTCTTCGGTTGGCACAACGTCGATTCATCACTTCAGCCTCGTCAATGTCCTCGCCAGTAAAGCGCGCAGAACTGTGTGTCTAGTGAGTATTCGTAGCGTGAATCCAAACCGTTAGCAGTCGGTGCACCACTTGTTCGTGTACTTTAGCTTGCAGCGGTATAGAGCAAAAGCGGGCAAGCAGATTAGCAGATCTGAGGGGTTGTGAAGTTGCTAAATACCAGTTATATCCTATCTCTAAATCAGCAATAAACTCATAATAGAATTTATTGAAACTCTACGCAAAAAAGCACTATCCTAAAGTCAAAGTGTCCTCAAGGTAGAGGACAGTTTTTTTAGGTGGGAATTTTTCTAGCGCTAGCAAATACAGGGATAAGAGGATCGTTTTTTCCTTCTGCAAACTGTTCTCAACTCAATTTTCAAGCTTTCCAGCTTATTTTAATTCGAAGTCTGATCGCTTCTATTGAAACTCCATCATTTCTGAATTTCAAGTTCTTATCATCTTTCTTTCTATTTCAATTGCAGAATTTGTATTTCTAGAGTAAAGGATTGAAGTAGTCAGACCTGCATTTTTATCCGCATTAAAAACAATCAATTGCTATTACGAATCCAGCTGCTAGCCCTATCCTAAAGTTAAAGTATTCTCAAGATAGAGAATAGTTTTTTTGGGTAGGAGAATTTTCGGTGCTAGCAAATTGTTATGATTCATTCAATATGCAGGTTATGAATCACGCTCAATCAACAGAAGAACTAGATGTTATAATTCAACATCAAGACAGCTAATAAGGATTACGTAATTCAGGATTAGGATTACTAGTATAACTATGTTAGCTATGAATATAATTAATAGATTCAGAAGACAATTATGAGGAATTGAAATATAATCAGAATAGTTAGAACTGAAGAGCTGAATATATATGTTATAACCCATCCAACATGCAGGTCACCAGCTAGGACACCCGGAACAACTGTTCGGAAAGACAGGGAAGGATTCAACATCTCAAGAACTAAGGCTTACATAAGCAAGAGTTAGGATTACAGGATCAGGATGGATCAGTAGCTGATCTATGATGATCCGAATCAGTTGGATCACTCAGATGATCCAAGGGATTCAGTAACCAATACTACCAACAGAACTAGAAAGCTGAATATATAAGAATATATTCATTTCTATTAGATAGATCTTATATATAGCTCTTTAGTTATCAATCTAAGTATCAGATTACTCTCTATTCTAATAGCTTCAAAAGCAGTGAATACTTGCATTGCTTATTAGAACTTGTATAATTCCGTATTCAAGAACTTGATACTTTAATACTGCTCTTATTAGCATAAACCTCCCTATATACTTAGGAATCTTCAGATTGCTGCAGTGCTTATTACATTTTAATAACTCTTGTTCAAGAATGATTCAGTATTACCTCTTGAGCAATACGGAATACGATAGCTTCTTCAGGAATCTCTTTATTCTTGCGCGCCTCTACTTAGGAAGAACTGATTAATCAGGTATACCAGCTCATCTAGCATATTCAGAATCTGTATAAATAATAGCAAGCTTAGAGCGCTATTATTGCTAATTAGCAAGCTTAGCTAGCTTAATAAGCTTAGCAGATGCAGTTTATTTCTGCAGTTATTAGTAGTGCTGAAAAAGCATATAAGATGAATAAGCTTGCTATATATAATAGCAATCAGAAGATACTATATAAGTTTCTTATCTACTGCAGAGTATACTTTTTATACTATACAACTCAGTTTACTATGAAATCTGAAAAGATTATTCTTATAAGAACTTGCTTCGAAAAGAATATTCTTATTTAATATAAGCTTTCTCTATATAACTATTTAAAGTATCAGAATAATTCTAATATATATATTCAGAATATTAAGAATATATTTGATTTCTTTGAAAGCTTTAAAAAAGCTTTTAAAGAAATCTTTAGTAATTCCAACGAAGAATGTATTATAGCTTAGCAGCTTATAAATCTCAAGCAGACTAAACTAGCTTCTGCTTATATGATTAGATTCAAGCAGCTCTTAGCAAAACTTCCGTAGAAAAACAAGAATCTTATAAAATACTATTATAAGAAACTCAAGAATGATATTAAGAACAAAATCTCCAAACAGAATTAGCTAGAGAACTTTACAACATTCTCTAATTAAGCAATCCGCATTAATAATCATCTATATAAATAATGAATAGAGAAATTCAAGAAAGAAGAAAGCTAGACTTGGAGATTTCCAGCTAATACAAGCAAGAAACTCCAATACAAGAACAGCAGATAATAGAGCAGCATAGCTCAGAGCAGCATTATGCATGCTAGTTCCATAGAACTCAATGCTGCTAACAAGCAGTATAGCAAGAGAAATAGCATTACTTGCTATAATTGTAACAAACAAGAATACATTGCATGCAACTGCTATCAATTCTGAAAGAACAAATAGCAATCAGTTCAAGAAGAATGCTAGATGAATATTGCTCGATAACAGAAATCCAATTATACCCCCTTGGAGCAAGTATCAGACTCTGTTGATTATAGAAGTTTCAGCTAAATATTCTGCTACAACAATAACTGCTTAATACATCTTTTGAGTAAGAAAGAATCAGAATAGTTCTCTTAGAAGCCTTAGCGCTGCAGACAAATAGCAACAGCAGAGCAAGAATGCACGCTCAGCATTCCTACGAGTAGCAACTCGGATTGCTCTGATGTTGTAGAACAGAGCATTTAGATATTGAAAGAAGAGCTTAATAATAATACTCTTTAATATTCTTTATTATTTATGCTAAGCACTATAATTAGGGATATGAATAAGAGATAATATCTTCTTAGCTACTGATACGAATATCTAAGCAATACAGAGAATACTTCTCAAGCAATAGAAGAATCAAGCTAGAGCAAACAATCTAGCAGCTCGCAAAAGCTTCCTGCAAACAACATATCCAACAAGCTTAAAGAAAGGTTTTCCTTTAGCATTGGATAGAATAAGGAAATAATATAAATTGAATATCTCATCTATGGAATAAAGCTAGAGAAGCTCTTTATCTGTATTCTCTTGCAAAATATTGAAGTATAAGAAAATAAGAATCTTCGAATCAGCTTACTTTACAATCTATACTACAAACTAGCTTGGATCTTCTGCACTTATCATAGCTACAGAATGCATTTCTTAGACAAGATGCAATACGAATGATTCTTTATTAGAGAATCAGAACAAATTCTTTAAGCTATTAAAGAAAAAAAACTCTGCTTTAGAGAAATTCTTAATAGATAATATTATAATATATATATTGAGCTATTAGATAACTATTCTATACAATATATAAATAAAAAGATAAAATGATAGCAGTACAAAATAATACTTTGTATAATTTATATTAATAATAAGATTTGCAACTAGCATTAATAGAAGAAAGATTAAAAATAATAATAATATAAGCAAAAGCAAGCTAAAAAGCTTTGTTATGACTCATCCAACATGCAGGTCACAGGATAAGCTTCACCAATCAAGGGATCAGGTATCACGATTCAACATCGGGTACTGATCAGGATTATGTAATTCGGATTAGGATTACTAGCGCAACTATGTCAGCTATGAACATAATCAACATATTTAGGAAACAACTATAAGGAATCGGAACATAGTCAGGATAGTTAGAACTAAAGAGCTGGATATATAAAAATGCATTCATTACCATTAGATAGATTCAGTACATAGCTCTTTAGTTATCAATCTAAGTATCAGATTACTCTTTACTCTGATAGCTCCAAAAGCAGTGAATACTTGCATCGCTTATTAGAACTTATATAGTTCTGTATTCAAGGATTTGATACTTTGATACCGCTCTTGTTAGCATAAACCTCTTCATATACTTAGGAATCTTCGGATTGCTGCAATACTCATTACATTTTGATAATTCTTATTCAAGAACAGTTCAGTATTATCCTCTTGAGTAATATGGAATACGATAGCTTCTTCAGAAACTTCTTCATTCTCGCATGCTTCTATCCAGGAAGAACTGATTAATCAGATATATCAGCTTATCTAGCATATTCAGAATCTGTGCAAACAATAGCAGGCTTAAAGCGCTATTATCGCTAACCAACAGGCTCAGCTAGCTTAACAAGCTCAGCAGACACAGTCTATCTCTGCAACCACCAGTAATGCTGGAAAAGCATACAAGATGAATAAGCTTGCTATATATAACAGCAATCAAAAGACGCTGTATGGATTCCTTACTCACTGCAGAGCATATTTCCTGTATTACAAGACTCAGTTTACTAAGAAATCTGAGAAAGTTATTTTTGCAGAGACTCATTTCGAAAAGAATGCTCTTATCTGATATAAGCCTTTTCTATACAATTACTTAGAGTATCAGAATAACTCTAACATGCGTATTCAGAGTACTAAGAATATATTTAATTCTTTTGAAAGCTTTAAGAAAGCTTTTAAGAAAATCTTTAGTAATTCCAATAAAGAATGCATTATAG